AGGGAAACGGCGGAGGCCCTAGGAAGCGAAACTATGCCCGTCTTCCCAATGGTACCAGAGTTGTTGACCAACAGGTTGATATATCCAACTTCATCTTGAATAACATCTACTGCGTGCTGAAGAGATGCCTTGTCCGTAACATCGGCAACAATGTACTGAATCTTACTAAACTGTAGTATGAATTAGAAAACTTTCTTTCGCCCCGTTACTCTTCGATGATTTCGATGCACAGCTTACTTTTGCTTGTTTGCATGCGTCCTGCAACACTTCCTCACGGCGTCCAAGAATGTACACAATCGCTCCGTTATGCTCCAGAGCTTTCGCTATCATGAGACCTATCCCTGTCCCACCCCCTGTAACGACGGCTACGAGATCTTTGACCGAGAAAAGATCAGGTATTGATAGCGACATAACGACGACTTCTTCGTAGAGAATGTGCCACGTTAGGTTTTCTCTGAGATAATAGAGCTTGTACCAAGAAAAATAGGTCAACAAGTAGCCCATTGACCACTGATCGTCCACTGCGGGTTTCTGGTCCCAGAACAAGACAGCTCGGAAACCGAGAGGTCGGGTACCGAAGCGAAAATGACTATAACACAACAGGCATAGCGCATAGATTACTCGCAAGGATGGGGGCTATTTTGAACGCCAAGTACTCTACCGCGCCACATCCCAGCTAATCGGCCCGCCCAACTATGCGGCCTCGGGTACTTTTAATGAAAGACCTGGTAGCTGGCATAGCTGTCAAATCTCTAGGGCATTCCTGACGGAAGCTCAAACTACGAACACCATATATATAGTGCATGAATAGTGCATATTACGGCGTATTTCTCACAGTCACCTTTCGCCAAAAAACATCACTGCAACTGTCTTCATCGCGATTTCACTAATATCGAAAAATCTCGATTGCGGCTCTGCAACGCTTCAGACAAACCACATGGACTCCTTTGACTTCCCCCCGGACATTATCAACGGCTGGGACAAGCTTCCACCCTTCCCTTCCGACATCGAAACGATTGAGTTTGACACCATCTCACTCAAAGCATACTGCAGGCTCGGGAGGAGGCAACAATCCGTAGAATAATCCATTCCTGCAAGACTGTTGGCTTCATAAGGGTCGACCTGTCAGACACAAAAGATGGTATGGAAATGCTAGCTGCTGCCAATGAGATGTTCAAACTCTCTCAAAGGACTTTCAATCTTCCTGATGAAGAACTTCTTGCAGATGATGTGTTCGGCAATGGAGAGTCTCTGCTAGGGTAAGTCGACCGTTGCATAAGCTCTTTAGTTGCTAATCTGAGTACTTTAGATACAAGGGGCTAGGAAAATCTGTGGTAGATAAAACCGGTCGTAGGGACAACAACCAGCAGTACTACATCGGCTGTGGTGATCTCGATGGCTTTGGGCGCTCCCAAGCCAAGTACAACGACGTTCTGCATGCCGCCTTTCCGGAAATGAGGAATTTCTCTTCTCTCGGCAGGTTCCTCACAAACCAATTGCTTGACATTCTCTCCACCGATTTGAACCTCAAACCTACAGATCCGCAATTTCTTCCTAAACTCCACAGCCATAGTAACAATTCTGGAACCCACGTTCGCCTGTTAAAATGTCCTGCTTCAGCCGGAGAAAATGCAAACCTTCAGGCCCACACTGATTGGGGATCGCTTACAGTTCTTTTCAACGCCATAGGAGGCCTTCAGCTATACATTACAGACAACCTCATTCCTGGACAGAAATCAGGCTGGAAATGGGTGAAGCCTGTGCCAAGGACCTGTCTTGTCAACCTCGGTGACGCTATGGTCAAGTGGTCTGCTGGCGAGTACAAGAGCAATATACATCGAGTTTCCACTCCGCCTGGCGAGCAGCATCCCTTCGCCAGATACAGTTTGGCATACTTTGTACGCCCTAATAATGACGTCCAACTCCGACCCCTAGGTAAACACCAAGAATCTTTCCCAACCTTTAAAGAATGGGCACTTCGAAGAGCTATGGCTGGCAATGCTGATACATTCAAGGAAGGTGACTGGGAGAAAGGCCAGGGAACAGAAAGTATTGTAAGCACAGCTGCTAGGGGATAAAATTTCCTATAAATGAAGTAGCTTTATATATGTTGGAACAATCATATGAGAGATCACGTGCTCGCTCAAGTACATATAGCGGACACCTGTTATCTCTTAGACAATCAGTTATCCTTCACTCACACAGTCTCTGTTTGCTAGCTTACTCACGTGCGTACGCCCGCTGCGGGCGTACAATCCTTACACTAAGCCAACTGACACTAATTAGTCTGTTCACAGACTATCTACCGCGTGCGTAGCTACACAGAGAAGGGCCTAATCAAGCAGCCTACCTCGTTAAACTCTGATCGTACAATCTATCGCGCGCTCTATCGTATAATTTACCGCGCGCTCTACTGTGCAACAGAACCGCTGAGCTACTGCGCGCTCCCTCTCTCTTCCTCTCCTCTCTCTTTCTCCCCTATCTCTCTATGATAGACGACGCTTATGACGAGCTGTTAAGAATTACACGTCTCTAAGACAGTCTTGCATATAGAAGTAGATATAGACCTTCTATACGACTGCTGTGCAGATCTCTCCTAACAAGCTCAAACCTTATACGTAGTCTACGTCCTCTAAGATATGCGCAAGTCACGTTAAGAGAGGTATGTACTATATAAAAATGCAGACTTTAAGGGTTAGACAGCTTAGGATATTAATAACCTGCCTCGCTCGATAAGGAGAGAGCTTCTGCTTGCCTTTGCAGAGCATAGGTTTTATCCTGCAGGCAAGGCAAACTGTACGCAAGGTTAAAAGCTATAGGATATTATATCTTACAAGGGAATCTAAGGTATATAGAGAAGAAGAAAAGTAAAACGTTGCTAGTCTTAGAGCGATTATATAAGAGATTACGTGCTCGCTTAAGTATATATAGTCTCTATTTGCTAGCTTATCTACGTGCGTATGCTTAGGCTGGCAAATAGGTATAGATAACTTACATATAGGTATAAGTTAAAGTATAGTTAAGTATAGGTTAACTAAGGTTAAGTTAATGCTAAGACTATATAAGTTAAAGTTAAGTATTATATAAGAAAGTTAAGTCTAGGTTAACCTAGGTTAATTTTATTATATAATACTTAACTATATAATTAAGTATTATATAAGCAAAAATTTAATCTTCTAAATTACTTAATTTAGTAGTATAGATGCTTTAGAGAATAAAAAAAATTATTAAATTTTTACTTATATAATACTTAACTTTAACTTTAACCTTATTACATAATATACTTAACTATAACCTAAATATCTATGACTATAACCTAACTTATACCTATTCTAGCTAGAAAGTTTAGGTATAGGTTAAGTTAATTTAGGGTTTATATTATATAATACTTAACTATAACCTAATCTATACCTATTTGCTACTCTGCGTATGCTTACTGCAAGCGTATAATCTCTATACTAATTTAACTAATAATATAGCTTTTTTAAGTAAACTTTGTCTTTAATCTAATTCTATAGTCTATAGAAATAGAATTTTAAAGAAAAGTCTTTTCTAAGATTACTCTAAGCTCTTAATACAACGAGCATAGACAGAGTCGTCTCTGCAGACTCTGGCACGCATCATGTCGAGCTTAAGAGAGCAAGCTGGGAAGATGATCGCACTTGTTACTTAAGAGAATCAAGATCATGAAGGCGGAGCTTGAAAGGCTGGAGGATAAGTACAACAGGACGAAATGTTGAGATAAATGCTGTTTATATATTTTATTTTCGCGATCAATACATTCCTAGATGACATTTACTAGTGGGCTGTAAACAGCATTTTGTTGATATATACTCGCAGGCATGTCCGCACGCAGTGTGGACCAGAAAGGCTTGCTGAGATGGGTCGTAGTCGATGAGTGCCACTTGACCTACACGGCCAGTCATTACAGAGCTCGACTCGCGCAATTGAAGAATCTGCGTTTTCTCTCGAGTCCTGTGGTTTTGATGACGGCTACGCAGCCTCCTATGCTAGAGCACGAACTTTCCGAGGCCATGCTCGTGCGTTGGGCCCAGTACATCCGAGCTAGCACAGTGCGGCTGAACACACGTTATGTTGTACAAACTACACCAAGGAGTAAGCTTATAGCAACAGCGATACAGATCTGTCAGCGGCAAGTGAACTGCGAAGGGCGTAGTGTACTGCAGATCGCGGGACCAGTGCGAGGAGATGGCACAAAAGCTTGGTTGCGGTTTTTACCATGCAGGAATGGACTCTGAAGATCGGGTGGACCAGGTGGCAAGATGGGTAGACAATGGCGGATTGATTGTGGCTACTTCGGCACTTGGAACGGGTGTGGATTATCCTGGCATAGGTGGCAGCAGAGGCAGGGTCGTGAGATGCAGGTAGTACAGGAGGTGTTGGATGAGCTAGCAGATGGCTGCGCAGCGTGTTGGGTGACGCAACAGGGAGAAGACGACGGAGACTGGTTTTTGCACTCTCGAGCCGAGTGCACGGCGAGACCGGCAGAGCTTTCGATTGATGGCTGCGACGATTTCGAAAGGGCTGAGCTACGCTAAGGACAGCCAGATGTGCTTCAATTGCGGGATCAGGCAAAAACTATGTAACACTAGGAAGAGCAACAAGGAAAACTGTTAATGGACGCGGGGGTAGCGATACCGATCATCACAGCCGCAATGGGGGGTGGCGAGGAAGGGTTACAGATTCTCCCGGAGGTGCGGGTTCAAGGGAGAACAAGGAGATTGGGACGGATATCGAAAGTGTTTAGGACTTCGACACGAACGCAGATTGTGGGAAGAGAATGTAAGTAACAGTATGGTAGTACTAGTTTCAGTTATCCTTCATGCGAAGGAGAGCAGATAGGGAGCTTTACTGCATCTGTACAGGTATCTCATAGCTAGCTACATCGCCAGATGACCCGCATGCGTAAGGAGAAACACACTCATGTAGCTGTAATGTAAGGGAACAGTACACAGGACCGCTTCGAGCTTCTTGATGCAGCTGGCATGGGATTCTTTGGAGTCGTCTTCTATGCGCTCACGAAACATGACTTTACGGTTGAACAGTCTCGACTAACAAGTGATCCGGCTAACTACGATAGCGCAGGGGGCATTTAATAGATTCAGGCTGTTAAAATCTGTAGTCCATTCTGCGCGTCTGGTATTAAAGCTAACGCTAAGTATCTTATCAAAGACATCGAAGTGGTGAGAAAGATTTGGTCAAATATGGAAGAGGCGGTTTAGGATAATTTCGTGAGACTCTATGACTACAACACGTCAAGCGCACCATGGTACAGCATGGAGCCGGTGATTTCCGGACTTACACTTAACAAACTCTACCAAATCAGTGAAGAGAGACGATTGCCGGTTCCCAAGGAGCTGGCATTCTATCTAGTCGAGCAAATCACCAAGGCAACCCTTTTCTTGCATGGAAAATGCGCGATTGTTCACGCGGACGTAAATTCTGAGAACATTATGCTGCGGTACTCCGGAAGACAGACAGCAGTGATGCCTCATGTAATCATGATTGATTGGTCGTTATGGGAAGAGGCTAACGAGGAGCGGATTGTGAAGGACACAAAAAGACGTGTATGAATCTGTGTTCTCAGTCATTTTCCAAGCAGGGTGGGAGTGTAGATCGAGTGACAATCAGGAGGACTGCTTAACAAACAAAACTGCGCACAGCCTAGCGTGGCTTAATCTACACAAAGCTATCAGCGCAGAGCAACCTCCCCTAAGAGGTGAGATCATCTATCCAAGATGGCAACCATGATTGGCAGACACTCATAGCGTGTGTGTGTGTCGATGGGACAGTTCTGCGGCTAGGCCTCATCTACAAATCTTCCAATATCAGCATCACATCGGACTGGGTGGCCGAAATCGAACCGGGGAAACACTCTGTGATGGTTACGTCATCTGCCTCAGCGTGGTCAAATGGGGTTATAGGCCTTGCCTGGCTTAAACAGGTGTTTGATCGCAATACAAGGGATAGGACACGACGAAAGTGGCGGTTATTGATACTAGATGGCCATGGATCCCACGTGACGATGAGTTTTATTGACTATTGTCATAACCACAAGATACTCCTAGCCATACTTCCCTCTTACTCAACCCAGACGCTCCAGCCACTCGGTGTGGTGTTGTTTATGCCTTTATCAACAGCATACCCTAAAGCATTTACCACACATATCTATGAGTCTTAAAACAACGCACCTAGCACTAGAGCAGACTTCTTTCGGCTCTTCTATTAGGCGTGGATGTGTAGCTTCACTGCTTAAGGATATTAAGGGGAAGAGAAGCGTATAGCAAGAGAGATAGCTAAGAAGATGCGTAAGAAGAAGGCAGCTAATGCAGCGATCTAGAAGGCTAAATAGGAGGCTGAAAAGCAGCGTTAAAAACAGGAGCGCAATACTGCAAAAGCTATTCAACTACCTCTAAAGAGTAAGAGGAAACTCTTAGAAGCAACTCAGCTAAAAAAAGCGTTAAAAACGTAGTCCTAGAGATAATATTAGTAGACGTAGTATTGCCGCCTTCCGGCTGCCTTAACCACTACTACCTGCCGCAGCCGCAACGTTAAATTACTAGCAAAATTTAAGTAGTATATCTTTTTCGCAAGCATTTGATTACTACTACACTATAGATGCTCGTAATAATAGCTATTGTGAGTAGCTATAGAACCTTATCTCTATATAAGCGTTAAGGCAGTTAGTAGAGCGTTATGCGAATCTAGGCATTACGCGCATGAACATAGTACTATATTTCACTACTAAGCAGTGCACTCTTACTAGCATTGCAACTCTTACTATCTATTATAATAGTGCTACTACAACGCTACGCGCTGCAAACTCTATAATAAAGGCACGCATCTAAGGCATTTAATATTCTAGAAACAATGTTAAGACGATGACGCGCTAGAGAGCACGCTTAACACGACTGTTAACCTAACTTAAGCAAGCTAGATAAGATAAAGGAGGAGGCAATAGTAGCACGTATACTTAAGCTGAATACGCGAGGAATAGGCGCTATAAGGACTATAGTGCAGGAGATAGCTAATAATCTCCTTGCTGCACGCGGTAAAGAATCTGTTGGCAAGAACTAGGTAGATAAGTTTAGAACGAAGGTTAAGCTTCGATGCAGTCGCTTACACGATTGTCAACGAGCCCTAAACGAAAATCCACGCGTTATAGAGTCGTGCTTTAAGCTAGTAAGGAAGACAAAGGAGAAGTACGGGATCCTAGATGAAGACACACACAACTTTAATGAGTCCGGCTTTATGATAGGCATGATTGCTGCTCAGATGGTCTTTACAGGCTCGGAGAAGTGAATTAATCCCAAGAATATACAGCCAGGCAACTGAGACTGGGTCACAATCATCTAGGGCATCTGCGCTGGCGGATGGGCCATCTCACTCTTTATCATCTTTAGCGGCAAGGTCCCTATATCAAGCTGGTACTCAGACCTGCCTCGCGAATAGGTAATTGAGACCAGTGCCAACGGATGGACAAAAAATGAGCTTGGTGTAAAGTGGCTAAAGCACTTTGATGCGCATACAAAGGAGCGTACTGTAGGCGCATACTGTCTGCTAACTGTAGACGGCCACGAGAGCCACCAGAGCTACGAATTCCATAACTACTGTAAGGAACAGAAGATTATTACACTCTGTATGCCTTCTCACTCGTCGCACCTGCTGCAGCCGCTTGATGTGGGCTGTTTTGGCCCTCTGAAGAAGGCGTACGGGGGCGAGGTCAATGAGCTCATGCGCAACCGGATCAACCACATCACAAAGCAGGAGTTCCTGTTAGGCTTCAAAGCGGCTCACAAGTAATCTATTAACCCTAGCAACATCCAGGGAGGGTTCCAAGGCGCTGGATTGGTCCCTTTTGACCCAGAACGGGTTATATCAGTCCTTGATGTGAAGCTGCGCACTCCATCACCACCACTCCCCACCAACAAGGAGCCCTGGCAGTCGCAAACCCGAAGCAATACCCTGGAGTTTGAGTCGCAATCAACCCTGATTCGAGACAAGTATAAGAGGGAGCAGGGTAGCTCACCTACTTCTGTTCTAAGCGCGATTGAGCACAACGCAAAGAGGGGAGCTAGGTATCTACTGTACGCACACGGACACGTTGTGGCTTTCTGCGTCGCGGCACCTGTTGCTTCACTGCCGTGCAGCCGATGTTGGATCGACATTAACGCGTCCTGGGAGGTTGCTGTGTTCTTGGTATCCTTCGCAATTCTCGCATTCTTCGCACTCGTCGAATTCTTTGTCCAGCGGCGAGGATCCAGCCAAGCCAATACGCTGCGTTCAAGCAAACAAACGGGAGAACCTCGGCGCCTCGTTTGTCCATGACAATACCATGCGCCAAGCCAGCAAAGACAGACGCAGGCGTGAGCAGCGCGAGAGCAAACTACAGAGCCGCCCGTATGGTCTTGAAGTTGTATCTGTTAGATTCTGCAAAATGAGATAATGTTTGCATCTAACAGAAGATTTAATTGAAGTCCAAACTCACTCGGCGACGCACCATGGATAGGAGAAGAACCTGTCCAGACGCTGGGAGCTAATTGGCAAGGCTGGTCGATAGAGGAGACACTTTTGACCTTTGATCAAGTGTAGCAAAGATCAACTACTGCGCTTGTACATGTCGGATGAGAATTGCAGACACAATGCTCTGATGAAGTCTAGGGAAGAGGGCTCTAGTGTTGAAGTCACTAGACGGTGATCTACAGATGCCGGTTCACCCAGAACAAATATAACGACAGAAAGCTCGTTGTACCTTCTGTGGCACTAGAAAGAAGGGCAGCGATGTGCGCTTACACCGGTAGTCGTCCCCTCCAGTGATGCCATATCAACGATTCATCGAATTTTAAGGTGGTTCTTGAGACCGATCGTGGAGAAGCCGTGAAGAAGTCGCAAGGCAGGAAGTGATAATCGAGGTGAACTTCACAGGCAGCTCCAACTGGTGCCTAGCGCCACTGCCACCGCCACCTCGAGAGCTTCCTTTCACCTACATGTTTGGTAGGTAAAGCCGGTGGTGGTATCTCATAGCAGGTGTAGCTGATCGCTGCATCGCATGGTATCTTCTCATCGAAGGGCTATCGATGGAGTCGTCGATGGGTACTCTGGTTCTCGAGCTCGTGTATTTGAGAAAGAGGTGATTCTGTAGAAAAAAAGATTTCCTAACCTCATCATCGATCGTATGAGGTGACCAGCCATTGGAGTCTAGACTGGGCAGTCGCAGATGGCACTTTCTGATGGAGTGCTTTGGCGCATTAGGAACCGCCGGAGCGGGGTCAAAGGGGATGAGCTTTCCTCAATCTCTGCACTCTGCAGTTGAAACGCATTCGTGGGTCAATGGCAGAATCCATCTTTTGGGCTTTGTGATTTGAGTGCCGGTGAGGCTTGTGTGGAGGTACTTCTGGTACTCGATCATATGCTACAGCGCGCCAAGATGTTAGCTGCATCGTCGGACGTCTGGAGACTTAAGACGCAGCGGTTGAGGGAGACTTGGCGAAGCAAAACGTTCAAAGGAAGAGCTTTCGCTGATTGTTGTAAGCAAAGGATGCGCTATCTTGTCGTGTGCGGTAGGGCCGGGTGCGCCAAGGCCCAGCAGTCTGACATCTTTAGCACCACTGGCAGAGATTCTTCAACCGGAACTTCATAACTTGAAGACTCCTCTTTTTGGTCTCGCAGTAGCTGCTTTCAATCTGTTCTAGCACTTTATCCTGCAACCAGTGTAATGCAATTCTCAGACTCCTTTCAAGTAACTCCAACTCTTCACCCAATGCGCCAGACTGCACCACAATCTGCGGTAAAGAGATACTCGATTTATGACATGTGATCTGCGCAGTTACACCGATATTGTCATTCGTGGTTGCACCAGGAGACGCACTAAGTAGCGACAGCGTCGTTGAGCCTTTGGTACCTCGTGGCTGCCGTCAAGGTCGAGGGCAAGGGCTTTGATGATAGAGTTGGTAGAGACATCCCGCAACATTTATGTGAGCGGTGCGGATCTCGCATCCTTGTCTTGGTAATCCTCATTGCTGTCGCAGTCTCGAGCTCCTCCCTGCCTGACGGGTTGTCGAAAGGTTGGTAGTCGCCATCGGGTCGGTCTGGCGCGGCCCTCGAGTGCTTAGAGATTGTGCGATGTAGCGCTGAGGCTGGTATGCTGCTGCATGTTGCCGCTAAATACTCTTAAAGACTGACCTGGAGCATCATTGTAAACGACGCAGTGGGCGTAGCATCACGATGAAAAGAACGGATGGATCTGCAAAACGATCTATGAAACCTCAACAAGAACGCGCGAAAGTTTAGAAGCACAGCAAACGAGATCCACAAGCAGAAACTTAAACTATCAGTCTGGTGTTGACTCAAGGGTGTATGCTACAGGGAGCAACAAAGATGGGGGTGGTGAAGGCACTTAGGCAGTGACTTCATGTTGCTGCCAGGATCTGCAGAGGTATTCACGTCCTGGCAAGAGGGGTCGCGAACGGTAATTGAGAGATAGGGGCCTTTGTTTTTGTTTGAGAGAGGTATTGTTTCACTTGGAGCATCGTCTGGTGGAGGCAACCACTTCCGAGAAGTGGCAATAGCCGCCTATCGTCTCCCTGCAGACCGCCAGCCGAACAGGAACGTTTATCTCGCGCCTCTGAAGGTGGCACTGGAAAGTTTGTGCAGCTACGTGTACAAACCCCTCGGTGCGAGTGCGAGGCTCTGCGGTACAACGCTAAGCCTAAACCGCAGTAGTCAGTGTACAAGACCGAGACTGACGTACGAGACCGATGTACGAGACGACACGGAGAAAGCAGTTGATCCGACCATACCCGCGCCCGGACATGGCATGCCCTAGCCCTAATAGGGTTGGCGCAATGAATTCATTTATAATTAACTGTTGGGCGGGCCGGAGGGATTTCTAGGGGGGCCTCCTACTCTTCCCTCTCGGCCTTCGGGACTCACGAAACTTACGTTACCTATATCTCTTAAAGTAAGTAAGATTTTCTTAAATTAATTGATAATTAATTGACAATTGATTTATTGCGCCTTCCCTATTAGGGCTAGGGCATGCTATGTCTGGGCGCGGGCATGGTCAGATAGCCTGCTTCCTCAGACCACACTGCGTGCGCAATCAGAGCTGAGGCTCTTTCTCAGGCGCTTTGCAGAATACTGCCGAGTACAGCACGGTCTCCGAAGTCCCCGAAATCTCCGAGAATTATGATGCGAGCAGGGATCCTGGCTGATCTCGTTAAGGTATCGCCCCATGCTATCGCCCCACATGTTGCCTAATCACGTGATCTCAACAGATTTTTGCCCGTTATCTCGCACCACTGGACGCGCAGTCGCATCGTCGGGTTCGCGCGGCATGTACAGTACCATGCACGCAGGTGCTCGTTGCGACGCTGCGTGCAGGGATGGAAAGGGGCATGTCGCATTCAATATCCTGGTACTGCTGTTCGAGGGGCGAACGCCGTGAGATTGTGAGCGCTGAGGCTGCTGTCCCCACCCAATTCACCTTGATCATAATCCCGCATCATTTCATCCACCCCCAGTCCCACTTATTTGCACTGCCCCCTTCTCTCGTCACTCTTCTTCAGTGCTCAGATGAGTTGTTGTCGCTCAAACTGCTGCCCACAGCTGACGCACAACACCACCTATACCCCCTTGGCAACCTAAAACACCAAGCAACGCCTGGAAAATAGAGGCTCAAACAACGCTGATCCTTAAGAGGACAAGAGACCACAAGAGCTCATCACCTAATTCTATTATTGACAAAGTGCTGCAGGTTAAAAAGGGGTTAACTTTGAAGGTACACTCACACACGTTGCTTGAAGCTGAAATAGATAGTCTTGAGCAAGCAAATCAGGCTGCTTCTGAGCGTAAAAAGCGTAAGAAGAAGCGACTACAGAAGTGGGGGACCCTATCACAGGCAGAAGCAGGGGTAATAATTACCCATGAGGATACTAAGGTTCAATTTGAAGTAGAGAGACGTGAGGAGAGAGTGCACTGTGCAGGGTGGTGCTAGCAGCAGGGGTATACCCCACTGCAGGAGATGTGGCAAGACAGGACATAATAAGCGCACATGCAAGAAAGAGTACTAGAAACAGGCGATTAATTTAGGCTATTGCGCACGAATAGATCTTCCGGCCCGAATGTCTGAAATCTGCCTCGTATGCAGACCGCGTCAGAGGTGACGTTATCTGCATTGCTGTTTAGGTGTGGCAACCTGCAGGCCTTCGCAATCATGTAAGAAGAAGGAAACACAATAGTCGTAATGGGAGTAGTGCTTGCTTTTGAAGTTCCCAGTGTGTCGGTATGCCAAGAAACTGTCGGATACCGACACTGTCAAGGGAGTTGATAGACTGTTTAAAACATCGCTGTAGTCTGTTAATTCCTGTCTTGATTCTTTAGTTCCATATCAAAAACCGAAGCTTTGACTATCCTACGTCAGTTAGGCCTATACATTTCTTATCTCTTTGATATTCCCACACCCTCGTGTACAGCACCTAATTGACAGAACTTTGAATTTGTCAATCGTAAAATTTCTGACAGCTACCCTTCGATATTTGCATCTAGTATTTGCACCCCACCACGAGTATAGGGACCTAGCTATGAACATTATCGTGCACAACACTACAAAATCCGAATTGATTGAGAATAGCGGTTATGAAAGCTATTGGGCGCTCTCCGAACATCAAGCAATGATGTATTGGCATATTAGGCTTGCCCTTTTTGCTTGGGCTGGGATCCTACCGATTGGTGTGTCGATCAAGTCCACCCCAAACATTCTGAGCTGACGATAGAAAGCTGTAATGCTGAGCATTTCTCATTCACGATTTTCACTTCCTTCTCAGTTTGTGTTCCTGATGGTCAATCGGCTTGCCCTCTCCGTCGGTTACTTTTATAACAAAAGAGCGCCAAACCTTTACAACAATAATGTCCACTGCCGAATAGGCTGGATCATTACATGTACAGCCATAACCTGGGTGATTATAGCCCTCATTAAGGCTTACGTAAGTAGACACGGAACTCTGGAATACAAATCGGCTGGGTCAACAACTGCTATAAGCTCAACACAGTATCATCAAGTTGAAGACGGAGAGTCTTTCGATACACGTACATGGTCAGATAACCACAGACAGGGATCAACGCTCCTTTCAAGGTCACTTGACGACTACCACGTCTCATTCAGCTTGGATATTGCAGATCGACATTTATCACGACTTGACGCGTCGACATCACAGGACACCCCGCGGGCTTCGTTCGTCACTCGATATTTTCCCTGCTATGTCGCATGCTTCGCTATGATCATCTCAGCAAGTTCTCTGCGCCTTTTCTACGTAATTCTCGAGCGTATAGTATTATTACAGGGGTCCATAGCTGTTCTATCAGACACTGTTGTCTATAGAGGTATTGGTATAAGTATTTGGATGATGCTAGCGTCGATGCAGAACAGTTAACAGTCTCCAGCGCGATAATGAAATCTTTAATGTGTTAGCACACTACATCAAAGGAAGCGTTTTTTTCCTCTACGGCCTACTCACTCTTGGTCGATAGACGGGTGCATTTGCTGACTATGGATGGGCTTAGAACGCAATACCAACAAGAGAGGGACAAAGACGTCAGACAAGAGGGATACCAAGTGCTGAGTTTACAGCATCTTTCGTCATCTGGCTGTATGGTATTACCAATGTGTTCTTAGAGCATCTGGCCGCTTGGGGCAGAGCATGGAAGGCAACAGATTTAGAGCACGTCTCCATCTCTGTTTTATTCTTTGCAGGTGGATGGGTGAGTCGTCAATGATCCATCTTGTACGGTGTTTACTAACAGCAGCATAGTTAGGCATGATTGTGGAGTCAAACACAACACGGGAACTACTCAGCAGCTCTGCACTTTCCTACCGAGTCATACAGGACATAAAAGAGAAACCGGTTCAACCTCATCAGTACGGCTTTTCTATGAACCCGGTAGCCAGTCTGATCATCTTTCTACTGGGCAAGATGATGAGTTCCCACCACCAAGGCTCGATCCTGTCTACAGCAATCCACACCCAGTGGGGAACCTTGCTTGTGGGCTTTGCGCTTGCGCGTTGTCTCACGTATATCATCATGTACGTTGTTACACCGACCTCCTTTTTACCATCTCGACCGCCAATTGAGGTAGTTGCCTCTTTTTGTCTTATTGCTGGTAGCAACCTCGTGCATTGTCAGTAACGGGGACACTGTTACCGCTCTAGAGTCTTACGACTTTGATTCCATGTTCACTTTCACTGTGATTACGGGTATCACGGCTCTGACCATGGCTTGGACTGTAATCACTTTCATGATCAAAGGCTGGGCCCTCCAGAACGAAAGGATCAGTAGGTACGGGGCAAGCTCCGCTAGTCCATTGAACTAAACACTTTCCTGACTCTGTACCTAAAGCTGTTGCTGAGATACACAGGACGTTCCTCAAACCCAAAAAAAAAATCTTCTGTGAGAACAGAGAGGGCTTCCATTCATGGAGCAAAATCCAAGCGGTGTCCATCGGAGAGGAAGTAAACGACGGTGTTTTCAAACCAGATTGATGATTTGTAAGTTGTACATTATACTTCAAAAGTTCGTGTGAACGTGAAGAACAAGCGTGATCTGTTGACAAAACTCTTCACTACAGTACTTGGAATGTTTGCTAAGTCTGCCGATGGTCACTAATCCACAACAACAACTTTGCCATCTCAAGATGACCTGTGATCTTCGGAAAAATGCCCCAGAAAGTAACCATATCATGACACAATGGCTGAAACTTATTGCATTAAAGTTTTCAAATGTTCCACCTTCGACGCGACCTTGCGTTTTAGCTCAGTAACCATACCAGCATACACCTCGTGACACAACGAGCTCGCTGCGTCTTCCTTTGTAACAATCTTTTCCAGATTGTAGATCGCACGTTGCATCTCTGAGAAACGCTTCATCATGAGTGTTTGCAGCAGAGCACGTTGATCGGTCCTTCTTACTGTATAAGTCCCACACCGCATCAACAGCTCGTCTTGTGCTAGATTGGTAGTGCTACACATGAGCTGTCCAGAAGGAACTTCACCCCAAACCGTTCCCATGCCCAACAGAACAGAGACCTCGTCCATCGCTTGGCACAAGAGTAATGCTGAAGAAGGCTTCGGTCCACACTGTGTACAGCATAGGACATTGAAGCAGTGGTTGAGGAGGACAGTAGACCTTTGTAACGCAAATGCATAGGAGGAACTTTCACTCACCCTCCCATCTCCCTGGCCGTTGTCCATAAGAGAAGCTGACCTATCGAGCTGATGAATCAGCAAGGTAGAGCAAGAGCATACGATAGTCGAAGTGTTCAAGTCTACGGGCAAATCGCCAGTATGACTGGACGTTGTGGTGGTCAATTCGGTCCATGCTGATTCACTGCCTCCACCGAAGTAATCGAAAGAGAAGACTTGCGAGATATCGGTATCGCTGCGTGTTTGTGATGGACTGAACATGGGCGTAAATGTGAATGCCGAGCTATCACATTGTAAAGCATTTGTGGGGTCATCAAAGAACGACAAGGTGGGAAATGATGCACTCGTCAAATCAACTGCTGCACCCCCGTATGGCTCGAGGGCTAGGTTCTGTCTGTGTATCTCAGGACGGATGTCCGGGTGGCTTTTGACGTGTTGCTTCTCGTTTGAGATGTTGGCGGTAGTTGTGGTGTTCAAAGGTTGGACAGAAACACCAAGTGAGGATTCCGGCGCTACAAGCTCAGGGGAAGGAACCAACTCTCCACAGTCTTTGTTGACGGGTGACGTTGGCGTAGGCGGCAGTATTTGACGTTGTATATCCTGTGGGCCTTGTGAGGGTTGGCGAGAGATAGGCGCAGAGGATGTTGTGGAGCCCTTCCTACGGGATCGTGGACGTCCATTACGGCGCGACATGCTGTAGACGCATTCCAGATTGTTCTTAGCACATCGTCGACAGGCAGGCCGCTCTTTACCGCAGCGAATTTTCGATGTCTGGCAGACATCACAAGATTGATGTACCTTGGGTGTTTCTGACTGCCGGCTGCTTTTATTTTCCATGATCGGGGATCCAAGGCGATGGTAGTAGCAGCTAAGTAGCTCGATAACTACCCACTCACTCCCATTAAGTGGGGTCTGTGGAGTGCGTGGGGTCCGTAGGATTGGCGAAGCGTGTGCAGTGCTCAAAGTGCTTGGACTGAGTGCTTGAGATGCCAAGAGAGCTTGTGCTGTATAAAGGCAAGTCAAGTATTGAACGCTGTTCTGAGAAGGGGTTTGAAGAGCCAGAGACCTTGTTGAACTCGTAGTTAAGTATCTACACTGATGTACTCTAGAACTAAGGTATTGCCATAAGCAGTACGGCGGTTATGCGGGATGGAGCTAAGTCTCGGACACACTTAGATGAAGGTCGATGTTGCAACATCTGACAAGGCAGGACCGGAAACAAGGCTAATGCGCCGAGCCAACTCTTGAAGCTGCCGAAGTTGAGCAGAGACAAGGCCGAAACAACGGTCCGTGGGTACGGACTTCATGGTGGAAAGGGCCCTTTGAAGCAGATTCATAACATCGGAGAAATGTGATAATTGCAAGCTCATCAACTCACGACTCAGAATCTTGGTATCGGCAGGGTCGAGGTCGTAGGGTCCAAGAGAGAAAATGTGATCTGTGGAGCCATTGATCAGGTCACCAGGGAGCCACTGCTTGCGCACCCACTCGGCTATAGTGATACAGACAACGGTAACGCTAGACAGGGAGGATCGGCGTGTCCGACAGGTGTCGCAATCGAGTAATGCGCGGCATCGCACTTCTGCGTCTTCCAGGAGCTCCAGCGACTTCGGAAGATCTGTTGACCCGGTACCCATCTGCTCAACTCGCATCAGTGTGTGAAGGACTGATAAAGTGCAGCCGCAGGTAGTTGTAGCCATCACCTTGCGCTTGTTCAGTATGTCTGCAATCTCATCAAGTAGAATTAAGCTTACCGCCAGGTCACCTCTGTCCGAATTTTCGTTTGAGATGGAATCAACGTGGACTGATTTAAAGCCATAAAGTCACATTCAAAGTCAAGTGTCGGCCTCCGACCCCCAATTTGATTGGCATGGTACAAAACGGTGCGGGAGCGCGGGATATCTACGATCCGGCCAAAGCCGCACAGCTGGCGACGTTAGCCAAAGATTGAGGCTGTGGGGCTGTTTGGGGTTCGGCTCGTGCTAGGAACGTGCCATGCCTGCTAGCAAATCAAGGGTTCAAGACATCTTTCCCAACGTACTTAGACAACAATTGATGTAAGCGATTTCATTGGCATAGACTGCCATCAGAGAATGTAGCTTCCCTGGCCCGCCGACTTAGACGCCGCTCTGTGTTCTCCACACTTGCGCCTGCAACTATACACCCCCCCCCCCCCTGAACGGGTCGTTAGCGTGCAAGAGCCAGATCAGGGGTTTTGTCCAATCCGATGTTGTGAAAACCCTTGAATGGTTCTTGCACGCTGAAGACCCGTTCATGGGGGTGGGGGTGTGTGTGTGTAAGGTACAGGGTCACCAAACGCCAAGTCGCTTCCTGAATAGCGCAGCTGATTAGCTTCCATGAAATCCGATAGGCTAAGTCTAATTATCATGCACAAATCAAATATTTTTATGCTAATTTACTGCCGTTTTTCCTCTAAGACGATAGATACGCAACAGTCTAACATAGTGATACATACTAACAATAGCTAGAAAACACTAGGGTGCGACTTAGCGTTTGGTAACTCTGTAGTTTCGCTGCATCTTAAAAAGAACTCTTGCTCTGCTTTCCCTGTTTCCAAAGGTTAGGCCGAATACTACACTTCTACGTCATCTAATAAATATCCTTGCCCGGCTGTCAGATGTAACGAGTCATCGCAGAACGGTCAAATGCGAGAAAAGCAGGGACCAACAATCTTAGTCAGCTGAGACAGACACAGACAATACAATCTATCCATTATCTCTTCATCTATAATCTGACACCTGCCTTTGACCTTGTTCTAGAATCTGGTATTATGCCAAGTGTTATGGTATATCATGCTAAGCGAGCCTGTTTGGTTGCTCTATTTCTAAAACGCCGCTTCGGCGAATACAGTATAGCGCCTGCTCCAACGTAAGCGCTATTAGAAGCTATCATAAAAAAGGAGGCAGTAAAGACCTCCGTTTTGCTCCGTCTTACTCTCGCTAGTTCTTAACAAATTAGGCTTAAGACTTACTCTTTTAAGCGCGCATAGAAAATAGAGTCTCCATCTTCGTGCAGCAGTCACTTTGAAATATCGTCACCCACCAGATTGCTCCGTTTCGTCACGTAACCGCAGCTAGCCGCGGAAAAATTCTGCCACTTTTCTGCTGAAACAGCGTTTTGGAAATAGAGCAACCAAACAGGCCCTTAATTAATAGAAAGAACTGACCTACCGTCGTTGGTAATTAAAAGGAGGTATTACTACATATCGCAAAAAGATCTTCGGTGACTAAAATTTCCCTAGACATCGCTTCGATCTGACCGAGATCGACTAGCGACAAGTACTAGCTCCAGTTTCTGCGTAGGAGAGCCGGAAGAGATATTACTACAACTAGTTACTCATTGTTGAGAAGCAATTCAAAAAAGCTAGTCAATGCATTACCTTAAGATGTCTTGGAGGCGGAGATTGAAGTAGGAGTAATGATAGACACGCAGTCCATTCAGCTTTGTTTCCATAGCAAGGTCGTCTGTTCAATACTCTATAGTTTCACCCTTCGTAGCTTATCCAGTCTAAACGTCTTAGTGAAAATTCTAGCCTACGTTTTGCGTTAGTAACATGTAGTGTTTAGGAAGAGACATTCGTACCCAAACACTTTGTAGCCCAAACGTTTCCAGGACCCAAACAACACGGCTCCAGGGACCGATCCAGAAGTTCATGGGAGGCGATGCCACCTTTGTGTAGACATCTTTTGCAAATTGTCCTCGTGCAAGCGTTTTTACGCCATCTGATAGCAGTTACCATCTGTGCGTCACCATAGCGCATTGATTCTGCTTACGTTCTTTATGAGACATGCGTGAGTTAAACTCTGCTTGCACAGGTAGGTAAAGAGACGATGAAGGAAGAACTCGAGTTGCACGGGTCATAAGCCCGCTCTCGACAGGTCCACTCAAGACCTTTAGAAGATTAGCAATTCGTTGTCCCTGCTATTATGCATGGACAAATCACATACCGTCATAACCTTAACGCTAAAACAGTTAGATTAGTATAGTGAGCTCTCTGATTGTGGAGGTCCTTCTCACTTGAATGGGCTAAGCTCGATACGAAGTGTATTACCCATGGCAAGTAGAGCAGCTTTACTGCCGTTATATGCAGCTGGATTTTGACAGGATCAGAACATTTTACTCTTCAAGTGGGCTGTGGATGCGCAAACCTCCGAAAGCATATGGAGAGTATGCTGCTAAGGATCCAACATTGACAATGGTGCCTTTGGATTCGATCAAGAGGTCAGACATAGCCTTGATAACCCGGATCGTTCCGAAGACGTTGATGTCGAAGATACGATGTAGTTCGCTCATGTCAAGATCGAGCACAGGCATGACATAGTCGTCGCCACGTTAGCTTGCTGCTGTGACCCTACTTGACCGCGACTTACTAATTCCACTGTCGGATGAGTTAGCCTTTTGCAGCATTTACACTTCGATCAACATTAGGCGGAGACTACTTACGCCGAATTAACTAAGACATCCAACTTTGCGAAATGTTTGTGCAGAAACTCGGAGAAATCGGCCACGCTAGAGTCAATGGTGACGTCCAGAGGGCAGCAAATCATCCCCAGAGCCTCGAGATCTGGAAGTTGTTCATGCGGAAGGCATGTTGCACAGACGAGGTAGCCTAAAGATAAGCGATTGCCAGGTGGTATATTGGACACGTAAATGTATTACCATTTTTATGAAATTCCAAGGCCAGAGCCTCACCGATACTGTTCGGGCTGCATCTGTGATTTAGGCAATAGCTATCAGTGATTTCGTCATTCGCATTTGTTGTGTTTAGAGCTTACCCAGTGATGACGACAGTTTTCCTGCTCTTCTCCATTTTTTGTAGCGCGACTGAATGGAAGTAAATTTAGAAGATTGTTAAAATTGCGACATGACGTCTGTTAGGTAGTTTATAAAGCATACATTCCCCCTATTAAGCGTGACACTGCATCAAACCGTTCTTAACTCGGGAAGACGGTTTCGGCGGTTGATCTAGCACAACTTGGGCCATCACCGAGAGTGAATCAATTTGTCATGTATTCTAATGCCCGAGATTCTTCATGATCTGGTATATTATATTGTGTGTCGGAGCTCCGTTGTCTTACAGAACACCCAATAGGTTGGTTCTCGTTCAGAGTTTAGAAAAAGGGTCGGGTACCGACCTTGTTCTCATTCAAATGAAGGGTCGGGTGCCGATCCGCTTCCATCGTCCGATAAGTTCGGCCGAGCCAGACTCGAATGACATCGACTTTCGGCACCTTCCAGCCCCTTGTCAATTGCAGCCGATAGATAAGAAAGCGCTTCATGTCGAAAGGTGCAATCATCCATGTCGACTTCACGACGTGTCAATAGATAGTTCAACGAAGGATAGCGAAAAAAATGAAATCCAACCTGCAACGGATACCATCAGAGCCCATAGTCCTGGAAGCGGGGTCCACTATCACTGATCCTTCCCAAAATTTGGTTACATGGGCGGATGATGCAGATCCGGAAAATCCGAGGTAATGGAATGCAATAATAGCTTTTATCCTCGCTGATCATTGTGCTAGGAACTGGACTCCGTTGAAAAAATGGCTTGCTCTGTCCACTGTTTCATTCCTTTCTTGTATAAGGTTGGAATAGATGTTCACACAGAAAAGGTGTCAACATGCTAAAGTTTCCAGTCCTTTAACTTCTTCAATGATTGCTCCGGCCACACCACTCATCAGCAGGGATTTGAACAACGATTCAGACACTTTCTCGGTGCTCGTGGTTACCTTCTTCATTCTTGGCTACGTGGTAAGCCCGCTAATATCACAACCAGCCTCTTCGCTTTAGAATACTTATGTGGTTGTGTACAGGTCGGATCACTTCTGTTTGGCCGCTTAAGTGAGATATATGGCCGCCGCCCTGTGAGCAATTTCTTCGTTCGCCCTGGACATTGAAGCCCGACTTGAGCTCGGTAGCTGACCCTTTGCAGATTCTCTTAATCTCCACTTTCATCTTCTCAATATGGCAGCTGGGTTGTGCACTGTCTACCAGTATAGAGATGCAAATGGCATTTCGTCTGTTCGCCGGCTTTGGTGGCTCTGGCTGCATCGCTATTGGTGGAGGCATCATAGCTGATGTTTTCGATCTCAAAGACCGTGGCTTGGCTGTCACAATATTCTCTGTAGGACCCTTGGTGGGTCCAATTCTGGGTCCCATTGTAGGTGCATACATTAGTCACGACCTGGGGTGGCGAGCGGTAAGTGTTCTTTTGGCTTGAATAACGCTTGACGTTGACCAATTGCTCAGATCTATTACTTCATGTTCATCACGTCCATGATAGCAGAGATATTCACCTTCATTGTGGTGAAGGAGTCCAACCCTCAGACTATACTCTCTCACAAACGCAATCAATTGCAGAAGCTGACTTCGACACCTCTCTTCCTCGAGAATGAGCTCTCTGCTATCCCTAGCAAATCGCCCATCTTTGACTTGCTCGTCTCAACATTTCTACCATGGAAGGTAAGCTTACATACACCGTACTTCTTATCAATCGCTAAACACCCTTAAAAAGTTGCTTTTCTTTTCGCCAGTAACTGCCTTACTGTGTGCATACATGGCATACGTGTATGGTTTGTTGTACTTACTTTTTACGACAATCTCGATTGTTTTTGTAGGAAATTACAGATGGTCGATCAGTACATCGAGTCTGGTGTACGTTTCTATTGGAGTGGGGTTTGCCATTGGTCTCGCAGCACACGGTGCGCTCTCAGCTAAGATGTTGAAGAGGTCTATGAAACTTAGCAATGACGTGTTTGAGCCAGAGATGAGGTTAGAACCTTGCAAGATCATGGGCCTCATGGTGCCTTTGTCTTTTTTCTGGTATGGTTGGGCGGCGGACAAGCAAGTGCACTGGGCCGTCCCAGTAGTGGGTCTTTTGCCTTTCGGTATCGGGCTGATAGGTGTCTTTCTGCCCATTCAGAACTACATGATCGAAGCATTTCCGGAAATATCAGCAAGTGCAACGGCTGTCTTGGCTTCTTCGAGGAACGTTGTTGGAACATTCCTACCGATCGTTGCGCCAAGCATGTGTGAGATGCCCATTCTTTTCGTCTATTTCCTGGCATCTTGATTGACATTGGGTAAGAGCTAACCATGAGAATAGATCGACGGATGGGAATCGGCTGGGGAAACACTCTGCTTGGCTTCCTTTCAATCATCGCACTTCCTTTTGCCTGGATTGTAGCAAGGTAAGAAGAGCTCGAGCCGGTTCTATAAATGTCATACTTTGACTAACGTAACGATTAAGGTATGGGAAGTCGCTCAGAACGAGATATCCAGTAAAATTGTAGTCAACGAACAGAGGTTCTTTTGGCATTTCCCTTAACCCAGATGTTGGAAATGAATGGCGGTACAGAGTCTGACACACCAACACCAACACGTGGTGATAGATGATCCTTCTCAGCAGATACTACAAAACCTAGAGTGCACGCACTGCCATTAAGCAACGCAACAGATGGACGTGCCGTTTAAAGGTAGCTGCGCACGATAGTCCGCATGCGCGTGTATCGTGGGGCTATTGTAGGGCGGGGCGAGCTGCGTCTGGGGAGTGTCCAAGCTTTTATCAGCAAGCCCTAGAAATTGAAACCTAAAGACTGCAGCGTTGCTTGCAGACCATGATCTTGGCTAGGAAGTTAAGTCTAACGGGCGGCAGTACTACTGTAGGTAGAGACATAGGATGCCTAATCTTAGCAAGGTTGGCTAGTTCTTTATTATAGAACTATTAGCCTAGTTAATAGTAAGCAATGTAAATTCATAACACTACTAGTAGCTAGTATTCTTAACTTTATACTTCAATAAAATCCCAGACAATTGCCTCCGAGTTCCAGTCCATAGTCTTAACTTGCTGCTTAATGCCGTGCTCTGACTCGTTTGCAAACACACCTAAGGGACGAAGGAAATCGTCGTGACACACTAGTAGAACGCATCCGCCTCCAGGGCGCATTCGTGGACATATGTATTCGTTCTTTCGGTGATGAGGAACGTGGCAAGCTAGCACTCCGTGTTCGTGATAACCCAGATATTGCGCAGAAGCTGGATCCTTGAACCCCATCCAACCTTTGTCCTCCACGCATCGCCATCTGAAAGTACCAAGCCCTCCTGGTTTGTCTAGGATAACCTCGCCGTCCAAGAATGTGATGACATGTCCGTTCGTTTGCGATCGGATGATAAAGGTGCGCCCGGGCCATGGAATGGAAGATTGTGCGGTCTCGCTGGCGTTTTTCGTGGTGTTTTCCGAAGTCGCAGAGGGCGTGCAGATATCCCACGTCTCAGACCCAACGATCGACGGGGCAGTGGGCTGCTCGTGCGCCATATTGAATTTCAAGCGGGCGTGATAATTTCGGCTGTTTGCGACGTGCTGGATATGGGGATGAAGGTCATCAAAATGAGGATCGAGGAAAGATGGTTCTGAATGATTGTCAACAACCGTTGCACAGCCGCGCAGTCGATGCAGTTAGAGCGGTCACACACTCGGGTGTGTCTAGTACATTCATTGGTGTTGCTGCGCACCCCGCAGAAGCTGAGCGTCCAGTCAGCGCACTTTGGCTGCAATCGTTTTAGCGCCGGCTTTGCGCTGACCATCGTAAGGATTCCGTGCAAGCGATGCCTGCGGGTGCATGACTGACTACTGGGTAACGATGGCTTATCTTTCACTGCTCGGAAGCCGTGCATCGTGTAAGATAATGACTACCTAGGCGTTATGCCGATGCCCGCTTCAACCTGACAATATGGATGAGCTTGGCTGCACACAATGTTGCCTAGTCTAAGCCTCGCAAGCACCCAGCTCGTCGCCAAAGTTGTTATTTATAGATGAAATTCAAATAAATTAGACTATAAGATGCGCATCACTAGTAAGAGCCGTGTGGATTGCTCAAAATTTGGGAAAATGGCCGTCAGGTCGCTCGTCAAGACTTCTTTTCGCCCCCTTCTTGTCATAAACGTCAGGAGAAAGATCCCGCGAAGCCTGCTTTGCGCCGAAATCTTTGAGGCCAGTCCTGGACTTCTGACGTCGGATCGATGGACGACGCAAAGGATTTGGATTGATTAAAGGTGAGTATGAGTAGCGGTGGTGGTCCGACGCGTGATGCGGATATTGGTGCTCGAGGACGACACGGACATTGAAATCAGGTGCCCAGCCGTGCCTCTCGTCACCGACACTCTCACTACGAGCCAGTCTGGTTGATCGAATGCCTCTTGTGGAGGATGTTACAGATTGCTGCGGGTGAGTGGGATTGGGCGCGACCTCGACGTCTTTGTTATCATCCCTCGTTCTTCCTCTTCTGTGTCTCCAGCCTCCAGTCATGTCTTGGTTCGCTCTTGTATCGTTCGTCGGATACAGAGTGCCTGGCATAATCACATACTCATCTAACGATCGAGGCAAGCTCGCGAAGTTGAACCCTCTTCCTGCCTGTTCGGGCAAGAAGCGTTGACCGATGTTGGCATTGAAGTCGAGAGTAAAGTCTTGCGTTGGCATGTACTTGGGCAGATTTGTGTACCATTGCGGATACGAGCCGAACCAGGACTCAATCTCGGCATCGACATTGACGCTCAAGTAGACATTCTTGACGCCGTCCGGTTTGTGCACAAGCAACACGAGATCGAATTCTCGCGGCAGACCGGATCGCTGCAACATGTTTTCCTCTAGCGTCCAGACTGCCATTGCATCCTCGACATCGTGTTCAGGCCCCAGAGGACTCCGTTTTGTCCGAATGGAGCCCTGCATACTCATCATATGGAAGACCTTGTACGATCCTCTCATACCACCAGACGGATTCAACGTGGCTGATACGGGCGCTTGCGATACGCCCAAGGAGCTCGAGAGACTGAAGTTCCACTGCAAGTTTTCCGGAGATACAGCACCGAACATCAATTTTGGTGCGTGCTGGAGAATGCGGGGATGTGATTTGGCGTGTCGATACCGATGATCTTTCGGTGATTCCGTCGGGTCATCGCCGTGGACGCACACTTCAATATCTGCGCTCTTGAAGCGATGCGACCTGGGGTCTTGTGGATGAAAGACGAAATGCACGGAAACAAAGAACACATTGTCCAGTGCACCCCCATGCAATATGCTCGAGTCGGAGAAATAGCCATGTTGTAGCCGATTGACGTGTGCCGAGATGTAGGCGTTTCCAGGCAGAGTTCGCTCGTACAAACACTTCTTGTGGATCTGGAGGCGCTTCTTTGGGGTGTTGATGTCTTTGCTCGGGACGCTGGAGGAGTGTCTCCGCTTTCGTGCTCGTACGGGCAGCTCTGTCGTTTGTCGTTGAGGTTCCGAATTCCCTTCTCGAAGCTGATGCAACAAGGAACTCATCGCAAGCGCTGCCTTGCTTCAACAACAGAAAGGTACGCTTCTTTCGTCTAGGAATGTGTCACTACGGAAACTCTACACGTGGAGCCTTTAATTGCGGCGCGTTTGTATCGACGAGTTGCCGGGATTGATTCATAGTAGGTGTAGGTGCGGTAGAAGACAATGTGGGCGTCATGAGCGGATGTGCGTAGAAAGACGAAAAGACACTGAAGATGATGGATTCAACTCGGGAGCATGAGACATGGTTGAGGCTTGCCATCTATCATGCCTCGTGAGCCATGGGAGGCGTGAACCGATGGCTCACGCGGCGTGTGATGGCCGGCCTGTGTGATTGCACGAAAGTTGCCATCGCTGGGTCTCGTGGGCAGATTACGTAGGACATGGCGGCCTTGCAGGCCAGGCGACGACATTGTTATCGCAGTCTGACGCTTCAAAGGGTTGATTTAAAAGGTCGCGTTGACGGTCCCGAGGATGAAGTGATGGATGCCGCGTCTTATCAGCGCGGCCTTATCGTGAAGCGAACCCCGAACCCCGCAATCACCCTAAAGAGGTGAAGTCTGGCTGACGGGGAGCTGCACTGTGGATTGCAGACACCTTGCGAAGACTGGCAAGCTTCTGACGGCAGTAATATTGCTGCCTAGGTATACTCTTCGTCTTGGCCACTTGACTATACGATGCAGTTGTGTCCCAAGGAGGTGTGTGTGCGACCATGCGTCTCCCCTGTGCCCCACACTAACCCAGCCGCCAGCTTGACAAGCTCGTCATCTCGCAGCTTGGCCTGCTTGCACAGCGTCGCCTGGCACGAGGCGTGAAGCTCAACCGCCCAGAAGCTGTTGTAAGTACCGCGACGTGTTTTCTACGGCTCTGCTAACAGGCTCCAGGCACTTATTGCGAACAACCTCCAAGAAGTACCGCCCCCAATAGCACGCGCCTTGCATCTCGCATCCTGAACGCGTACAGCTTATTCGCGATGGCAACCACACAGTCGCGGACCTCATGGCCATCGGCACCACCATGCTGGGGCGCCGCCATGTGCAGCCCTCAGTCGTCGCGTCGCTCTCCGAATTGATGGTCGAAGGCACCTTTCCAACAGGCACATACCTCGTCACCGTCCACAACCCCATCTGCAGCGATGATGGCGATCTCGAGAAGGCCCTCTACGGCTCGTTCCTGCCTATACCCTCGAACGACATGTTCCCGCTTCCCGAAGCGACCGTATACGATGCAACAAAGCAGCCTGGCGCTGTAGTGGCTGTGAAGGGAGAGGCCGGGACAATCAAGCTTAACCAAGGGCGCAAGAGGATCAGCCTGAAGGTCAAGAGCATGGGAGATAGACCGATTCAGGCACGTTCAGCACGTCACATGTGTGCGAGGTTATGCTGACCTTGCAATCAGGTCGGATCCCATTATCATTTCATCGAGACAAACCCGCAGCTGCAGTTTGACCGCATACGAGCGCATGGCTACCGACTTGATATCCCTGCTGGCACATCGGTACGCTTCGAACCGGGTGACACTAAGACTGTCACCCTTGTACAAATCAGCGGCAACCAGATCATCAAAGGTGGTAACAAGCTTGCATCTGGACACATCGAGGACATGGACATTGTAAACGGAATCGTCGAGAGAATTAGATCCGGAGGCTTCTTGCATGAGCCACAGCCGCTCGGGGACGCTGCACATATCGACTTTTGCACCATGGAGCGACAAGCTTACATCAGTATGTTCGGCCCGACTACTGGTGATCTTGTACGGCTAGGCGCTACAGATCTTTGGATCAAGGTGGAGAAGGACATGACCACGTACGGAGATGAGTGTTCATTCGGCGGTGGCAAGACTCTCAGAGAAGGTATGGGCCAGGCGGGAGGTCGTTCCGATGCCGAGTGCCTCGACACCGTCATCACAAATGCGCTCATCGTCGACTGGACTGGCATTTTCAAGGCTGATATCGGTATCAAGGACGGCCACATTGTCGGCATTGGAAAAGCGGGCAACCCAGACGTCATGGATGGTGTAGATCCGAACTTGGTCGTAGGATCTTGCACGGACGTGATTGCTAGCGAGGGAAGCATCGTGACGGCTGGTGGCTTTGACACGCATATTCACTTCATTTGCCCACAACAGGCGCAAGAAGCTATTGCTTCGGGTATAACCACCATGTTGGGTGGTGGAACTGGGCCGAGGTGCGTAGTTCACCTTGACGAAACACATTGATGCTGATACTGAAGCAGCACTGGTACCAACGCAACCACATGTACCCCGGGCAAAACGCACATCCGGCAGATGCTGCAAGCTATTGACGAGCTACCACTCAACTACGGAATCACTGGTAAAGGGAACGACTCCGAGTTGGGCCCTCTTCAGGAACAGGCCGAAGCCGGTGTTTGTGGTCTGAAGCTACACGAAGATTGGGGCACGACTCCAGCAGCTATCGATGCTTGCTTAACTGTATGCGACGAGTATGACATCCAAACCTTGATCCACACGGATACGCTCAACGAATCGGGCTTCGTCGAACAGACCATCGCGGCCTTCAAGAACCGTACAATCCACACCTACCACACCGAAGGCGCAGGTGGCGGCCACGCCCCCGACATCATTAGCGTCGTCGAGCTTGATAACGTACTTCCGTCGTCCACAAATCCTACCCGCCCATACACCCGCAACACCCTGGACGAGCATCTTGACATGTTAATGGTATGCCACCACCTTTCGCGCAACATCCCCGAAGACGTCGCGTTCGCCGAATCCCGTATCCGCGCCGAAACCATCGCCGCCGAAGACGTGCTCCACGACCTCGGCGCCATCTCCATGATGTCTTCCGACTCCCAAGCCATGGGTCGCTGCGGCGAAGTGATCCTGCGCACCTGGAACACAGCACACAAGAACAAAGTCCAACGCGGCACGCTCAAGGAAGACGAGGGCACCGACGCCGATAACTTCCGCGTCAAGCGCTACATTAGTAAATACACCATCAACGCCGCCATCACGCAAGGCATGGGCCATCTCATCGGCAGCGTCGAAGTGGGCAAACTCGCTGACCTCGTATTCTGGAAACCAGCAAATTTCGGCGTCAAGCCTAAGCTGGTGATCAAAAGCGGCTGGTGCAGTTATGCCCAAATGGTTCGTCTCCCCCAACCCATCTCTTTCTTTTTCCATCTATGCTAACACGATCAGGGCGATCCAAATGCATCCATCCCCACGGTTGAGCCCATCATCATGCGCCCCATGTTCGCTCCTCTCGTACCCTCATCCAGTGTAACTTTCGTGTCTAAAGCGTCCATCGACTCTGGCGTCATCGACTCTTACAAGCTGCGCAAGCGCGTCGAGCCTGTCAAGAACTGCCGCAACATCGGCAAGAGAGATATGAAGTTCAACGACACGCGGCCGAAAATGAAGGTCGACCCGGAGACGTATCGCGTTGAGGCGGATGGGGTGTGGTGCACGGCGGAGCCCGCGGAGACATTGCCCTTGACGCAGGAGTACTTTGTTTATTAGACGACTCTCGCCAATAGGCGCAATCTCGCGAGAATAAGCACAGCGGGGAGGTTGCGAAGCTACTTGAATACGTAGCCTCCTATAAGAAATGTTCATGGGTCCTCGTCTCTCATAGCGCCGGCTTTGCCTCTAACTGCACTCTGTGCACAACACTATGCAGATAGTTTCGGAATTCTTTACATGCTAGATAGACTCTTTTGCAAATGCAGTTAGGCGCAAAGGAGCCTAAGCATAGATACTATAAGTCTGCGATATTCAGTAAGACATTTCTAAAAATACACGCGAGGAACAAGAAGCATATACATCTCGTGCTTAAACGTCGGTGAGCATCAATTGCCGCAGTTTGTATTGAGCAAACTGTATTTATGAGAGCAGATCGACGATCTAGTACACGAAAGCCGTGGAAGCCGACCTCGGTGAGGACGATGGAGACAGCGGTGCGATGACGAAGGATGGCTGCAGTCATGCGGCGTGGGCGCGGCGTTCACTCTTGGCACAGGAATAAATCGAAGGGGAGACAGTGTCATCTTTCTGTATAGCTACATTGCAGCAACCTCTGTAACCTCTTCCCCAATGTCGAAGCCGACAATTGTCTGTGTTCCTGGTGCATGGCACACCCCAGAAATATACGCCAAAGTTCTTGACATCTTGAGCGGCCATGGATACCCAACACTGGCTCTTGCCTTGCCTTCCGCTGGCGCATCGCCCCCTCATGCGGACTTCAATGGCGACGTCAAAGGGATTCGCGAATGTCTCACCGAGCTTGTCGAAGAGGGGAAGGATGTCGTACTGGTCATGCACTCGTACACTGGCATGCCCGGGGCTCAAGCGCCAGCTGGACTTGGCAAGAAGGAGCGTCAAGCGGCGAATCTAAAGGGAGGTGTCATCAGACTCGTCTTTATCATGGCGTTCGCAATGCCCGAAGGCTTTACGCCCACCGCTGGAGGTGCGCAGTATCCTGAATGGATGAAGATGGACCCAGACGTATGTACCCGCGAACACAAAGTCTAGCATTTGCTGACGCTCCCCAGAACGGTATCGTTACGGTACAGCCCGGTGACGCCAAACGGGTCTTCTACAACGACTTTTCCCCCGAGGAGGCTGAGACTTGGGCCCTCAAACTCATTCATCAGAGCATCGGAGTGTACACCAGTACGACGTCTTGGGCAGCCTGGCGTCATATCCCTTCGACCTACGTGATTGGAACGGAAGATAAGACGTCGTTCACTCCTGAGCTTGTCGAATACATGATCAACACCGCAAAGCGCATCGAGCCTAGCGCATTCGACGTGATAGAAAAGTGCGACGCTGGACATTGCCTTATGATCAGCCGTCCAGAATGGTTAGCAGACGTTCTAAGGCGCGCAGGAGAAGAATTCGCGTAGCTCTTTGCAAAGAATTCTTGTGTACATTGTTAAACCTAGACTCGCGATATCATTCGTAGTAATTTACATGGAGACTATGATGCCACGTGCGATGAATGATTAATGAAGACTGCCGATGGCGCTTGGAGCACTGCAAAATTAACTATTAGAGCGATTCGATTGCCGATGTAGGGTTTCGGATCTTCTACCTGTAGTAGCAACGCCAAGTGCAGTTGTAAGGGCGCCCTCGATGGATAGGCGTCTGTATTCGCCGACGGCATATATCTGAAATGTGTTGACGGCAACACTGTCGAAGGAGTTCATTAAGGCGATAAAGAGCAGAGTCATCCAGCTCAGGACCATGCCCTTCTGCGAGAACATTTTTATCATGCTCACTTCGGAAGTGACACACTCGTCCTCGGTGGGATGTTGGTGGACAGTCACGTTCTTTTCATCCTCATCCATTATGGTGGTGGTATTTTGGAAATCCGTGGAGGGCATGGTCAATTAGTGATGTGTACCGTGAGCGATGCGCTTGCTCGTTACCAGATGGGGACACACACGACTAGAGGCAGCAGAACTCGAGTACGTGGACAAGATATATGTCAACTCTAGCACTTTTTTATCAGCTAATGATTCCCAAGCCCGCCTTCGTGTAGGTAGGTTGCATATATCAGTTGACTTTCGCACATAGATACGCGAGGCGCCACAAACCCCGAGGACAAGAGAACTTCATAATAATGCTGAAAGCTCAGCTCATATCTAGCCTACTGTACTTCAGTGCTTTCTATCCTATGTGCGAACTAGCGATATCTGCATGCATTCGAGCATCTGTGCGCGATAAGATAATGCGGGGTCGCGAGAGAGACAGTCAGAGAGCTAGAGCAACAGCTTCGGATGTAATAATATTGAAACTGAAGAATGTTTCCGAACATAGTCGGCCAATCGCGTGGCTACTTGACTAGGTCAATGTACTACCGGAAGCCGAAACAAACCCAAACTCATCAACCTAATCTCGTAGCTCTATCATGACTGACCCTGTAGGGTGCGCCTGTTCATGACCCTACCTAATCGTGTGGCTACTTGACTAGGGCTATGTACTAGTCGATCATCGTCCCTCCAGAATCACATCCATACTGCTGTGTAGAGACAGCCCTTACACTTGCCATGATACTTACCGTAGGATTTCAGACCCATCAACCTATCTTGTAGCTCCATCGTGACTAACCTGATGGAGTGCACCTGTGTGCCTATCAGTAGTCACGCTGACCGACCTCAGCATCTAGCCTTTGCTTGGTGGGCTTTGATTATGCTATTGCGGTGTTTCCAATCGGGTCTGCTTTGCGCCAGTGGTTCGTGCTTTAAGCTCTTGTGAGGAATAAAGCTGTGGGTGCGTGGAAAAACTCCCTACACACAGACGTGCAACTCTATCATTATCTACGCATTGGATATCGCGCAGCTTTTCAGGCTAAGATATACCTATACATACGTGTCCAACATTGTCACATTAACATCCAATCAAAGAGTGCCTTACCGTCTGATATACAATGCCAAGCCCGCAGATATCCACAGAAAAGACCCGAATATCCAGTCCCCACATCGCTAGTCAAGACTCGACTGCTATGTCTTATCGATAGTGGCTGCATCCACACGCGTTGTCCCAATCTGGTCCGCGCATACGCTCAGACTCTGCGAAAATTTTCCGAAGAGCCGACATTTGACCTTGACATAAAGTTGGTCATCCACTTGTAACTATTCACCATGGCGGAACAAAATTCCGCATTGATCGCGGGTCTGGGCTGTCAGCCTGTCGAGAGCAGCTCAGAGGCGGACGCAGGAATCAACTGGCAATGGCTAGAGGAGCCGCAAGGCGCCACGGGCCTTGAGTGGGCGAAGCACGAGACGGAAATCACACAGGAGCACCTGGACAGGCTCCCGCGCGCGCACAAACTCCATGAAAAGCTCGAGAAGATGATTGAACAAAATGCTGCACCGCCGACATATGCCCTATGTGGACGCCTGTTTCGTCTGAGGCGCGACGCCGTCCGTAAAAGTGGCATCATCGAGGTTGCCGCATTAGAAACACCCGACGAGTGGACAACCGTTATCGATATTGATGATCTGAGGGAACGTGAGGGCAAGCCTTGGCAGCTGTCCCAAACCGTGTTACCATGCTTTTCGAGTGTTTACTTGGGAGGTCAGTCCTCGCGACTGCTCCTCGGGCTGTCCGAGGGGGGTTCGGACGAGACGACAATTCGCGAGTTTGACGTCGATCAAGCCGCCTGGGTGACAGATGGCTTTGCAGCCGGCCCAGGGCGCTTCAGTGCGGCATGGCTCGACCTTGACCACGTCATGATCACGCATGCGCTCAACGGCGGTCCCACTTGCAACACTGGCTGGCCGCTCAATACATACATTTGGGCCAGAGGCACCGAACTTGCCGACGCAAAACTGGTGCACTCAGGCGACCCGGGCGATGCAATCTTATACTGCTCGGCAGTCGGCACTGGCCGGACTCGTCGTGGCTTGATTGGACAAGCCGCCACCTTTGCGGATCTAAAATTTCACACAGTGTCCATAGACGGCACAGTCGAGAGAGCTAGCCTACCGCAAGGCCTATCTCTAGCCATGTTCCTCCCGTCAACATCTACGCACTTGTTCGTGACCACAACAGAGGAATCGACCATTGGCAACAAGAAAATCCGCAAAGACGCACTACTGGCATGGAAGTATACTCATGGCCAAACCCGGACATCGGTTGTTTATGTCCCGGAGTCCGGTGAGGCCATCCTCGATGCAGTCACCGGAGGGATCAGCGCCGGCCCTTCCAAAGTCTACTTCACCCTCCTAAAGCGAAACACAGAGAGGCGCATGGTTATGGAATACGTCAACGACGAGTGGAAGCTTTGTCAGGCTATTCCAACACCCACTGGCGCCTCAGCAAAGGTGCAAACGGCAGATCCCTATTCCGACAGTATTATTGTGGAGACCTCGGGCTTGCTAAACCCCAAACATGTTTGCCTCGAGAATGCTGGAGGGTCAAGGAAGACTGACTTGTACAGTCAAAAAGCAGCATTTGACCACAGCAATTGTGCAGTGGAGACGCAAGTGGCTACCAGCAAGGATGGCACAGAAATTGACTATTTCATCATGGCACCCAAGCAGGGCCGGGAGAAGCTCCCAGTATTGATCACAGGGTACGGCGCATTTGGCATGAACTTTGACCTCAGCTATGTTGGCCCAATGCTGGGCGGGTTGAGCTTAGCCCTGTGGTTGGAGCTCGGAGGCGCTTTGGTTGTTCCCTTGATACGTGGTGGTGGTGAAAGAGGCGAAGACTGGCACCAGGCGGCTCTGCGCGAGAACCGCCAGCGTTCGTATGACGACTTTGCCGCCGTGGCAGAGGCGATCATTAGCAACGGGCTGACCTCGCCCCAGAAGTTGGGTGTCTTTGGCTTTTCTAATGGCGGGCTCCTCGCAGCCGTGATGGGGACGCAGCGCCCAGATCTCTTTGGCGCTGTGGTCAGCGACGTACCATTGACGGATATGCTCAGGTTCCCGGAGTTGGCCATGGGGTCAGCCTGGCTCAACGAGTACGGCGATCCCAAGGTTCCCGAGCAGGCCAAGGCTCTCCGAGCTTATTCCCCATTCCACAATGTCAAACAGGGAACAGCCTACCCGCCCATGCTGATTACCTGCTCGACTCTGGATGACCGGGTCGGCGTGGGTCATTCCCGTAAGCTTGTGGCGAGGCTAAAGGAGGTCGAGTCACCTAAGACCTTCTTGTACGAAGAGACAGAAGGCGGTCATAGTGTGAGTGACAATCTTATGAATCCAGCTCTCATGGCTAGGCGACTTGCATTTTTTATAGATAACCTTCACTAGCCTCTAGTCAACCTCTATTTCTACTAGGAATAGCGAGCTAAGCCTACAGGAAAAGGCCTACCTAATATAGTAGAGCAACGTATGTTAGCGCTAAGCCTAAGCCTAATAGAACGTTAAGCGAAGTATAAAGGTAAGAGTAAGCAGTTTTGTAGTTTAACTTAGAGTTGCTCTACTATTATTATAAGCCACGAAATGAGATCAATGCAGAGCTGGTATTCTATAAAGCTGCAAGTTCTGTAGCTGTAGACATCATCTATGCACTGACGTTTCCGCGTTTGCTTCCAATAACATGATGTGGTAGGTGTTGGAATGAGCTCGACAACAGAGCTATCGTGACCTCACCACCAACCACTTGCATCACCTCTTCCGAGACATGGATGATAGCCCAGTAAACATCGAGTCAAAGGTGGGCACGGCTGGGCACATCAAGATCTCAATGAGCGGGTGGTATGCGAGAAGAAACCGAAAAGAAAGAGCTTGAAAAGCGGACTGACGGTCACCTCCCCGGTGTTTGAAAGATCCACAGACTAGCGGCGCCTATTCTTTCCTGTGATATTCAAGACTGGCGTTGATAGAACATGCGTTCACGCACCTTTGCCTCGCACTAATTTGGTGCTTCAGCACACCTAGGTAGTGACAGCGACCTCACCTGAGCTTTCCCCTTGGGATTCGCACTTTCGAACGGAAGATGTTCCGCAGAGTCGCATTCTCCGATGCTGCGACCAATCTGATCGACAGCAACGGCCAGCTGATGTAAGCTCTCATCTTCTCTATCGCGCAATGCTGGTTGTGGTACACGGAGGCAAACGAGCCTGAGTCGCTCATTGGATGCGCACACATATTCTGTGCCTCCACAAGCCTCCACTTTACAGGCGACGCAGCGAGATGACGGGCATAAGCAGCTGCGATTAGTGGTAGAGTCTTCCAGCGCGATGGTGTCTTGCGTTCGTCGTCCGCTGCCCGCTGCAGTCCGTGGTTGGCCAGGAAGACACTGCGCTAAAAAGGCCCCGGCAGGGGCGACCTAAGACGACGTCCACCCACGACGCTGCAACGCTCTTTTCTCTAAACACGGCAACCCGGTAGAGGTAATGAGCCATGGCAGGCGGCGTAGATGTGTGGACGACGGCGAGGAGTCGTCTCGGACGGGCTCTGGAAGTGCTGGGATTGTTCTTTTGTTGTTCTTCGTCATCCTTTTTCTTGTATCGTGCCTTCCGAGACTCCGTTTTTGGGGGCTTCGTGACTGCCACTCTTCTTTACTCGGCGGCCTGGAAGTCGTGCCACCTTTTCTTCTCGCGTCTTCAGTCGCGTCTAATAGTAATACTCACGTTGCTCCTCCTTTCCCTGCCAACTTCTGCTTCATCGAACAGTTTCGCGAACCGGCACTTACCTCACTCGCTCAGTCTAAGGTACTGCAGTACCTCTCCGCTCTGCCCACGATATTCGAACAACACGATCTGTGCCAATGCATGTATAGAGAAGCTAGCAAGAGAGAACAAAATTTCGACCGAATCTAGGACCCTCGGATTGGGGCGAGAGTGGCATATCTCCGAGTCAGCCTTGCCATTTGGTTGTCGACATTCAGCTGCTGCGTCGAACCCCCGCAACACCAGGCCATGGCGTAGGGCTCGCGATGCATCCGCCAGAGACCACACAGGACGGACCTTGGAATGCTGCACCACAACAATAGCACTGCGACAATAGGAGCTGGGAACAAAAATAAGTAAAGACGAGCTCGAGTGACAGTGCAGTACTGTAACAGTGAAGGAACAAAGCATACACAAGGATGGCGACCTACGTTTTCCCCATCACGCATTCACCGCAGATGTCGGACGGGCTACCGCAGCCGACACTCGCCCACAGCCCTCCGCCATTCACACCTGTACACTCGCCCCATCACTCGGTCAACTCATCGGTGTCGTCCCGTACTCCCATCCACACATTGTCCATCCGCGAGTATCGCAAGCAGCAGCACACACCCAACCCGCACATAGAAACACCATCGGGAAAGACATTGAGGCGGAAGGCGGCAGCTCCCACGCTCAACACCGCTAAGCCCAAGTCGTCAGTGCAAACGGCGCGGCCACAGTCGCAATCGACATCAAGACCCCTGCACCTGTCGCACTCCGCACACCAGCTCAACATCTCGCATCGATCGCCCTTTGAGCAGCAGTTGCTTGCCAATCACCTTGGTCGAGCTCAATCGGCTGAGCCTCGGACGCAAGGCGGGAGCATATCAAGTATTTCCACGACAACATCGTCTGGAAAAGTAGGCCACTTCAAATCTCGCAAGAGACTACCAAAGCCGCCTACTGTCACCAATCTGGCCCCGCTCTCGTCCCATCTTGCTCCCACAAGATCAATTTTGCGACACCCGCGTATTTCGACGGGCCCTCGACGTTTCTGCCGACCACTCACACGCGGACGAGACACCGACTACGCACACGACCTCAACCTTTTCGTTGTCACGATTTCCTCAACCGGCCGCACCTCGAGGATCCCCTCTTTCTCACACTCGCACCATAACAATGAGCACACGCGCATAGCCACCCTCAGTCACACGTCGACCGCCCCGGCTACGCCGCCTGCAACGCCTGCGACTATTCACTACCGCGGCGCGTCTTTCGACCTGGTCAACCCGCACGACTCGCTGCTGCTGCACGACATCGTTACTCCCTCCAAAGATTTTGGTTCAAGCGAGTACTTCCTGATACCCACATCCGAGGAACCCTTCCCGGATATCTCAGACGTAAGACACCTCGCATGCGAACTCCGTATAATCTACTAACACCCCATAGATGGCACCCAAAAGAGCGCTGTATGGCGACTTCACTGCTGCCCATGCTGGCATTATGCGACGTGCGGAAGACTCCTTCAGCAGCTCCAACCTCGATCTCCCTCTGCCACCAACGCCGGCTGCGATAAGCCCAGACTCATCCGCTTATACCTCGCCAATCTACAGCCCTGATTCGAACTTTGCGCCGCCGCCACTGGCAGTCGCGAAAGCCCCGAATGAATCCCGATTTTCACTCAGGCAACTCACCCGCACCTTGACGAAACGACTTGGCAAGTCTCCAGAGAAGCAACAGATTGGGCGAGAGCTACAGGAGCTGCAGAAATTACCCACCTCACTAGTCTCGATGAGCGTTCACGGCGAATACCCTCGCCCACTACAGGAGACCTATGTCACCACTCCGCAGTCCGCCTACTTCCCCCTTGGCCCAACGTCGCCAGTCACCCCTACTAGCCCAGATGAGCCATTTGAGCATGAAGACATCGAGGTGGAGCTGTCCCGGAGACATCCTTTTCAACGCTACGACTCTGAGCCTATGGCATCGTTGATTCCTGATGACGATTACTCGACCCAGGCAGGACGCGTGGACGACCCGCGCACCTCGATGTCGGATGGGTACCTGGTGTCGAAACCCTACTACGACGATATAGAATCCATATATGCGAGCTCCTCTATTTACACGAGTGACGACCGGCGCAGATCCAATTACCAGCAAAGTCTGGGAGGCACGCGGCAGAGCAATCCATTCCTTCGCTACAGTGGTGTAGATGCAAGTAGCTTCGCGAATGAAGACAACCCTGAAGGTCTATATGTATACAGCTCTCGAAGCAATCGGAAATCCCAACCGCTTTCCCAAGACATGTATCGTCGCATGGCCATGCAGGAAAAGACAGACACGATCAGCAAGATCATCGATCAATACGACCCGAATGTGATCACAAACAACACTCCTTCAATGGTGAGCGAGGCGAGAAATACAGAGCATGGATTTTCCGCATCAGAGCCGTACCCTCTTGACGAGCTCACAACATCAGATCACGAGCAATGTTCGAAGGCCACTTCGGGTCTCAGCCAGTTCACGTTCGGCATGACCGAAGATCAGAGTGTCGAGCAGGGTCGCGGTGTTGGCAGTCACCTCAATCAACAATCAACACTTGCCAGAGATGCAGGCCTGTCGCCACGCGTGCCAGCGCCTCTGGCGCCGCCATTCCATTTCGCAGGTGACTCGTATCGGATGCCGCACCCAGAGAGCTCCGCCATGTTTTCGAATCAATCATACAACTCCTATGGCGACACTCGAAATCTGTTGGGGATTTCACAAACAGATGGTCTGGGTCTTTCAGTATCATCACAACTGCTCCCAACGTCGTCATCCTACTCCGAGGCAGCTGTGAAGTCACTTAAGCCTTCTTCATCGTACTCTCAGCCAGCCAGTCCCGCAGGTCCACCCACTCCACAAGAAGCTTTAGATCAAGCTGACCAGATCTTCCAGAACGCTTCCAATGAGCAGAAGCAGGCAGAGAAGGGAATACCAGCTATGTGGGTTAGGCGAAGCTCGGGTAGTCTGCTTCTTGCCAAACAAAACAGCGTCCCGACTTTGGAGAATCGATTGAGCTCTGGTTCTGGCGCTGCCACTGCAGGCTTGACAGCACCGCGTGCAAGCAATGACGGAGACTGGGAGTCCGTTGCTGGCAATAGTCAACCTTGCAGGGACTCATGCGGCAGTGCTGCAGAGTACGGCAGTATTGCAGATTACAGCAGCAGCGAAGGGACTCGCAATAGCTTGGGTTTGAACTCGGATGGCTCATTACCATCGTGGGTTGGTCAGAACCACTCGCAGGGTGTGTCGATCTACAGTCACCCGAGCCCGATTAGGGCCCCATCACAATCCGTTCAGCTCATCGCCACCACAATTGCGACCACAAGGGTGGATCGAACCGTCTAGCCCTCCTCTAGGCTCCAGTCCGCCAGCCGCAACGACTGTTCCCGGCTTCCGTTTCTCAACCCACTCGGAAGATATCGTGAGTCTAGAAGCTACAGAGCAGCCCTATGCTCTTGCGCCCTGGGCCAACGGATACACTTTCAGCGACAAGAAGACCCTAGAGCTGCTCGCTTCAGGCCCCAATGATAAGATCATGGTCGAGACTGAACGAGTAGGCGTTTACAGAAACGATTATGACCAGACATGCGAGGAAGGACTTGGTGTTATGGCGATGACTAGCTCCCCAGTCAGCATCTTCGATGGCCCAAATACTTTTGAACGCGAGAACACATTCGAGAAGCTGTGTGTCATTGGTCCAAAGGGTAATCTCACAGGCACTCCTAGAGGCACAGGCATGCATGAAACAGGCAGTAGCGTGGCCGACACAAGCAGTCCTGGCCAGATGACCCCGGGTACTGCCCGTGCGTACCCCGGGTTCTATGCGTCGCCTTTTCCAGCCACGGGTAGTGTAACTACGATCCAACAATCTCCCTGGCCCGTTGAGCCGGGTTACGAGCCGACGCCATCACAAATGACCCTATATCCACGACCCACAGGTTTAGAGCCTGTAGCAGAGACTTCGCCGGATCCCGGGGCAAAGCGACGAGAGTCCATCCGCTCCTCTACATCACTTCAGAAGTCGCAGCGCCGAGTGAGTCGTTCAAACGTACCCGGGCAAACAAAGCTCAGGCAGATGGTACTCGCTCCTGGTACAGCACGCAAGACGCTGTCCAGCGCAGACACAAGGTTTTCGCAGTACATGGGAAGTGAGCGCCCTTCCACAAGCGACACTACCACACCTCTGTCGCCTGGCCCTCAAGTCAGTATTGGGACACTTCCTATTGTGCGCACGCTCATTGCACATCAACATTCGCCACACTTACTCAGCGTTGAGAAAGATTTGGGCCGAGAGGATGAGGAGCGTCGCCACAAGCTTTCTTGGGTCATCCTCGCAGTCTTCTGCATACTTCCTCCTTGCATGTTCCTCTATCGTGTCTATGGGGATCGCATCATGACTTCACTCACGAAAGGAGATGTGGGTACCTGCACGAGCAAGTCGAAGAGGGTCGCCTTCATTGGAGGTATCGCTGTCAATACTGGGCTCATTACGGCAATTGTCGTGCCAATAATTGTTCTACATGCCCTTGGCGCAGCGTCGTGAACGGATAGCGTCTGTCGACGATCGAAGGTGAGCAGTCCCTGTCCATTAAATTTCGTACTTAATCTGACTTGTCACAGAGCTATTTCCGCGAACACAAGCGGCACTCGGACGGATACATTATGGGCCAACTATCGTGAGCAAGCATGCCAACAGTCTCCAATCGGAGCTCGTCTCGCTGGCCGGATATGCGTTGCTTTCCGAAATATCTCTTTCCTATGTCTCTCTTTGGCCTTTGGCATTGCACGGTGCATATTCGGCGTTCGGAAAAGCTTTCACAAAGGTATCAAGGTTCCGGTCTGGTTTGCATAAGCTGGCGCATCAACATGTGTTGCGAGGCGCTCCGCTCGCACAAAGAAGTCCCGCCATTTTTCCTTGAGCCATTCACGTCATTGGCGGATTTGATGGTTCCGTTGCTGCATCTGGAGGAGGGGAGCTGGCCACTGGTGGTCAAATCAGAAGGATAACATGCTCCGTAATATCATCGCAAGTAGTTACAAATCTTAAGAGATCTTACAAGATGCTCTCCTGAGCTGAGTCTATGAGGTCTGGCTCGTGAACAGCGCGGTATACACAGTAACAACAGGTTGAATTTGGCAATGCTATGACGCATTTGAGAATGATCTACAGCCTGGGACCGAGTTCGAATTCGGTTCGAGACTAGAAAGTAAGTTTTGTGTGCTAAGAATAGCGACTTGGGATCAGGGTCCACAGATCGGTGTCTAAGTGGCGTTGAGCTATGACCACCTTTCGTAGATTCGCGAAGTTGAGGATGGCTAGAGACGTGTTCCCTTTACACTTACGCGCGTCAACCTCCAATTGCACTTTTAAGCAAAATATCTAGAAGATAGCGGAAGCTCGTACACCTACTGTAGAATTCATTGCGTGTAACTGAGGCGTCACAATCAATCACCGCCATGTCGAAAAGCCTCCTACCTTCCGAACCCCCACCACCATACACGGACAATCCCAGCGCACCCAATGCAAACGACAGATCAGCTTCAGGGACTCCCGCCGCGCCCGCCGCGCGGAGACCGCCACCAGGCCCTCCGCCGCCACTGAACATACCAACATTGAACACATTACGGCGGGAACGAGTAGTACTGGCATCAGCTTCACCACGACGAAGACAGCTCCTAGCACAAGTACGCAGCCCATATACTCCTCTCAAACTTCAGTTGCTGATGGTGCTAGATTGGTCTAACAAACATCGACGTCGTCCCCTCCAAATTCGGCGAAGACCTCCCCCACTCGCTCGGCGCGCTCAACTACGTGCTCGAAACGGCGTCGGAAAAGGCGCAAGATGTATACAAGCGGGAAATCGACAACGCGGAGCGAGGCGACCCGGCCATTGTCATCGCCGCCGACACCATCATCGTCGCGCACTCGGGCAAGATATTGGAGAAGCCGCGAGGCGAAGCCGATCATATCAAGATGTTGAAGATGCTAAGAGATGACGGAGAGCATAAAGTCATGACGGCCGTGGCAGTCATGAAACCGAACGAGAATGGCGCGTATCCGGGGTATAGGATGGCGACGCATGTGGAGGAGACGACGGTGAGATTCGATGCGGCTGGTGAGTTGACACATAACCTCCCCCTCCATACATACTCCTTCGAAGGAAGTAGCTAATGCTAAGTAGTTTCCGACGAACTCATAATAGCATACGTCCGCACGCGCGACGGTAACGACAAAGCCGGCGGGTACGGCATACAAACAGCGGGCTCCATACTCATCGAAAAGATTGACGGGAGCTATGATAATGTGGTGGGCTTGCCGCTGCGCTCGACGCTCAAGTTGATCGAGAAGATTATGATACCTGAGGAGGAGGAGACGGGTGGGGGCATGTTTGTGGAGAGCGATGAGGATTAGAAGCACTCAAGAGACGCATATGGGGATGGGAATGTCGGGCAAGATACTTTTGAAGCGAGAGAGGGCGAAGAATGGGATCCCGAGCGCGTGCAGGATGGATTCCCGGGGTATTCGGGACCGGGCACGGAATTGTGGTTGTGGTGATGGGGGAGTGCGAAGCATACAATTTGGCGCGCTGCTGGATATCCAAGCACTATGAGGTATGAGGACAAGAGAGCTTGGTGGGAGAAAGGCAACATGTTAGAGCATAGCGAGCATTTCAACGAATTCTCATTTCCTTCATGATGGAAACGATTGCAGCAGTGGAACTCATGTTAGAGCATTTCATGCGCCAGAGCCGTTCAAATTCTTCTCCTTTGATGATAATATTTTGGAACGCGAAAGCATCAAATCCTTACTACGTGTATCATGCACCGGTACGACCCATGGAGGCACCAGGGCACGCGGCTCCCCGTACGCCCGTATGCATATTGCATAGACCGCGCGGCACCACACAACTTCTGCTACGTTGCTCGATTACGAACCAACATCTGATATTTCGCCGTGAAAATGCAGCCAGCCAATTTATCAGCAAGCGGACAATATCCAGAGAAACTTTTGACCGTGCAAATGCATGTCAGAACTCTATCCTTTGCAGTAGCTTTCCCTTGCCACAGGATTTCCACCCCTCATTACCAATCCGCGCCCCACTTGCCTCGGCTCAGCCTTACACATAGCGACGGGCGCTTTACCACAAGTAGACAGCTTCCGAAGCTTGCACAGCGTCATTTCGCGATCTCCGTTGGCGAGAATTCCGTGGAAGGTTCTTCTTTGCGTTGCGGCGCACGGCAGGACATCGGTGTGTGCCGGTTGCCGTGTTTCGGCGGGGTCGAGGTGGTGTTGCTTGGGAATGATGCAATGCAGGCCGGACGAATTTGCACTGGTAAGCTAGACGTATATGTAGGTGCTCAAGCTGCTGGTTTTGGATGAAGTATTTTCCAGTCCGAGTTTTGTAAAAGAATCTACTTTCCACAACTCCTTCACACACATACACATACATACATACATACGTCAAGATGGTTCAGAACAAGGGCGTCATTTTCAAGAAGGTGCCAGACGGCTGGCCCGTAGCCGGCGAGCACATCACCGTCGAGACCCGCGACATCGACCTCGACCAACAGCTCCCCGAAGGCGGCCTGCTCGTCAAAAACTTCTATGCCTCGTTCGACCCCTACCAGCGCGGCCGCATGCGCAGCCCAGATAAGAAATCATACTCGCCGCCCTTCGAGCTTGGCAAGCCCATCACTAACCGCTCCATCTTCAAGGTCGTCAAGTCCAATACGGAGCAGTACAAGGCGGGCGATGTGCTCATCACGCGCGGCATCACGCCGATTGAGGAGTACAGTGTGTTCGACAAGGACACCGTCGCGGGCGTCATGAAGCTCGAGAACCCGTACGAACTCGACCCGAAGCACTTCCTCGGCGCGCTGGGCATGCCAGGTCTGACTGCGTGGTCCTCCTTCTACGAAATCGGTGTGCCGAAAAAGGGTGAGACCATCTTCATCTCGGCCGCGTCAGGTGCTGTCGGACAACTTGTTGGCCAGCTCGCAAGGCATGAGGGATTGAAGGTCATCGGATCTGTTGGCGACGACGCGAAGCTCCAGTTCATCAAGGAGGAGCTCGGTTTCACCGACGGCTTCAACTATAAGACAGAGAAGCCGGCAGATGCGCTCGCGCGCCTTGCGCCTGACGGCATCGATATCTACTACGAGAACGTGGGCGGCGAACAACTCGAAGCTGCCATCAACGCGATGAACAACTTCGGACGCATCATCGCATGTGGCATGATCAGCCAGTACAACTGCAAGCCCGGCGAGCAGTACCCCATCCGCAACTTGATGCAAGTGGTAGCCAAGAGGTTGACGATGCGCGGATTCATCGTGAGCGATGAGAACATGGGTCCCAAGCATGCGAAGGAGCACCAGGAGAAGCTGCAGAAGTGGCTGCATGAGGGCACATTCAAGGCGAAGATTAGTGTTACCGAGGGCATTGATAATGCGCCTGAGGGCTTCTTGGGTATGCTGCAGGGAAAGAACTTTGGCAAGGCGGTGCTGCAGATTGCGGATATTGCCAAGGATTAGGGATGGAAGGAAAATTATGTGATACCAAATGACCGCAGATAGTGGTTAGAGATATGAATATATGAATGACGGACAAAACCTTTTCGTGCGTTACCAAAATGTCTTTGTGCCTTGAACCACAGTAGAGCTTGATACTGATTCCTTCAACGGAATCGAGAATATGTTTGGCGTGTAACAAGCGGCATCGAACCCAGATCGATCTCCGTATTCTGTCTCACTGGTGGCAGAACAAATTCGTCTTCCTCGCCCTCTCTTCCTGCTCCAGAATAAGTTCCGGGCTCACTAAGCGTACTTCTCTGCGACGACCCTTTTGAAGCCCCCACCGCTTCATTACCCCTTGCTCCTTTCGCAGACACTGCAATAGCTGCCAATTCTTCCTTCCTCTCCTTAACTTCTTCTAAGATGAAGTACATCTGATTCAGGAATCGTTTATCAGTTTGTACACACCTATATAAGGACCAAATTAACGCAACTAGCTCGGCCTCGCCGCCACCTCTTTGGGACCATGGCCTGTGCTGTGCAATGTTCCAGACAATACCAGCCCAGAACAACACAGTAGTGTGGACAATGAACATGAGAAAACAGCCGATTGCCACTCTTGCATCGACGTATAGCGGGTCTGTGCTCTCTGAATAGTTGCCTTTCTTTATCCGGTCGAGTTCCTGTGTGTTTCTAGCGACCCATAAGCGTACGAGCCATTCTAGGCGGCGGTGGCGATGCTTGCGTCGGCTCTGGGGGAGCGAGGTCGCGGACCCTTGTAAAGTCGGAGTGTATTCTGCGCTGTAACACGGTCCTCAACAATACTATCGCCGGTCATCGTCAACAAGGTGAGCGCGAGGAGGCCGACAGTGACGACTTGACCAAAGCCAAGAGTGAAAATGTTCCTGGAGAGTTGTAATCCCTGAGGCATCATTGTGAGGAAGATCCGACTCGTGCCATAGGCAAAGAATGCCAGCACGGTCGGTATGAAAGACAACTCAGAATCGTGGTAAGTTTCGATCATATACCAGAAAGATATAGCTTGACTTGATCTCCCAATGCCCGACGGCCGAAGCCACGCCCAGTATTTCTTCCCTGCGTTTTGCAAGATTGCTTCGCGATCTTGTGGCGAGAAATGTGACTTACGCAGCCTTGGGATCATGAGTCGATAAAGAAAATTCGATGTAAAGCTTGATGATGGAAGGACGAAGAGATCGCTGAGCACTCGCATGTGAGCAACGAGTCCCCCAATAATGACGAAATAATTGGGGAAGCCGACAATAACTTCCTTGTTGCGTTGAGTGCGCTCGAAAAAACACTGCAACGTGTTGCCTGGGTTCAAGGATGTTTCTCCGATAGCATCGAAGTCGTCAATCATACTATCAACAACGAAGGCGAGACACAGTAAGCCGAGAAAGCCAACTGTGAACGCCATGTGCCATGCTCGTGCAGTTTTGTGATAATACATGTATTATCGAAGAATGTAGAGGGAGCACAAGTGCGTGAATGCAGCGAAGTAGGCGAGGCTCGTCACTATCCTGAATTCGTAGAGCGTGATCTCGTGACGGAGAGCCAGAGCAGCAATGATAATTGCCAAACCGGTAATAAGTTGCTGGTCACCCAGAACTTTTACGTATCCAGTAACAGTGCGGGCACGTCTGATTTGATCATCTGAAATATTGGACAAGACTTTAGGGTCTCTGAAGTGGAGCGATATTTTTTTGAGCATGTGTATGACGTAGTGATCAGCTGGAGTGAGAAGTACAGAGGGCAGAGATGCCATCCAGTAGCCCCAGATGATTACGGTGCCCAGCAAGAGAGCGCTGAGGAAGAAGGATATCAGTATCTGCTCGCCATCAGCAATGTATCGAAAGGCTGCAGGGGAAAAGGTTCATTTACACCAATGCCAGCGATGTCAGGGTTCATTGAGATGTTCTTATCGCATCCGCTAGTAGAAATCATGGAGTAGCATCTTTTGCAGTCGACTCCAGCAGAGCTGTCGCTCATAATCAATCAATGGCCCCAAACACTCTGGGCAGAGGATGAATCGCGAAAAGCAATGAGCATCGACACAGTTCTTACACCAGATCGCGCCATCACATCCACGTTGTCTGGGCTTTATACACAGGACGAGCTGCACATCTGGGGGCGCAAATAAGCACTCCTGCTGACAGTGGGGGCTGCTCGCAGGGCTAAATAAGGCTAAAATATAATAAGACTAGAGAGCCTAAGCGCTTACAGTATTAGATAACAGATAAAAGTATGACGGCCCCAACATAGCGAATTCTTAAGTTATATTATCCTCAGCTTTACTCTAAAACCAATTAGCATACTAAAGGAAACGGACAGACTTATACTAGCACTCTAATTGCGCTACAAAGCTTAAGCACTAGCTTAATGAGGACGCAAAAGAGTGTGCAATGTCTAGCTGCTGCAAGCGCTGCACTAACGTGCAAACAAAGTTATCCTACGACCTGTCTACGGCTACTCACTTGATTATAGAGCGTTATCATCGAAGATCGGATCTTGGAACTAACTCGGGCTTGACAAGTGGGTAAAATTGGACTTTTTCCGCCACTTATCGCAAATGTACAACGCCGATTCTGTAGGCCACAACTTCAGAACTGAGCTTTGTAAGACTTAGTATGGTTACATCAGTTTGGTCATGTCTACGAGTTGCGACGCTACTCAACTTCTCTCGCATTACCTCTGGGGACTTGGAATTACTGCTCACCTATAAATCTGCGAACTCGAAGCGACTATATCGGCGAACTATTCCCAGTAATACGATCCGAAGCCCAAAAAATTCCATATCCCGTACAACTTCGATGCTCTTCGACGCTTGACAGGGAGTTTTCCAACAGCAATTGTGCGGGACTTCGATGACTGGCTGCATCGTTCTGTCAGCAATCGATCCATCAAACCTTTTGTTGCTTCGTTCACTAAAATCTTCCCGAAGTTATCTCACATGCTATCCTCAGGCGCCTCTGTTACTGCGGGAGTACGGCACTGGAAGTCGACGGTGAAGATATCAAGCGCGGAACCAGAGCGCTGGAATCCCGCTGGACGAAGTTTAGCAACTCATACCACCGCCTCGTGCTGAGGTGCAAATATGACTGGGGCATGCAGCACACCACTGCAATGGTAGCGATTGACCTAATGCAATGAGCTAGAGCGTTGGAGAGACTGCATAGCATCGCGGAGTAAACGAAATGGTGAATATGATGTGTCCGCAGGAATGTTAATAGTTATCTAATCGGTACTGTTGAGGCATGTCGATCTTTGATTCAACCCGATCGCATTCACATATAAATAAAACATACATTAAACACTTTGCATATGCGCAAAGTCTCTAAACCATGTATCTAAGCAGCAATTCTGTGCCTCACTCGTAACCTTAGATTGGGTTTTATAAAGATTTTATTCAAGTACAGTATATTAGGGTCCGATAGGGCTTTGCACGTGAAAGCAATTTGCCCAATATGAGATTTTACCACGCAGAGTCCATCTCAACCTTAAGTCTAACCCTAACCCCTTGGGTACCCTTAATCCCCAGTTCCTCCGGAACCCTTCTTGCCGCAGTACGTACGGGACCAACTGTCACAGCAGTTGCACGCATGCTGGGCCAGTCCGCTGCTAAGAAGGCATGCAGTGCATGCCTCAGCATGGCTGTCATAACCCCTGAGCTGCGATTCTCCCTGAGGGAGAGCGCTAGCACTAGCCATGAGCGCGACAGAGGTAGCGAGCATCCAGGTGAAACCTGCCATATGATGTAAGTTGATTCTTGTGACTGCCCGTAGCTAACTGAAGAGAGAGACTCACGCATCTTGATAGCTTAAGTGAGCTAATAGTTCGAGCGTGTTTGGTGTGTTGGTATATCCTTCGAGTCTGCGAGGGGAGTGAGAGATGATTGATTGCGGTGATGCTTCTAACAGTGGGCAAAGGTGCCTTTATATACACAAGTCTCTTAAGCACTCATGATAGTGCTATCTGCGGCCCATATCAGTTCAGTCTCCGGCGAGAAATTGTTAAACTCTATGTTTAGGTAACCATGCAAAGCGCATAAAGCTCAGTCAGACTCTAGTTGGTCTAACGTTCTGAAGAAGCACGTGTTGCCAAGGTGACTCGGCCTTACAGTTGCTTCCGCGCGCATAAGGTTCAGTTGGATTTTGGTCACTCCAACATTCTGAAGAAGCACGTGTTGTCAATGTGACTCGGCCTTACAGTTGTTCCGCGCGCATAAGGTTCAGTTGGATTTTGGTCACTCCAACATTCTGAAGAAGCTCATATTGTCAAGGTTACTCGGCCTTACAGTTGCTTCTGCGCGCATAAAGTTCAGTCAGATTTTTTTTAATCTATTATTCTGAAGAAGCTCGTATTGTGAAGGTTACTCGGCCTTATAGTTGCTTATGTGCGCATAAAGTTCAGTCAGATTTTAGTTGATCTAACATTCTGAAGAAGCCTACCGTAAAAGCTCACTTTAACAGTCGAGGGCGTATAGCAGACAGGCCCTACCCTAAACAAAAATTAGGGGAGCGTATACGTAAAGAGGGGCGTGTAAATGAACATAGCTTAGCATTGGAGGGGAAAACGACGTCATCAAAGCAAGGCATCAAAGAACTAAGGATTCTAGCAGGAATCTGAGAATTCTCTCATACAAAAAGATTATCACGTGCTTAGGTATCTAAAATATAGTTTAGTATGTCGGTCTCACTGCGGAGCGGTTCGGAACGGCCAGTGATTTTCCCGAAGGGACTGTCTAAATCGGCGCTAGTTCTCTATGCAAAGATGCCGTTTTCGTCTGTGCCCGTAGTTTTGGTGTTCCTCTCTGTCGATTAGGGAAGTTAAAGCGTGTCACGTGAGGAGTCGTTCACAGCCTCTAGCCCATTGAGAACCTATCTCCTCATTGAAGCCCCTAGTCCGGTAAAACCCTGTCTCCTCATTGAAGCGCGTATCCTCGCTAATGGTCTGGCTTGTCAATGGCCTGGCTCCTCGTCAATAGCCTGGCTCCTCGTCAATGGCCTGGCTCGTCAATGGCCTCGCTCCTTGTTGATCACGTGCACGTCTGATTGCCTATTACTCTAGAGCCCTTTGTGATTCGGCCCAACAACAAGCCTTCCACTTATTGGCCAATCACTAGGCATTACAAGGTCTTACTTGGCCTTCCCTTTTAGGAAGGTTCGCCTAGACCATATCAGATGGGGCATGTACAAAGGCTCGGCTAATGTTTTTATGGCCCTCTCTTTTAGGGGGGCGTGTACGTGAAGGGGGGCCTCTAAGTGAGCTTTTACGGTCTATTATCATTAGTCTCCATACTATATGCTTTCACCACTAACATTCACGAAACGTATCACGCGCATGGACTTCGGTCAAGATGGATCACATTCAGTTGTTTCCAATCATGAAGGTTCGTATGTCTTAGCCTGTCAGATGCTTAGACCAGATAGATAGTTAACAGCGTGTGTGAAGGTCCGCCCGAGATAGACCACATTCAGTCATGTCCAACGTTAAAGTTTGTATGCCTTAACCTATTAGATGCTTAGACCAGGTAGATAGTTAACAGCGTGTGTGAAGGTCCGCCCGAGATAGACCACATTCAGTCATGTCCAACGTTAAAGTTTGTATGCCTTAACCTATTAGATGCTTAGACCAGGTAGATAGTTACCAGCGTGTTGTAAAGGTCCGCCCGAGTCTAACTGACGTTGCAAACAACAGCTGTCCTCATGAATCGACCATCACAAGCACAGCAGAGGACACTTCTCTTCTCGACAGAGAGATAAATAGCCCTTCGCTGTCCGCTACAATTTCTTCCCATCACTCAACATCACTTCTCTAACAACCACTCCTACCAACAACAACGACTTTGACCTTCGCCGTTTTCGACGAACTCTCTCTACCATCCTAAATATGCAATGTAAGCCCACCCTTCCACGAGAAACTGCCCACACTCCGTTATAACACACTGTCTTAAAGTCACTACTACGCTCGTCGCCCTGCTCAGCGCAGTCTCTGCCGTTACCGCCATCGCAGGCACGACAGCCGATAAACCCGATGTCAACTCGCCGGAGTACCAGCTCAAGATCAAAAATTTGCTTAAGAAGCAGTTCCCAAACGGAAGACCCTCTACTCAGCCGAAAAAACAAATCAATCAGTCTTTTGGAGCATTCGCCTGTGCGATATGCGCCTGGGGCTGTGGTGATGCGCCAGGTGGCTGGGCCTGCGACTGCTGCTACCCAGGCGGCGCATGCGACCCTTGCTAGAGGTATCATGACACGGTTAGACGTGTGAATGCTGAAGCGTCAAGGAGATGGACCTGTAAGAGAATTTGGATAAGGTCAATTCCTATAGTGTAGCCTCCACTTTTCCATAGTTGCAAAATATGTGGCATATAGTGTTATTCAACATAACCTATTTCAGCCTTATTTTCTCGAAACAGCTCTTTATGGAGCAGAATGTGCCAAACCTCTCTTTTTCTATATAACTAGCTGGGAGTTCGTTATACATCGCTTTTTTCCTGTTCGGATAGGCATCTGCCTTCTGTATAAAGTACGAACATCTAAACGAGGCTGCATAGCACGAATTAATATCGCAAAGTGCACAGGTAAGCTTAGCTCGTATTGTTCTCAACAAAAATAAGTTATTGTATATTAATTATTTGCTAACGTAGAACAAGTCGATATGCGAGATACAAGCGTTAGTAAAACTGTTCTAATCTATAAGAAGAAAGTACAGCAGTCTTAGCTTTCTAAAGACAGCTTAGCTATTTATGCATCTTGCAAATTTCTTGTAAGAGAGCACTGAGGAGGAAGGATACGAGTATCTTCTCACAATTAGCCCTCATCAGCAAGGCTCTATGTAATATGATCTACTTACGCCGATACCAGCGATATCAGGCTTGATTGACAAGACCAAGGTACAGTGCTTTGAGCTCTGGGATACATTGTAGCATGTAGAGCAATCGTAATTATTAGTGGGGCTGTGGCACTTTGTTGCTCTGAGTATGTTGAGTAGGCGATGAATTGCAAAGCGTCGTAAGGATCCAGCTTGACTTTCGCACTATACGGAAGAGCAATATCGCATTTCTATCGTCCAGGCTTTATAATTAGAGCTTAAAGGCTTGATCTAAGTGCTTATATGAGCTGCACATCTGGGGGCGCAAATAAGCTTTCCTGCTGACATTAGGGGCTGCTCGTAGGGCTGAAACTCGATGAGGCTAAAACATGATAAGACTAGAGAGCCTAAGCGCCTAGAGTATTAGATGACGGATAAAAAGTTTAATGGCCCTGGCATAGCAAATTACAAAGTTGAAGAGTGAGTGATGGTGTGAACGGAAGGACGCCGTGGAAGCCGCATACCTGCAGTCGTCGTGCTTGGCATGTGACATCACTCACCAAAACTGCCTGCACGATAAGAGGGCACATTCTGTGGCGTATATCGACTGGCAAATTGAAGTATGTTGTTATTTGTGTTCTGCTCTATACGCCTTTCCTCGCCTTTCAAATATTGCATTTCAATACATACATGTTCTAAAGCATGTCCCATCATGCAAATCGGAAATAAGAGAAAGAAGGGAAAAGTTAAGGGGTATCTAATCATCCGCAAAACCAACCTTGCCATAAACGCCGTCATGACTTTTCGTAATGAGAGCTCGCTAAAAGAGTTGATGTAAATATGTCATGAAATGAAGAAAGACAGGGAAATGCCGCTTTTAATCGCAGAGATCGATGACCTCGGATGGCGCAGGTACGCTTTTCCGCCGTGGTGACGGCGGATCATCTGAGACGCCTTCGCGGACTTCTGTTTTGGGCTTCCACGTGCCGTCTTGTTGAACGACGATGGCACGTGTTTTGGAGAGTCCTCGTGCGTCAAGTTCTTGCTTGACTTCTTGCAGGAAGCCGTCAACGATGAGATGTCCAGGTCGCGCATCGGAGTTGCAAATCGGGCAGCGCCATAGATCCGGCATAGATGCATCGCCCTTGCGCCGTCGTGTCTGGAGATATGTTTCGAGGTCGAAGCAATCGGGGTGGCGGCAGGCTGTGCTGCGGACGGGTATGTCGCACATTTTCGATGCGCTGAAGGGATCGAATAGGTTGATGGTGAGGTTGCTTTCGACGATGGCGATTTCGTCGTCATCGTTGCTACGGAGTTTACTCTTCATATCAGATAGGATTTGGCCAGCTGGTAGGCGCTTTTTCTCGAGGCAGTTTCTTTTCACTATCTCGTGCGAAGTAATGCCAAGGTACTCGAAGGCGACAAGGTAGTTGAGATAGGCCTTATCCTCTGATATGACCGTCATTTCTAAGACATTCTCTCCCTCCTGGATGAGATTTGTTACATCGATAGGCAAATCTTTGCCATGATGCACCTTCTTGCGCTGTGTTAGAGGAACGCCATTGAAGATGAAATAGGAATGCGGGATCCATGACGTGTCGGTAGTCGTCCAGAGATGGTCGTCAGGGCACTGGAGATTAGGTGCCCACTTAATGCAGCGCAAGCGAATGGTCTTACTATTCGTGTCTACCAGTCTCTCCGCGACATCGCCTGCTAGACCTGGTAAAGTGGCAGGGACGTTCATAATCATCTCTGCATCCAGATTGAACGTCCACTTTTCGACAGCCCGACCCACGTTGATCAACCGTTGTGGGGGCTTGACGAAGCCCTGCACGTATTGGTATAGCGGCTGTTTATCTGCCGAGAGTGCTTTCAGGGTCGGGCTCCTGAGATGTGCCTGATGCAGGCTGAATCGCGTTGGGTTGGGCTGTCGCTGTTGTGGCTGTGTTACTCCAGGTGGTGGCAGTAAAGGCACTGCCTGTCGTGATGGTTGAAGCGGTGCATGCGATTGCAGTGAGTGACTACTTAGGGCAGGTTGAACACGTGGAGGTGGTACTCGCGATGTTGGGACTTGAACAACACGTGCGGCGCGCATCTGCTGCGAATTATGGCCGCGCGAAGCCATGTCAGTGGCGTTTACGTTGTAACGGGGATTCAACTGCAAGTGCGAGGTAGGTCCCCCCAGGTGAGGCGCGTTTGCAGCTAGTTCAAGCTCCTCCACCACAGCTCTTAACCGAGGACCCCATAGCTGCAACGCCAACTGATTATCCATATTTATCTGATGCGCGTCGTATCCCGCTCTAGTCAGTTTCTGACTGTGCAAGGCCTGGTTCTGCTTGAATATGTCCACTGCCTGAGCCTCGTATTGTGGGGGCCGTTGAGGCACGTGCTGCCAAAGTGCTCGCAGCACTGCAGTGAATAGGATGCGCTGAAATGTCTCGGAAGTAACTCCCAGCTGCAGCAACATTTCCCCAGCAAGGGGCGGGAAGCGCCGTGCTTCACAGTTGCGCTTCAGTTGGACGTAGTTCGATGAAGATGTGATGAAAGACACGAACATGCGCTCACGTTGCGCGAAGTCCACAGACCAGTGAGTCCTGATGTCTTCCAGGTGGCATGGGAAGTTGGAACAAAATTGGAGGACGAGTGGCGACAAATTTCTGTTCAATTCGAGCACGTTGCTCAGCACATGCACGGCCGAGTTCAAGTTAGGATGTCTTGTGATTTGTGCAGACAACAAGCTTGGATTGAAATCAAGCAGACAGTACAATTGATGCATGGACAAATATGCCCAGTCTTGCGCCTGCGCGGCCGTTCTGAGGACGGCAATACGACTCGCATCCAGAGCACAGAATGATGCGGCGTCAGGCGACTGCGCGAGGGCGTCCAGCAGATGCAAGCAATGTTGTGTCGTTTGCCACGCAGGCTGGGGGAAGTTTTGGGCATCCATGCCCGTTGGTATGTTGGACGGGTTTTGTACTCCTGCTGATGACGACGTACGTCGCGAACTGGGCATGCATGCTTGTGGCGCATTCCTAATCGCTTCCGATACAGGTGCACACTGCGGTGACAGCATTGGGCTATTCGGCGACTGGCCAATAGACGGACTGCGGGTCTGCAACGGCTCGAGGTGCATGTTGAGGACGAGATGTTGCGGTACTGGAATGGGGCGCGAAGAATTTGTTGACTGAGATCGCGTCAGAGGCGATTGGGCATACGCGCTGGCTGTTGTTGCTGGGTGCTCCTGCCCACCTTCCGCCCCGCGACGACGCTTTAAGATGTGTGCAACGGCCTCTTCCGGAGGTTTCCTCCGCCTCAATCCCGCGTCTGAAAGAGTGACGAATGATTGTGCCATATCAGAATCTAGCTGCATGAAGTCGACGTTTGTCGTGCCGTCGCCTCTATACAGAGAAGCGGATTGTGGGTTGTGGGTATTTTCTTCGCTGGGGGTCGGTGACGGGAAAACGGTGATGGTGGAAAGCTGGAGGTGTGCTTGGTCATGGTTCGTCAAGACATTCGCAAGCTGGGGTGACGTTGGGTTGGAGGGCGGCTGGGGGTCCACCTGAGGCTCGATCGAGTGTTCTACTGTCGGCGGTTGGGGTTGGGGGCGCGATTGCGTCGCAGGATACTTCCGTGGTCGCCCCCGAGGTCGCCCCCGGCCACGCGTTGTGGAAGGAGCAGTCTTCACCGTGAGTTCTGAGGGCGCAGGCAATGACTGTGCGGCGTTGGAAGACGCCATCCAGCTCTTTTGCCTACCGCCCAGATTACCCAGAGCCGAGTTGAGCGTGCGCAGCATGGCATTGTTTGCCGTATTCTCCTGGGCAGCCATTCCCGTGAATGCGATCAGATTGAGACGGAAGACGGCGGCCAAGTGTTATGTTTCCCTGTGTCCCTGGCCCTCTGCGTTTGGAGCCTTCGACTAGTGAACCGTACTGTGTGTGCGTTTGGGTGCGGGGAGTGCATATCGCGGACCAGTGTTGGGCAGGCTATATTCGCGGACCATGGAGGGATCTGAGTCACAGCTCCCGAGCTGTTTGATTGAGGGACACAATTCGTGCCTGCTCGAGGAGAGCGCGAGGTCTTTCCGCTTGTGAATGTGGAAGGCGCGACTTGTCGTCGATGGGAAAGCGCGATGCGATGCGCACTAATCTGCATTGGGCTCTTCTCGATTGGACGCTGCTTCATGCATCGAACAGGCGCTTAGGTATTCTACTTTGCCAAAGATATAACAGCCTGCAGGTAATGAAAATAGAGGTGGCTTGCTGTGCATTAAGAGCTGGGTGCAACTTGGGATCTCCTCACACAGCAGATCGGTCTCCGTATCTGGAGCTACCTTTTCCAAGTGTCCCATCAGACAAGCAACGACGCGGCACGACCATCACAAGGGATGCAGCCTGCAAGCTGAAGAGATTCTTGGACGCTGCTCTTGAGGTCGGCTACAGTCCGTGTGGCGCAACGGAGACGCGATACCGATATGGTGCCGTCACCCCCGTTGCCGTGTTGCACGTTACTTGATTTATTGATTGTCGATTATCGATTATCGCAGGCCAGCGTGTCGTTGGTCTAGCTGCGGTCTTAGCCTTGCCCACTCTTAGAGTACCACGACAGCAACCCTCATAACTCTCGCCTCGCTTGTCCAGCCCTCCCCGTGAATCGTCCCTCGAAACGTTTGCTTCTCACACAACGGCGCCCTCGGGAGTCCCTTGCAAGTTTACCCGATCCAGGCCGGGGTCCCTCTCGACGATAGCGCGCATCGGCCATCGGACATGATGAAATGAAGCACGACTGATGCTTGGGTGACCTCCGCCGTTTGAGCCTCGCTCCAACCGCCCCTCGTCTCTGCTGAAGAGGCTTCTCTCACCACCACCCCTCCGCCACCGCAAACATGCAGCGATCGCATACCGAGAATTGCAGGCCCGGCGACACTCTCGTCGTCGTCCGTAAGAGCCCGCCCGGCATGTGACGTAGGCGACACGACCGCTAACACCATGCAGACGAGTTCCAAGCTCGCAGCCCCGACGAGCTCAGTCTGCGCCGCGGCGATCGCATCGAGCTGGTCGAGCGCGACGATGACTTTGGCGATGGTTGGTTCTTGGGCAAGAACACTGAGACGGGCGACAATGGGCTCTTTCCGGAAGGCACGTCTATGGCATGAGGAATGGATTGTTGACGATGATATCTGACTTCAGTCTAGTCTATACGCGACCCGCCCCGAAGCCCACGCCCATACCGACCATGATATCCCGCACGCCCTCGACAGCTTCTTCACGAGCCGCCCAGCCCGCCATGACGCCCGGTGCTGCCACCCTCGAGCCGCCTGGAACGCCGACAGCAGCCAACCCAGCTGCCCACCTCAAGTCGACACCCACTGAGCCATTGCACATTGCGCCTGCAGCGCCCGGGCCCGACGCAGTGCGCAGAACATCGCTCAACACGACCGCCCCGCGGAGCATCAGCATGGCTTTGAGTGGTGAAACTCAGCCAGAGGAGGAGGCCATTGGCAGCCCCGTCATGCACGAGACATTGAGCGTCATCGACGAGCACATCACCGACATGAGCACCCCACGACACAGTGCCGCCCCGAAGGAACTGCGCGCCAACGACTCGGGCAGCGAGTACAGCAGCCACCACCGCCTCTCATACATCAACGGCCAGGAGACTGACGAGGAAGAGAGCGCCGTGCACACTGAAGAGGAGGTCAAGACGTGGTCGCCTGCCCGCGTGGCCGAGTACCTGGAAGACGCTGGCGTCGAGAAGAAGCACTGCGACGTCTTTCGAGACCAGGAGATCGACGGCGAGGCCTTGCTGGGCGTGGATCGCAACTTCATTTTTATGCAAGAATTCAATCTGGGGCCCATGGGTCCGCGGCTGCGGACCTGGATGAAGATCAACGCGCTGCAGTCGGAAGTGAAGAGCGCGAAGGAAGTGGCCAAGATGCTGCACCCTGCAGAATCCTTCGACGGGCAGGAAGACTTTCCCACTGATGCTGCAAGGATGCGCGCTGCATCGACGGGAGCTGTACTGCCGCGTATACCAAACCTTCGGGAGAGCATGGGGTCTCGCGGCGGCACCGTGCGCCAGAATACACTTCCACGAGCAGCGTCTTCTGCGGGTCGATCTCCCATGGATGCGACATCGCCCCTGATTCAGCATACGCCTGCGTCCCCTCCGAAGCTCCATCAGAGGCGCCCATCAGCCGCATCCGTTCGCGAAATGAACCATACGAGACGCCACTCGTCGATCGACTACAACCAGGGCATGCCTCCACCTGCCGCGCCCGGGGCCATCAAGCCGCAAATCTCTGGTCCTCTGCCAAACGCGCACAAAAAGACCCCCTCATTCGATCGCGGCTGGACAATGGGCTCACCCCAATTGTCCCCACAGGAGTTACGTCGGCCTTCGTCGTCTCACCATGCATACTCGAATAGTGCGAACGGGACAGGATTTGATGCGCGGGAGACCGGCCTCGACAACTCTGCTGAGCTAGATCGCGGATACTTTTCGGGCGGAGAGATTGACAATCGCGCGAATCGCAACGTCCTGCGGAAGCGCACCAGTGCTGGACAATCGCATTCGCGCAACTCGAGCTACAATACGGAGACCAGGCAGCGCGGCACGTCTTTCAGCCGGCGTCATAGCAGAATCGGCAGCGTCGACTCCCTGGCTCAATCAATTAACCACACATCTGCGGCAGCAAAGCAATACTTCGGAGGTGGTAAATCTGAGCGAAGTTCAAGCGCATTCGACTTTGTGCGCCCGCTTAAACCCATGAGCGAGATGAACCCGACGGTGACTAAGCTCACGTACGATTCGCATAGCATCGACGCCATCGCGAACTCACCACACATTCCTGGAAGCGAAACATCGTCCACCGGGCGTGCTTCGCCTTCGCCAGCCGCCCATACCTCTTCACATTCTTTCTTCAAGAAGCCCCGTTCCACTGGTCTCCGAGCCATATCAGACGCCATCACAGGCGGAGAGAAGGCGCATGCAAACGATCTCTCGCCCAGCAAAGACTCTCCCATGCAGTCACCAGCCCGCACGGGCTCCACCACGCCGTCAGGTACATCGATCTCAAAGAGTTTCGAGTTCGACAAGAACGAAGCAAACAGACGACTTACAACTAGCTCAGCTAATACCAAAGACGCACGAAAGAAGGCGAAGAAGCATGGGACCAGTGCATATCTCAAAGGCCGCCAACAGGTATCCCCACAAGTGGCCATGGAGAACTGCGACTACAGTGGTTGGATGAAGAAAAAGTCCTCGAGTCTAATGACGACCTGGAAAACGCGATTATTCGTTCTACGCGGCCGAAGACTTGCATACTACTACTCCGAAAACGACACGGAGGAGAAGGGCTTGATCGATATCTCGTCGCATCGAGTCCTTCCGGCCAATGACGAACGGATGACAGGTCTCCATGCCACAATCACCCGTGCAGCGTCTTCGCCCTCCTCGCCACACAATTCGACAATACAGACCGCGGCCTCAACTGATAGTGCGAACGGCATCGAAGAAGACATGTCGGGTATGTTCATCTTCAAGCTCGTACCGCCTCGTGCCGGACTGCAAAAGGGTGTCCAATTCACAAAGCCAATTGTGCACTATTTTGCTGTCGATAGTCTCGCAGTTGGGAGACTTTGGATGGCCGCGTTAATGAAGGCTACCATCGACAGAGATGAGTCACTCCCTTTCACCACCACCTACCAACAAAAGACGATATCTCTGGACAAGGCCCGCGCAATGCGACAACGCCCACCAAATCTAATGGACGAGGGGGAGGCTGATGGCGATGTCGAAAAGAAGAGCGAGTATTCAAAAGACAGCATTAAGGATAACGTCATTCACGAGGAAGACGAAAAAGGCCTTGCAATCTCTGGACTTGACGACGCAAAGGCTCTGCTTGCATACGCTGATAACAGCGACTCGACGTCGGAGAAGCCATCGGATCCATTGCCTAGTACGGTCGCAACTTGACCTGGCGTTCTTTGCGCATTTCCATTCACTTCGTCATCATATATCCTTCTTGAACATACAGTACCTGCTTTTCTAATTTCAATCACTCGTCCACGCCAAGAGTGGCAAACGACGGGCGGCACACGCAAGGGCGTTATCGGGGCGGTTTTGAAGGACCATTTTCTTTTTGCTTCTTCCCTTAGTTTGGATTTTGACGGACGAAATCTCAACGACGCATTTTGGATTCAAAAAAGTCCACTCGCCCTTTTTTTTTATGTTTTACCCTTCCATACAGGCGACGACGCAGCAGTAGCAGCAAGGCTTGTAGTGTAATAGTAACCAAACCAAGACCTCGGTCTTATCATGTACTTGCATTCCAACATCCCTAGAAAGGGATACCAGACAATACGCAACACTTCGCTTTCCCTCCCTTGCACCCTCCATACCAAACTCCTACCCCTCCCCCTCCACAATCTCATTTATCATTCCTCTGTTCCACTGCAAAATTGCAATGCATAACCCCCCACGTCCGTCTCTCGATAATACTATCTTGACGTCTCCACTGTATCGCCGCTCGTCGCATCGCGCGAATACTAGCGTCGACCAGGATATTTACACTACCCCGAACCCAAATATGTCGAGCTCTTCGAGGGAAAAAGCTACGCCCCCGGCCAGCCCCGTCTTGCGTGGCAGAAGTCCCTGGCGCGCGGGCGACGTGCCGGTGAAAACGAAGCGCAGTAGGACGTTAGGGCGTGTCGCGGTGTTGTTGATGCTGCTGGGCGTGCTGGGGTATGTGGGTATGGGGTGGGGAGTTTGCGGGTACGCCTTCCTTTATCTCGAGACGGAAAGGATGGATGTTAACGTGACCATGTAGTGAGAAATGTACCAAAACAACCGAATGGCTAGAAAACGGCGCTCGCAGGACTGGGGAATACGTCGGTTCGTTACATGTCCTTTCTTTCAAATGCAGAATGAACCTTGGAACTAATACGCGTGTAGGCGGCGGATCGGTCCTCCCCAGCATCCACGGCACCGAAGCCTTTGCGCGCCAACAAGCCGCCATGCTAGCTCTGGCTTCCACGCCTGACTCCTCTTTCGTCGAGGACAATGAAGCGCAGAGGGAGAAGATTGAAGAGGCCGCCCAGCAGGCGCAGATCCAGGAGACGGCTCAACACCAACAACTACAACAACAAGAGGATGATGAGGTCACACGGGCGGACATGGTCGATGCGATGAATGGGCAGGGGGATCATACGAATGAGACGGAGTTAGTGGAGGAGAAGGAGCCGGAGCATGTGCATGTGCAGAGTGCGGGGGTGGGGGAGGGCGGGGAGGCTGTTATGGGGAGTATAGAGGGGGTTGGCGGGGGGTTCTAGGATGATAGTTTGAAGACGTATGATGACGAGGCATGGTTACTATGGGATGGAGTTGGTTTGATGATGAGTGATGCATCTATGATGTATGGTAAAATTGATGATATGGTGTTTGGTTTTGGGCATGATAGGACGAATAGAGAAGGGTGAATGAATGCAATAGATCAAGTATTGCTCGAAGCTGCTGTTCTCTTCTCAATTTCATTCACAGATCACCATGTCAAGTCGTCAACATCGCGAAGCCTTTTTATTTGATAATTGTTTTCTCATTTGTTTGTTCTTTGTTTCTCTTATTATCTTGTCGTGAACTACGAAATATAGCGAGTGATTATGGGGTATCTTCCAATCCAAAAAGCAACCATTCCACCAAAAATAAAACGCCTTCCCTATGCCAAATGTGCCAATGAAGGCGGGAATAATCTTGATGTTTACGCTCTCCGCGCGCTTACAAACTCCTCTTCCGTCTCATCTTCAACTCAGGTCTGACCGGCTCATCCGGCGCAAACCAGTCCCGAACGCCACACCGATCTTCCAGACTGCGGAACAAATCGTCTACGCGGTCTATCATCCACCCGCTTTGAATCCGCTCGTTAGGCTTAGCGTAGCCCAGCGTGAATTTTGTTGATATCGAGCAGATACCGGCGTTGAAAGAAAATTGAATGCAGTCTTTTTGGTCGTCGCAGAGGGCGCGGCAGTGCGCGAAACTCTTCCATGCGTTGCGTTCGAAAGAGTTGTCGGCCGTGCTGTGGTCGTGCGCATTATATTCCCTGTCAGCGGACAGATTGTCCCATGCCGAGACTGATGGAGCGATTTTTGGTCGGACCAGCTCCATAAAGACGTCGCGGTGGCGGAGCGTGATGTCGTGCCGACTGTACCAGTCCTGCTCAAAGGCCCAGAGCTCCTTGATCTCAGCGGGCGAGACGTGGTGGTATGTGATGGTGGGAAAGCACCATAGATCGCGGTCGATCTTGGTGATGGCTGGGTCGACAGATGCGGGTGAATCGCCTTGGAAGTGGGGAAACGCGCGGTGAAGTGGAACCTTGACGTCCTCCATGACCTTGCCGAGTGCGCAGTCGCCGACCCAATGCGTCTTGGTGAAGTCCTCGTATTCGCTGATGTGTTCGGAGCGCTGCTCGATAACCTTGTGCATTGCAGGGTTCGACAGGACGAAGCCAGCGCCACCGTATCCGAACTCGACGTCGTTGATGTACAGGTGCTTGCCGATATAGTATGGCTTCGTGTCGTCAAACTTGCCGAGGTAGTCCAGGAGGTTGTTCCAGCCCAAGTACGTGTCCGCCTCGATGAACACAAACCACTTCGCATCCGGCTTCCTGGCGTAGGCATGGTCAATCATGGGCAAAAACTTCCACTTGTCCAGCTTCCATCCGTCGTTGTCCGTCTGTAGATAGTCGCCTTTTGATGACCCTGACATGCCGGTGACGATCTTCTGGTTTGGCAGCCCCCGTCGTCCATGCTCTTGCAGGTGGTGGTACAGCTTGAAGTCATCGCTTTCCTTCTTCGATTGCTCACTGACACCCGCCAAGACGTCATGTACCTCGACGCCATCAACCTCCTCGTTCATGTCCGAGACAACTAGAAAGTGGGGCACGCATAGCAGCGTGGTACGAAAATGCACAGGTAGCTTTTGTCGAGACTCGGTCGCACCTGTGCGGAGTACTACCAGCACATCGTCCGCGAGCTGTGATTGCGGGCATATGAAATCTTCCAGGTCGTTTGACGATGACTGCGGCTGTCGAAGCGAAAATGCAGGTGGGGTGGCCTTGGTGAAAACATTGATGACGGAAACAGAAAAGACGGCGCAGAAGATGAACCTGCAAAGGAATGCGCGGAAAGGCATGCCGATCATTTGATGAAGCTCAGCACCAGGCGAAGCTCGTGGGTATCAAGGAAAGTGTAGAGTGACGGTGACAGTAGGCTTCGTGTATTTGCCTGCTGAATAAGGTTCTGTCAATGCGTAGAGGGGTGGGGATGATCCCAAGCCATCGAAAGGCGGCCAGGTGGTGTTTGCTTTGGTGCAGCAACGAGGCTGACTGCGTTTATAAGATGACGGCCAAGTACGCGGGGTCAGAGGTGTTAAGAAGGGAGACCGGTCCTCGATGAAGAACAGCGGTCTGGCGATCATCATCTTTGGTCAGACGTGTGCGCCCGTACCCGAGAGCATCGCGGCGATCAATGCCTGAAGGAAGGTTACCAGCGCGAGTCCCTGCTGGGAGCTGTCACTGCACGTTGAGGACCCCAGTCGACATGTCAAACAGAACAAGCGTGTCCTAAGTCATGCCGTGCGACCATCCGAAGGATCCGCTGGCCACTGAGAAGCGCATTCTTGCACAGTCGTGGATGCTGGTGGTGTTTTGACCCTGCGTCGGATTGAGGTTCCGTGGGCTCGGATCAGAGCTTGAATGCGCCTATCGCGCTTGGACATGATGTCACACTTTGTTTCAGGAGAATGAACATGGTCAAGCGCAGCCCGTCGGCCCGTTGTGCTGTCCCTCATTGCCCGATGCGATGTTTCTGCGTGTGGAGAAAAGGCTCATTTCGGTTGCTGAATTCTGAATCGTCCACCATTCAGGCAACTGTGTGGGTGTGGAATGTCAACTTCCGCGGGGTCTTAATTAGCTGCTTCCCCTTGCCCGGCCTGTTTGGTGGAGGCATGCAATTCTACTCTTCGTTCAGTCGCCCAAGCGGATCGCCAAACTTCAACGCCGTTTCATCAAAGTAAGGCATACGAATACATGTCACGAGACATTGGGCGAAGTTTATATCTCACACTACAGGGGTTCACCACACCGGCTGCCAGCTAGAGTAACCAACCTATCCCAGCAGCCAGCTTCCCATACCCCAGTGTGGCACGTACGCGTCCAACACGAGGAGAAAGAGGCGGTTGAATTTTTTTTCTTATAGCATGAAGGTATACCTACACGATGTTGTTGGACTTCGTTTGCGCGTGTCAGACCCTAGTCATCCTCCCTTGAGTTTATGATAAAATCCTCAATCACATACAATGGCGCCATTCCATACGCGCAAGGAGTCACGAGATGCCTCTTCAAATAGGGTGTATTCAGGGCAGTTGAGTACTACCCATTCCACAGTGAATTGTCAATCAGGCGCGACGATGAATTTAGTAATTTATTTCACAACGAATAGATGTTCCCTGTATTCCGCATTCAATCATGCGAACAATAAGCACGCTGTGCCATGCGGCATGACTTGTAACTTTCTAACTACTCGTGCGAAACTCAGTCCCCTTACTTCTGGTACTCAGCCTCATCATGGATAAATTAAATAACGCTACTGGTCGCCAAAAGCACGCACTTATGCTCGGTTACATTATCTACTTTATAGTGGCAATCATGGCTGTCAATGTGGTGCTCCAGAAGACCGCAGCCAGGAGACAAAGAGAGGAAGCAGCTATTGTCGAGGCATTCGTGCGGCAGCAGGATTACAGCCAGTGGGTGGAACGATATGGCATAGCTCGACGCGTGGACGGAGTTGTCGATGGAGCTTAGTATGTAGATGACTACGTAACGTATGCCAACTTCGTATATGGAACTTTCCGTCGTCTCTGCGCAGTGAGTTCGTGTTGCCATCATTGTACTCGAGAGGATGGCTTAAGCGTTTACCTGCCCTGCCCTTCATGACGTTCTTTCTTCTTCCCTTCGTTACCTGCTACGGGCATCTTTGTCTGCGAGAACTTAAGTACGAGAAACTAGAATGCTGACTGGAGACACAAAGTGCTGATGCTCGTATCCACCCAAATTCGCCGACCCGTGCGGGAAACATCCTCCACTCCTGAATACAACTGTCAGTTCTACAAGACATAGCTACAATATTTCACGACTTGAGGCAGCAACCAAAGTTGCGGGAATGAGGACGTGTAGTCATGCTATTGCAGATGTACATTGCAGACTGCTCAAAGTGCTCGTTCAGGGTGCGCCTGCCCTCCAAATGACTGGTACACCAGTGTTTCAAAGCTCCACCTCGGGATGGATCCGACTCAAAAAGCTCCGAACAGTGACTCGAGATGCAGCGCGCGAAGATGATGATATCGCTTGTGCGACGATGGAGATGAATGAGCAAGATGAGGCCGCATTAGCTCCGCGCTTATTCCTCACCCCACCAACATTGGTGGTTTGCAGTCTCATATCCATCAAACCATCATCGACGCAGTATTTATAAGGTCTACCACAGTCGCTGTACGACCTGCCATCACATGCGAAACAACAATCATGCAAATCAAGCTTTAGGGCGCTCATCGTTCATGCACCCCGCATGGCAGTTCAGGTCCCGAGCCGCGTCAAGACATGCCGCGCTGTTTTAATAAACGTACCCTGTCGCGCTTCAGGGCTACGATACCCGCAATTCCGCCACCTCAATAAGCTGCAAATTGTCCAACAGTCGGTCTGTCTGCTGGCATAGCCATATGGCCCACTGTATCCGCATTTTTGCTTTTCTAGCCTACTGTCAGGACCGATCATTACTTGTCGAGTTGGCATCTAGCCAATGGTGCGAGGGAGCACCACAGTGTGCTACCTGTTTAGGTAATTAAAAGTCTTGACGATGATGTCTGACAGGTGCCGCCAACCGGGTTGGCGTACCAAGATGGCTGCAGGGTGATTCCGTGGAGATAAACTTGCGCATTTTCAAGGGTTGATGGTAATAACGTAGATTGAACTTGTGGGGTGGTAGTACCTGGCGAAGATCTACCATGGGCGACTGCCATATATCATGATTGCAAGTTCCCTCCTGTAGAGAAACTACTGTTAATAGTCTGTACCATCTTTTCTCCTCGAGCAAAGCATCCCACGTCTCCTAAAATGGTATCCTTTACACAAATAGCGTTCCTAGCATTGGCCACTGGCCTTGCCACCGTCGATGCCCAGACCAAAACCGGAAAGACCACCAGATACTGGGACTGCTGCAAAGGCTCATGTGGATGGTCAGGAAAGGCCGCCGTGAGCCAGCCTATCCAGTCGTGCGACAAGTCAGACAACCCTCTCGCGGATATGGCCGCTAAGAATGGCTGTGAGAATGGTGGACAAGCATACATGTGCACCAACCAGAGTCCCTGGGCGATTAATGATCAGCTGGCATACGGCTTCGCTGCTGTCAAGCTGGCTGGACAGACTGAGAGTAACTGGTGTTGCGCTTGCTACGAGTGAGATGATCCTAACTATCTCGCTTTTGACCATTGTTAACGCTCCGTCTCTAGATTGACGTTCACATCCGGCCCTGTCAGCGGCAAGAAGATGATCGTGCAAACCACCAACACCGGCGGCGACCTTGGCCAAAACCACTTTGACATCGCGATGCCAGGCGGTGGCGTAGGACTCTTCAACGCGTGTACGAGTCAGTGGGGAGCGCCGCCTCAGGGTTGGGGTCAGCAATACGGCGGCATCTCATCTCGCTCAGCGTGTGATAGTTTCCCCGAGAAGTTGAAGGCCGGATGTTATTGGCGGTTTGACTGGTTTGGCGGCGCGGATAACCCTGATGTTAGCTTTAAGGAGGTTACTTGTCCTAAGGCGCTGACAGACAAGAGTCGCTGTATTCGCAATGGGCAGACTCCTACGTAGATGGGAGTGGCGAGGTGGATAAAAGAGCACATGAGTGTTCCTATTGTATATACCTTCTCTTTGTTTACGAATCATTATGACCATCAATCTGAGCCCTTTGTTATTGGTTGTTAATTCATGGCTAATGAAGAACGCTCGGCTCTCTCTTCCGGACATTGCCGCGCTTACCACAATTTCAGCCGCACCGCTACGATGTTACCAATCGTTCCACAACATCCTGATCATTTTTTTCTTCGACCTCAACATCACGATTTCTTCGCTCCTAGGATGTGTTGTAAAGATGACTGGCATCAAAAAAGACAGTGATGAAACAAGCGACGCGCGCGGACATTCGCAGCCCGCGCAGTCCACGGGTCCGAACGAGACTTGGCATAGCCTTGTCCAGCGTTTTCAACTTCTGAGGCAAACAAACTCATCAGTTTCTTCATCAGCTAGACATCCAGCCATCCTGATGCATCATCTATGCTCAGCCACCACATAATATAATCCTATTCTTGATTTACCAACCCGACATCAAACATGCCGCGACCACAATGGCTGTCGTCATTTACGCACCACGGCACCAAGCCGCCCATCTTTCTAAAATACAGAAGCTCGGATGCGTTCATCATCGGCACGATCTCATTGGCTGTGTTTACTGTACACATCCCTCCCGTCCCAAAATCTCACCTACCAATCGCTAGTCTAACTTCGCGTAGGACATGTTCCTCTACGGCGTTATCGTTCCCGTCATTCCCTTCGCTCTCCAAACACGCAGTCACGTGGCCTGGGACAGAACCCAATACTGGGTGTCCGTCCTCATCGCTATCTACGGTGCCTCACTGCTCGCTTTCTCGCCTATATGCGGATGGCTGGCTGATCGCGGGTCATCCAGGCGCTCGCCTTTGCTGCTGGGCTTGCTGGCGTTGTTGGGGTCGACAGTGTTGCTGAATGTGGGTAATTCGGTGGGGATTTTTGTCGCGGGGAGGATCTTGCAGGGTGCGAGTGCGGCGGTCGTGTAAGTTGAGGTATGGTGTAGAGGAGATCAGCGACTAATGAATTGTAGATGGGTAGTTGGGTTGGCGCTGCTGGCGGATACTGTGCCGCAAGAGCAACTCGCGCAAGCAAGTGGTTGGCTCAGTCTGGGGATGTCGCTTGGAATTTTGCTCTCGCCGTTGCTCGGTGGTGTCGTCTTTGATCATGCGGGATACAATGCCGTGTTTGGCATGGCGTATGCGTTGATTGGGCTTGATATCGTACTTCGACTTCTGTTGGTTGAGAAGAAAGTGGCGGCGAGATGGGATCCTGATGTTGCTGGACGAGCTCCAGTGGTTGCGAGCGACGAGTTGGACGGAGGAAAGACTACGACTACTCCTCCCTCGGATGGAATACCAGATGAAGAGAAGGCTGCTACGGGCGGACCAGAAATCGACCCCACGGCATTCCGCCAGCGTCGACGAGATCGTCTCCCTCCCGTTCTCTCGCTCTTGTATTCCCGCCGTCTCTGGGCCGCCTTGGTATGCGCTCTCCTACAAGCCACACTTATGACCTCATTCGACTCCGTCCTCACAATTCACGCCGCCAACATATTCAACTTCTCAGCCACCGGCGCCGGCCTGCTCTTCCTACCCATCTTGCTCCCGGGCTTCCTCGCTCCCCTATTTGGGTGGCTCAGCGACAAGTTCGGTGGACGCTACTTCGTTACTGTTGGATTCTTATGCGCCTGTCCACCACTCGTATGTCTTCGTTTCGTCAACGAGAATACGATCAAAGATAAGGTCCTTCTTTGTGCACTGTTGGCTATCACGGGACTATTCCTCGCCGCCACTTTTCCGCCGATTATGGCGGAGATCTCCAGTGTGGTGGAAGCTAAGGAGAAGAGCATGCTTGCTCGCGGACATCCAGGGTTTGGTAAGGGCGGAGCGTATGCGCAGGCTTATGCATTGTTCAATATGGCTTTTGCAGCTGGGTGCATGGCTGGGCCGTTATTGGCAGGGTTCCTTGTCAAGGACAGAGGGTGGGAGACGATGGCGTGGGTACTGGGCTTGATCTCAGCCGTTGCGGCTGTGCCGGCGTTGTTGTGGCTAGGTGGATGGCTGTTCAAGAAGAAGACATAGTTGCATTGTATGCATATCCCATCACTGAAGTCATGATACTCTATCCCTTTGCTCTCGGAAGTGTTCCTTCATCATCCCAATGAGCTCCCTCACCTGCCCATCAGGGTCATAGTGCTCTTCTCCTTCATTGTTCATATACCAGGGTGCGTCAGAATCGTATTCTTCATCGCTACAAGAGTATCTGTGTTCATTCCAGGGATCATAGACCTCGAGACTCCCATTCCAGCTGTTGTTTGATCCCCACAAAAGTAGTGTCGCCATCACCTCGACGGCCTTCTGGAAGTAACTCATCTGGAACGCACAATATCAGAAGGCCATCATCGAGCATGACAAGATGCATCTGACCACCGTCTTCTCCATCTGCACTGGCGACGCTAACTCGATGCGGCCGCAGAGACGCAAACTGCGCGTTGAGCTCAAATCCCCACGCCTGTTTCTTGCTTCCCTCCAGCTCAAATCCACTTTGTGAACGCCCTGCCCAGGCTTCAGCCTCAGAACATCGAGCGACAATGTGCCCGTCGACCAAGATCCAAACTGCTGTATCACATCGATCCAGTGTGCTTGTTTCGCGGCCTCGCGCGCTTTCACAAAGTAGTTTCCGGAGTATAGCCTTCAGTTTCCCTGGACATTTCTGAGCAGGATCTTCTGCTTCGTGGCTCGAAGAGCGTCTATAGCTTTGTCTGCTGTGCCTTCCTTATTGCATTATCTTTTGGCGTAGGATACTGCAAGGGTAGTCTTCAAAGCCTCCTGGCATAGAAATGTCGTCGTCCTGCTCATTCCATGGTATTTCGTACCGGACATCTGGTTATCATTAGGTAAATGGATAGATTTCATGGAAGCCGTGGTGTCATTCTTACTCGTCGTATTCGCAGGAAATATGCGCATCTTGTCCATGCTGGAATAGGAAATTAGCTTCACAAATACCAATGCAGAGTACTTGTAGGAAGATCCCAAGATTATAGTCTTGGTGTTTCGGCGCAATCATGTTTTAACCGTAGTGGACAAAGTCGTCTTACATTACCTTCGCAGCGGGTCGACCCCCGCAGTTCCACACGCAAGAGGAGCGATCGATCTATTTGTACATTTTCTGACATCTTTTTCTCTTGAATCCATAGGAACTTAGCTGCAGTGTCTACGCGTTTATGACTTTACTTCCTTTAGCAAAGTTATCTATCACCAATATTACCGTTTCTTTGATATGCTTCAAGCTACATATCGGGGGGGAGAAGAATGTAAATCAGCATCACCATTCCCAATCATACTTAAACCTCTATGTTCTCCACCAAGAAGTTTGTTCCTCGCCTCTCAATTCCCATCATCATCATCGTCCTCCTCCGCTGCAGCAGCCTTCCTCTCAAACTCCCCAAACACCCCTCCACTCATCCCCTCCCCCCCAACAGTGCTCCTCCCGCCCTCCACCAACCTTACCTCCCTCCCCACAAAACTCGCCACAATCCCACTCCCCGGACCCTCCTTGTCCAACAACACCCTCTCATCCGGCTCAATCACCTCCACATAATACCGATCCTGAAACGCAGCGGTAAACTGCTCCAGAGACGGGACCAGAAACATCGCTATGCCGTCGAATTCGACGGGCATGGTGGGTAGGTCGATGGTGTGCAGGGCGTTGGGGGCGGAGGCGGTAGAGGGGATGGGCACCATTGAGCCGGTGGTGTGGATCTGCGGTGGTTGTGGGAATGGGGGTGGGGGAAAGGGGAAAAGGAACAATACCTGTTGATAGCGAATGATGCCGTGCTTTTCGGCCCCAGGGGGATCACTTTGGGGGCGTGGATCATTTCCCAGTGCGTGTAGAATTGAGCGCGAGTTAGGGAGCGGTTGCGCCGGATGTATGTGAGAATTTGAATTGGGGATTGGTGTGTTTCGGCGGCCATGTTGAGTGCGCGGAGTGGCAATGTGAGTTTATGTGTGGTTGTGGTGGCCTTGAAGTATCTTGATTTAATGTTCGGTTTGCGGACTTTATGTACATGGAAAGTAAGCTACGTTGCAGTCTGTGCAGACGCAGTTGTATGCATCGACAGCAAGACAACTATTGGCTGGATTGAGATCGTTCATCCAACTCAGAGCCTTGTGACAGCGGAAATACGAACGGGGCATATAACGCTGGCGGTAAACATTGTCCGAGAGGCGGATTTAACGTTGGAAGCGAGGAGGGGTAATCTAAGTTAGAACACTGCCGCCCGTTACAATCAACAAGTCTTATTCTCATCTGCACACCCTCTCTTCATCCTCATCTCCTTTTCTTAAAGTATTCCACGCCCCACAACCCAAACTCATGAATGGCGGAGTCCCAGGATTCCACACTGCCGGTACTGCAACATCACAAGTCGTCACGCCATAATCTCTCTCCAAGTTCCAAATCAGACTCAGTGATATGCGAATTCCAGTTCCAGGCCCGAAACTGAACCCTTTCGCAAATAGCCTGATGTTTCCTGGGTTACTGGCGCTCCTGCACTCGGCTTCAAGTTTGCCAAGGAAAGAGCGCATGTGTTCGGGTACGAGGATTTCCTCGCCTAGGTCGAAATGCGAATCTTGCTTGTAGACGTAATCATGGGGTATGAAGACTGCGTGAAGGTGGAGTGCTTCGAATACGCGCTGCGTGACGAAACAAGGTAAAGAATAGTCAGAACGGGGTGCAGGGAAGGTCGGCGTCCATATTGGCACGTCGAAGTATCTCAGTCCCTGTGAAGTAAGCTTGTGATTCTGCATGCGTACGCGCGACCGTGATTTCCATTTCTCGACGCTGACTTGAAGGAAAGGCCCGCATCGCGGCATTGTGCCTACTTCGTCCGACCCCGGAGGTGAAACTTGAAGCGCTTCTCCCACGGAGCATGGCAGAGCAAAGACAAAGCGTGCTCAGTGCAGTTTTGCAACACTTGATATCCCAATTCTTCCTCGCGAACGTCGTAGTCAACCGTGATCCCTCTCCCCTCCTCACATAGTGCTAGAAGGGAGAAGATACGGTCGCGGGGGATAGCACATCCCCATGTCCTAAATCTGTCCAACAATGCGATGAGGCCGGAGTACCACACACTAGCTCTTCCCCCATCCTCAGGTGTCTCGGGTGTAAGCAGGTCAGGCTTGACGAGGAGATACTGCTCGATCCTACTTACACCCAGCTTCGGTCCAGGGTACTTGGGTAACAAAGCCTGACCTCGTCTCTTACTAGGACTTGTCGGGTATCCAATAGCGATTATGAAGTCCCTGAAATCCAGGACCGTATCTTTTATAAAAACTTTCAGGTGTCGCGCAAGCACGATTTCTTGCGTCACCCAGGCGCGTCCCCAATACGGGTTCTGGTACACGTCGACATTGCAGATGCGGCGCCGGTACTGCTTCTTGCTTGAAAGCATGGACCATGGTGGAGAGAGGAGACACGCGATCGACGGTATTGAGGGCAGTTTTCCAAGCCAGATGTAGACGCATTGCGCGTATGAGTATATCTTGCCCATCTGCTGTACCTGGTGATTTCTTTCAATGCCATTATCTTGATCAACGCAGACCGCGTCGATCCACCAGTATGATTCTGATGTGGTTAGAGGACGTGTCTTTTCGAGAAAATCAAAAAGGTTTTGGCGGACGGCGAAACTAGCGCCATTGACTATGATATTTTGATGCGATGGAGGCTTGCCCCAGACATAGCTAAGACAAGAGTAGTTTTCTTTAATTGTAGTGTTGTGGATTTTTGCATTGGATCAGACCGTCGGCTGACAGGTCTGGAAGAATGCGGATGACTCGGATCGATTTGATGCTATAGTCGAGCGGTTCATGGCGAAAGACTCTGCTGGAGGCGTTCATTGCGAGACGCTAATAATAAAGCAGTAAAGGTTATGCCTCCAGGTGGAATGTGCATTGCCATCAGTAGAATTAAGGCGACCTTTTAGTGTAGGAGGGCAGAAGATCAAAGAGGGAAAGAGATCCAAACAAGGCTGAGGTGGGGCTGTGCATCCTTGGGATGGAACATCCACAGCTACTGAGCTCATAATGATTCCCAATCTCTGCAGCAGAACAAGTCGCACGATTGATGTGTAACATGATACTATTGACTCGAGCTCTGATGTAAATCCTGTCGGTCCTCAGCGTATAAGGGTATCCAAAATTCTCCAAAACACTGGCACGCTCCCCTTCTCTACCTCCTACACAGTCCCAATCCCCATCGCCACTCTCCCGAACCAATGCCACCACCCCTCCCTCCTCCCCAACACCCTCTCCATTTCTCCCGCCCTCCCCTCCACCATCTCAACCTGCCTCTCAAACTCCACCAGCGCATCCTCCACATCCTCGACCTTGCCGCGCAAGGCCCCAATCTCGTAGTCCAGCTTATCGCCAACATCTCCTAATTCGCGGATCGACATGGTGAGCTGGCTACGATTGTTGGTGATGATGCCGTGCGCGGTCTCACGCAGGTCGTGGTACGTGTCGAGACGCGGGTAGTAGATTGCATCGAGTGTTTCAATATCGGCGTCGGCGGCGGCTTCGAGGTCAGCGAGGTCGGTGAGGCGCGAGTATACCCATGTTGAGTCTTTGTTGGAAAGTAAGGCGAGGCGGTGATGTAGGCGTTTGAGCTGTTCGGATTGGAGGTTTTGCAGAGCGAGGTTGGCGCCTAGAGCTGCGGAGTTGTCGGCATCTTCGACGGCTTCTTCGTCGATGTCTGGAGCGGCGATGTTGCGCCATCGCAGGACGTTTTCTTCGGCTACACTGAAGGACAGTTGGCGAGGCCACCAGTCGTCGTGACGTGGGGCTTGGTAGAAGTCGAATTGATCGCTGGATAGTGTGCGACGGAGAAGGGGTGGGATCTCGTGTGCTTCCTCGATGGGCAGCCTTTCGTTGAGCTCGACACCGTGATAGACGGTTTCTAAGACAGGATCTTCGGCTATAGCCTCAATCGACGCATCGCTCTCAGCAACAGAATTCCTCAATGCGGACGGCTCATAATTGCCACTTGTTTGTTGGAGTGTCTTGTCCAGCGTAAGATTGGCTGCAGACTCGTGAGGCGTTTCGGTCAAGACTTTGGCGAAGGCGGGCTCAGGGTCTGTGAGTGTGCGCTGGGAAGAAACGAAGGACGAGTGATCCCCATCTGACCTGGGAAGCGTGCCATTGGCGTCTGCAAGTTGAGGTGAACGGAGGTCGCTCTTGTTTCGATGCAGGCTATGCCGACCAGGATGGTCATCTCTCGAATGTTTACTGGTGTGCGTTCGCAGACCAACGGCATCTTTGATGTGTCGAAAGCCGCTTCCAGGAATCGCTTTGATGGCGGCGCGTTTCGAAAAGGGGTCTTTGTCTTTGTCTTTTTCTGTACCATCTGGTGAAAATACTTCCGCCTTTTTGCTACTGTCAGCCGTGTTCTCACGCTTCATGAGTCGCTGGTGGTCGATGGTCGATTCTCTGGTAAGCGGCTTCTTTGTAAGTTCCTGTTCGTCTGGGGAGTCTGGGCGCTCTTCTCCGGGTAAACGATTGAACATGTCACCTGCCGTAGATTTGCGAGGTTTGCCGTGCCACAGCCACTTGGCGTGTCCTCCCCGAACTAGTTCCACAAATTGATCAATATCGACAGTCTCGACTTCAGCAATGCCATCCTTTTGACCCGCTCCTACCATGCCCATGACCATCTCGCCTCCTTTGCCTCCGAGCTCGGCCACGGTGGACTTGAAGGCTCGGGGTACGGCCCAGCCCTCTTTGCTCGCAGCTTTTGCTGTGCATCTTCGCAGCTTGTCGAGGGTCTGTCTGTCTAGTCGGCGTGTTCTTGTGAGATGCTGTGACTTCTGGAAGTGTGCGATGCCCCGCTTTGTGCTCTCGATGTCGAAGACGTCTTTGGAAACTGGGGCGTTGCATGCACTTAGCCTGTTACGCGAGCCCATTAACATGCCCAGCAAAGCAGCGACCGTGGTAGGACCAAGTATGCCATCGTGAGGCTCTACCGTGTAGTACTCAGCCCCGTGCTCGAGCCACCAATCATTGATGGCTTTCTCGGTCAAGTCGCACAGCAGCCCGTCAGCGTACTCTGGCTCGAGCTTGCCAAATAGGACCAGTGCAACCTGGCACAGCTTCACAAGCTCGATCACGGATGCATTGAAAGGGATCTTTTCGCTTGTGCGGTAAAGCTGGTGGAACTTTGCTTCGGTTGCACTACTCGGTGGCGCAAGCTTGATGCCCAGACGGCCGGAGCATCCCATGCGCTTGAGATTTTCATTGACGAAGAAGATGTCACGGTACTTCTTCATGTCCCCACCTGGTATAGGAATCACAGTCAGCGAGGATGGAAATCCACTCAGGTTCGTAATCATGAGAGTGCCGTAGGGCGTCTCCTTGGGTCGTGCATGGTATTCTGTCAGAGATTTGAAGAGCAGACGCATCTGAGGCGACCATTCTGCCTCGTCTGATGGGACGCTTATGATTGTCGCCAGCACAACATCAGAGGGGTTGCCAGTGTACGTGGTGATGAGGAAGGTGGGGTGGGATCGCGAACAGGCCCACTGCTCGACCAGATATATCTCGTAGCCCTCGATCTTCTGCCTGCGAGCGAGGACGGTGGTCTTGGGGTCGTCCTCGAGGTAGCGGGCGGCAACGGAGTCGGTGAGCACGAAGCGCTGATGGCCCGGGGCTGCTGAGGCTGGCGAGGTTACGGAGCCCTCTTCGGGCATTGTCTCGGTGGTTGACGACTTCTTGATCGAGGTGGTCTGGGGCTTGGAGTGGGCCGTGTTGGTGCGCGACAGGGCGGCTGGTTGTGTAGGAGGCACCTGCCGACGAAGCTCATGTTCCGAGTCGGCTCGCGAGTGGAGCAGCGGAAAGGCGGTGGCCATGGCGGCGGTAGGTGTGCAGCCTTATGGCTGGGTCCGTGGACGTGACGCGTGGTGGTGTGAAGGCCAGCTTCTCATGGTGCCAGTGCAGGTGCAGGCCGGGAGTTTCTCCGGCGGCCGCGTGCAGTTATGGGCGTATGAGGGCACGGTGCAGGGGGAGTTGTGCTGTTCTGCGCATGGTCGGAGCAGAGGAGCAGAGAGCAGACGTCGGGCATGCCGCATGTGCAGAGGCTCACCAAGAAATGTCTAGTGGTTAGCAGCGATGCATGGCGGAAGCTTGCGCGCCCCCACGTCATGGCGTGGGTCATGGGACATGGGGGAGCTCCAACCCCAAGATTCCACCACGACGATAGAGCACCGCATTCGCACCCCCGCCAGCACGCCAGCACACCAGCACACGACCATGGGCCACTGCAGTGTCACTTGCTGGACGGCATACAGCTACCTCCTTGTGTCCGCCGCCGCTCGCTGCACCACCACACGCCCGCTCCACGTCTCATAGCCCCGACCAAGGAAGCAGCCGCCATGGACGACCTCCGCGAGCAGGTCGAGCTCCTGGAGAACAGCGCAAACCTCTCCACGAGCATCGACGACATCCAAAAGGCCATACATCAGCTGACTGCAGCGCGCGCCAAGATTGCTGCAGGTGCGTGTCTCTTCCACGGTCCCCCCCATCGGGACGTTGCTGACCACCACGCCATCAGATCCGAAGACGGCGCCCTTGACCCTCGCCAAGCTGCAGGACTCCTTCAAGAAGTCGCTCGAGACGGCCCAAAAGGACTTGAAGCCTGTGTATGCGGGACTTAACAAGTACGGCAAGGTGCTGGACAAGGTAGCTCTCTCACCTCAGGCACCGCACGCCACGGCATGGACTGACAGCGTGCTGCAGAAATTCAAAGACAAGCCCCTTCCTTCCGCCGAAAATGACGCTCTCTCATCGCATCCCGCCCTCATCAACCGCGCCATCGCCATGCACCTCCTCCGCGAAGGCGAGTTCGACGTGGCTTCCACTTTCATCGACGAGGCCAAGCGCCGCCCACCACACCCCGAGCCCACCGCCAACACGCCGAACCCTTATATCAGCCAGTCGTGGGAGAAGGACCTCGCAGAAGGGACCTTCAACTCGGACGAGCTGCAGCAGCAGTTCGCTGAGATGTATCACATTCTGGACGAGCTCCGGCGGCAGCGAAACCTCGAACCCGCCATTCAGTGGGCAAAAGAGCGGAGTGACATGCTGGAGGCGCGAGGTAGCAATCTCGAGTTCGAGCTGGCCAGGCTAGAGTTCATCCGCCTGTTCAACTACAGCGACGCAGACGACATGGACGAATATGCATCCGGCCCGCAGGACGCATTTCGCTACGCCCAGCAAGAGTTCGCCGGGTTTCAGAAGCGCTACACGCGTGAGATTCAAGAGCTGATGGGCGCCATGGCATTCTTCCCCAACCTCCAAGACTCTCCATACCGACACATTTTCTACAACGACTCGTCCTGGGAAGAAGTTGCACATTCTTTCAATCGCGAATTCTGCTCCTTGCTCGGCCTCAGTGCCGATTCGCCGCTATTCATCGCCGCAACAGCAGGCGCTATTGCTCTTCCCTACCTGCTGAAGATGCAGAGCATCATGAAAGAGAAGCGCACCGAATGGACCACACAGAACGAACTGCCCGTCGAAATCCCGCTTCCATCGCCATACCACTTCCACTCCATTTTTGTGTGTCCTGTGTCCAAGGAACAGACCACCGACTCCAACCCGCCCATGATGATGCCCTGTGGCCACGTCATAGCCGATCAATCACTCAAAAAGCTTGTCAAAAACTCAAACACAAGATTCAAGTGTCCGTATTGCCCGAGCGAGAGCTGTCTCCAAGACGCGAGGAAGGTTGTGCTGTAGCATCCTAGCCGGCTGATGCGCAGGGACGGCTGGGTCAAGCTGAAAAACGGCGAGATACACAAGAAGAGGTATTGCGTGGAACCCAAGTGGCTAGGGTTTATGACATCTGAGCCCGAGTTATGGAGTGAGTATGACAAGTGTCACGGCGTTTTTTATCGGCAAGGGTCAGGTGGGTTCCGCTAACTAGTTGCGTGTGTTCAAAGTATTCCTACATTCTTCCGTCGGACTGATACACACGAGTCTAGACTCTGTGCAATACACTTCCAATGTCGCACAAATTCCATTCCACATTCTCTTTCGTCTTGACCTAGGAATCGGTTGCGACATCAAGCGAGCTGAAAAGAAACACATCCACTACCTGCATATGCACGTCGCACAAACCTTCTCTCGCGCCAGACCTAGACCCACTAATCACACCACATGATCGGGTACGCTTTCGCGCACCCAGATTCGGCTGCCTTCCGCACGTTTGACCGGAGATCTACATAGCTCCAGAGATCCACTTCTCCAGATTCTCCAGATTCTCCACGCACTCCACGCACTCCACGCAGCAAAAACGTGCGGCCAGGCAATCCGGCGACAGAAGAGCTCCCGAATAATCAGCCACCACAGGCGGCTCGACACCAAGGTGCATGCCAAGCCAGCGCGGAAGCCTTCTGGGTGGTAAGACGGCCGTTGCGCGGTGCGGGGAAAAGCTTGGAATGTCTTGGGAGCCGGGGGATGCATGCTGCCGCGCCGTAGATATAACATGAGGTATGGGTACGTTCAATAAATTCTGAACGCGAAAGGTCGGTGAGATTGCTCGCCCTGCTTACTCACTTCTTTCTCTCTTTCCTCCTCCTGGTGCTTTGAGTAGGACTTTCAAGATGGACACCAAACACGCCATCGTCCAGGACGAAAAGTCGCCCAAGCACTTCGACGAGCAGGTGCTTAAATCCAGCGCGTTGGAAGGTCAACATGCGGATTATACGGGCGCGGAGGCGAAGACGGATCCCGTGGAGATTGCGCTGGTGAGGAAGATTGATTGGAGACTCATGGTATGTTTTCTCATCCTATACCGTTTGAACACAAACTGACAAGTACCAAAGCCAACATTATGCATCATGTACTTCCTCAATTACGTCGATCGCAACGCAATCGCACAAGCCCGCCTCAACGATCTCGAAAAAGATCTCGGCATGACCGGTGTGCAATTCAATACTTGCGTCAGCATGTTCGTCCCCATCCCATCCACCCATTCAATCAAACCCCATGCTAACACTCTCAGCCTCTTCGTTGGCTACGTCCTCATGCAAATCCCCTCCAACATGCTCATCACCCGCATAAAACCTGGCATCTACATGAGCGCGTGGATGCTCATCTGGGCCGTTGTATCCGCCTGCACCGCCCTAGTACAAAACTTTGGCGGTCTGGTCGCGTGTCGATTTTTCTTGGGGATTACAGAAGCGCCGGTGAGAACGTTACTGAGATCTTCAGAGTGCTGCGCTGATACCATGTGAAAGTTCTACCCCGGAGCAACATACATGTTAAGTATCTTCTACACGCGCAAAGAAGTCGCAACACGCATCGCCGTCCTGTATTGCGCACAGATCCTCGCCACGGGTTTCTCGGGCTTGATTGCTGCCGGTGTCTTCGCGGGCATGGATGGGCTTAAAGGGCTTGCAGGGTGGCGCTGGCTCTTCATCGTCGAGGGTGCCGTGACTGCCGTCGTCGCTATATTTGGCTTCTTCCTGCTGCCCAACACACCGCTGACTACTTCCTGGCTCACACCTGAAGAGCGTGAACTCGCTCACGCACGCATGGAACGCGACCGTGTGGGCGATTCGACGGAGGCGGTGAGTAGCATGGAGGGACTCAGGCAGGCGTGTCGGGACCCGAGGACGTGGCTGTTCTGCTTCATGCAGAATTTCCATCTCAGCGCGTGCAGTTTCAACTCGTTCTTCCCTACGTAAGTTTGCGGTGTTATATGGTGGGAGTGTGGGATAGGAGCTGACTTTCACAGTGTCGTACGCACCCTCGGCTTCAACCGCACCATCACGCTGGTCCTTACGTGTCCGCCCTTCCTGTTCGCGGGTGCTGCGGGTATTTTCACGGGCTGGAGTTCGGGCCGCATGCACGAGCGCACGTGGCATATTACCATCGGGCTTCTCGTCGCCGTGGTTGGATTCGTCATCGCAGCTAGCACACTGAACACCGCGGGCCGGTATATTGCGTGTTTCATCTTCCCAATGGGCGCATACAGCGTCAATTCAGTTATCATCGGCTGGGCTTCGAGTACACTGAGTCAGACGAAAGAGAAGAAGGCTGTTGTGCTTGCGATGACGAATGTTGGTGGACAGGTAAGACTACTTCTTTCTTCATTCCCCTGAACGGTGTTTCTGACAAGAATATTAGATCGGATACATCTACGGCGCATATCTCTGGCCCGAGACCGACAAGCCCCGCTATGGCATCGGATTCGGCGCAAGTGCGGGTTTTGCGCTCTGCTCGATTGCGTGCGCATGGGTCATTCGGTGGATGTTGATCAAGGAGAATAAGAAGCTCAGAGAGAGTACCACGGAACATGTTAACCTGTATGGATACTAGGTGTAGGGTTTGGCGTGGAGAGAAATATATGGTAGTAGCACGGTAACGGCCATTGGAGATGAATGTAGTTCGGGCCCCTCCCCTGAGGACGAGGAAATTGGCTGTGCCTTCCCCAAACCGCTCAAAAAAGAATGGGCGAGTTATTTGGCGTTTGAAACGTGTTGATTGATTCACTTGCGGTCTGAAAACGTTGCATGGACGTATCCTGCTGGACAATGTCCGCCATGGTAGGAAGATGCCCAGGAGTCGTGACGACAAATGGTCTTTTAGTGGCTTTTGGAGTGCTGTCAGCAAGGGTTGTGCCAGTGCCTGGTGTAGGTATACAGGTGGCGACGTCGTATTTACTGGTATCTGGATCCGCGCTTTGCTAATTTAGGTTTCGTCAAAGACCAGTCACCAACTTAGTCGACACCGTGACTCAAAACGGTCAGCGAACGAAGACGCCCAATCAACCAAATATTGCCAGAATGTCTCAAATACCACAACCGACATTGTCTGAAATCCTCAAACCATGGCGTCTGTTCCCCAACGCATCGCATACATCCGCACAATCGACGAGCCTAATGAGGCATACAATCCAGACAAAGGATCCGACCACCTCCGCCAATTCCTGGGCATGTACATGAAGCAAAGAAATCCCCACGACCCCGTAGAAATCCCTCGGCATCGTTTCGTCTTCGGCGCATCCAACGCAGTCGACGCGCACATGCTCGACCTCTTCCTATCCGACTGGATACTGCCCTCGCACTCCACCCGTGAATTCGCAAACATCCAACGATCCGACCTCGAGCTGCGCCTGTCCGAGCCTCAAGCCGTAACGGGAGAAGGCAAGCGACTTCTCGAGCGATGCAGCAAAGGCGGCATCGAGGTCGTGATGCGTGGCGCAGACGACGCGGAGTGTCGGGAAATCATGCTCCAGGAAAGCGACTATGTTATCGATCGCTGTGTCGAGGGGAATGCCGCGTGGTATTGGAATACTGCTAGGAGTGGTGTGCGGCAGGACAACGTCCTCACGAATCCAAAGTACGACATGGCCAAGCATCATGACGTGAGTAAGACGCGGCTGCAAAGGCGATATGCTGGCCATGGCTGGACAGCGAACTCGGGGTGTTCGCATGGGAATGGTGGGGGGTTTGCCTGCGTGGGGTGTGGGGGGAAGTGCAAGAGGTGGAAATGTCGCGTCAATCCGGGGGTTGAGAGAGTAGGTGCTGAATGGGCTCGATTGCCTGCGAAAGGCAGTGTTGATTGGCGCGAGCTATCGGCAGAAGATGCGTGTTTCAGAATGCAATATCAGCGTCTGCCCAGCCAGTTACCAGCGAAGGATATGTACAATAGTATTGATACGTTCAGCGGGGATTGAGGGTGACCTGAACTTCCATTTTGGGTGTTTCGTTACTGGGCTGGAATATTGTCGCATCTATTGTTGGTCGTCGAGAGTGCAAACTGGAGTGTCCATGGACTGAGTCTGAAGCAGGAAAAGGATATGGTTGGTGGGTGGACTTAGTCTGCCTCCCTGGCGATCGCATTGTAAGCCAGTGTGTTACCAGCATACCAAATACGACTATCAATCCTGTTAGCTGACTACCAACACAATCAGACCAAGTAAGACTTACTATCCGTAAGGCACATGAGTTGACAAGTGTGGCTCCATCGAGCGAAGCCCCATGTCAGAAATATAACGTTCGGGACAATGGTGTTGAGCAGCAACAACACTGAACCAGCCAGATTTCTGAACAGCATTGCCCGCAAGCTGTTCTCAGCTGACGTCCTCCCGGAAGCTCTCAGGCCATTTTCTTCCAAGCTCAAAAGACGGCTTATCGACGGTGATCTGCGATGCCTATTGCCACTTCGTGCATCGCTCAGTGATCGATGAGCAGCTGAACCTACCGCTGGTCGAAGTTGCTGGATAAAAATGATAGTCAACACCACATTGAAGACAGTGTCTAGCACAATCACCCCAATTGCTGCATTTGGCTGGATGCCGATACGGCAGAGACCGTCGGTTCGTGAGAGTTCCGATTCTGGTTGGATGAATTCGAATGCAGTGACACCGAGGTAACTGCAAACAGTCGCGATAGTGCCTCCGATCCAGATTGGGTCGCGTTTCCGTTCGATGAACGGTGAGCGCACAACGCGAACGCGTTCAAGGAGGAATAGCGTTCTGTGTTTTTTATTAGCTCGAGCTGCTTCGGAGAGGTAGCACATCATACAGGAAGATCTTGGCCGCCATGTACAATGCAATGCACACTCGTATAACGGCATAACACTGAGCATCCGTCGCGAGTCCAAGTCCTGCAATGTTGATGCCCACTGAAAAGATGAAAGCCATGCAAGTAATCCCTTGCGCAATGACTAATGCTTCTGTGGCTTTACTTGTTGTCTTGCCGGTACTTCGGCCTGCTCGATAGCCTTATCTCTGTTAGCGAGGTGGGTTTGAGACAGCAAGTCGCGTACTCACCCTGAGCTAATGCTAGCAGGGATGCGTAGAGAGTGCATAAAACAACCACTGCTGTGCGATAAGCTGGTCGTTGATCATATGCCACCACTTGGCTGTTGCCCTCGACCATGATAGTTTTTGTTTCTATGGGTGCTGCAACAACGAGTGGAAGCACGATCAAACAGATCAAAAACGTTGGTCCAGGAGCTGATGTTGTCATGAATGATGGCATGTAACTGCAGAAGGAAAGCAGCGGGGCCATTGAAGTTATCCTAACATGGATCTGAAATAAATGGATCAAGCCACGTATAGGTCGATACTGATGGTCTATACTAGGTTTAATCTCGGTGCTACACCGTTGTACATTTCATAGACTACGAGAGCTACCTGGCAAGCTGCAGCTGACTTCGAAACTTAAATCTGCGGAACCGGGGAAGGGTGCGGAGAGACTTCCGTGGCCACACGGATCAATCGTTCCCTGGCCTCGGACCCGATGTACCTGCACACTAGACCGATCTCACCGGATCTAGCAACTCTAACGTTTTGACCGCTGCTTCATGTGTACTGATAACTGCGAGGATCCGCTCTCAATCGCGTCATGGCCTTCGAGGACCAGACTCCTCGATACACTTGCATCGTCGCGTGGAGCCAAAGCATATGAAGAAGCCCGTAGTGTTCTTTACCCCCATACTTGCCCAGTGTCTGCACAGCACCTTAACCGACTCGACACTTTTTCTTACGACGTCTCTTCCATGATGCAATCATGTACGTCAGTATAGTTAAGACAGCTTGCTGGATGACTGCCATACGCCAAGAAAAGAGCCCATCATTTGTTCGATCAGATCACTGCCTTGTTAAAGGTGCACATCGCGCAGAGCTGAAAGGTTGCCCGGGAAGGCGTGAAGGTAGCGTACTTCGCTTCCTCGGGCCCGAGACTAGTCAACTTGCACAACCCGGATTGCTGAACAGCCGGAACGACAACAGTTCAGGCTCCGACTCGAGCCGTCACTCAGGACTAGATGCAGGGGCGCATCAGTACAGTTTATTGTGATTTTGAATCCGGGTGCAAGCGCAAGGAGCGTATTGAAGACAAGAGAACCTTCAGTTATGTTACCACATCGGACTCCAGCCTCCAAGTATCCAAATCCATCCCACGTAGTTCCAGTCTTATCACTTAGTACGATTATTGCTATCATCTCTCATAGGCTGCAATAGGCATGTCCCTCTGCAGCATTCAACCCATGTCAAATCTCCGACTGAGCTTTCATTGGCTGGATGGCAACGTCCCATACAACTTCATATCCGGCAATTCACCGCACGACCTCGAAGTAGTAATGACAAGTCTACCAAGGCCAATGCATGGGCCTTTATGGGATGATCTGTGGGGTAGCACTTACAAGTCGAGATAACGGCGACGGTACACCCATGGGTAAGTACAAGTTAAAAGAGGACGCAACTCTGAACCGGGTTTCCAACTCTTCTACACTATACTTTAAGATAAAACCCAGGAACTTGAGATGTATCCACCATTCATTTTTCTGAGTCTTCTGCTTGTGGCACAGCATGCAGTCACGGCGCCTAGTCATGGTCTCATGGCCCGTCAGTTCGCAACGGCGTCTATGCTACGCTTTCAATGCTCGCAGCTCGTGATCGATCGGATCGATCCACTTGTCCAGCCTGGAATCGCACCATCAACTCATAATCATCAGATCGTCGGTGGCAATGCGTTCAATGTTAGCATGCCCGCACTCGAACTTGATCCATCACTGGAAGCGACATGCACCAGCTGCGACTTTGCCGAAGATCTGAGCAACTACTGGACTGCAAACCTATACTTCAAGGCTAGGAACGGGACGTTCAAGCGCGTGCCGCAGATGGTCAACTTAGGACTGAACGGAAGGGAGGGTGTTACAGTGTACTACATCCCACCCTACGATGGCAAATCCACAGTAACTGCATTTCCAAAGGTATCTCAGATCTTCTCGCTACCTTCAACTCCACTGATAAGAAGAACCAGGGCTTCCGCATGCTCGTCGGCGACCCCGGCCTACGCGTCCATCAAGGCCAACAAAAACAACTCTGCCACCGCTGCTTCAGCAACAAACAACAAGACCCCTTCGGCGGCGCTCCATGCACCGGCGCAGATACCTTCGACCTACCTCACGCCACCTGCGGTGGTGGCATCCGCACAACCATCACATTCCCCACATGCTGGAACGGCAAAGACCTCGACAGCCCCAACCACAAAGATCACGTCGCATACCCATCCAGCGGCTCCTTTGAGTCCGGTGGTCCATGTCCATCTACCCATCCAGTGAAGATGCCCCAGCTTATGTACGAAGTTATGTGGGATACTACTCCCTTCAACGACAAGAGCATTTGGCCTGAAGACGGGTCGCAGCCGTTTGTGTACTCGATGGGCGATGGCACTGGGTATGGGCAGCATGGCGACTACGTGTTCGGATGGAAAGAGGGTGCGCTGCAGAAAGCAATGGATCAGAGGTGCTTTGGAAACACGTGTACGGGGTTGAATACGCAGAGCGCGGATGTTTCGACGGGGTGTGAGGTTGGGCAGACGGTCAAGGAACCTGTTGATGAGTGTAAGTTATCCTGGAGTGTATATGTCTTTCTACTGGGATTTGGCTAACTGATGTGATGTAGGGCTGACTGAGCTTCCGGGAGGTCTTCAGATCACTTACTAACAATATACAAGCCGAGCCTCTTGTGCTCACATATGATGTCGCGATGAATAGATTCTATTGTATGGACATGTCATACTTTACGAATACTTGTTTCAGTTGCGACAGTTACGCCAAGAAAAATAGAAAGAAACGACGTGCTAGCATTTAAAAAAACCAGGCTCATTTCACCGCCACATTCTCGCATGCGTGAAAGCAATGATAGCCTTAGCTAACCCCTTGACTTTCACCGTCTCGATCGGAAGCTGAATGCTCCATTCAACAGCGTTAGGCTCTTCTTTCTCGACCTCCACTCCTTCATCTCCAAGCTCCTCCTGCCCCGCCTCAACCTCCTCATGTGCGATCTCTTTCTTCTCCACCCCTGACTCCATCTCCATCTCCAAATCCATCTCCTCAGCCTCATCCTGCAGCGCCTCACAATACTGCTCCCACTGCCAATCACTATATCCATTTCCACTCGTATTCACAACATCGCTCTCCTCTCCCACTGCCCAAGCGCCCCGTTGATACCACTTCGTCCGCCTGTCCCAACGCACAGTATACCTCAAAGCGCCGTCGTGTTTGTTCAAGCCACGCTTGCGGTACGCGCGGCGAGGTCTAGGATCAATCTTCAACGGCGTGGTCCGGAGGATAGATGCCGGCGGTGAAGGGGCCGGAGAATCTTTCTCAACGACGTCTACGTACAGGCCGAGAGTGGAGGAGCGCAGGGCGTCGACGTCGTTTTCGGAGCGGATGTATACCTCCTCGTTAAATGCGAGCGAGGCGTCGATGCGGCGGCGCTTGCGCTTCGGTGGGGAAGTGTCTTGGTCCGCGAGTTGCGGGAAGGAGGTGTCGATGAAGGTCTGCTGAGCAGCGTTGGCGTTGAAGAATTTGTGTTTGAAGTCTTCGTCGTCGGAGTCGCTGTCTGGGAATTCTGGGGATGCGGAGGCCTGGTAGTCGCGTCCGCGCTTGCGCATGTAGATTTTGCAGTCTTCTTCTAACTTTGTGAAAATGCCTGTCTCGACGGCGCCGTTGTAGAGTGCCATTGCGTTTGTCGCGCTGAACTGCATGCGCCTCATCTTTGGGCTGTTGGCGGGCGAGCTGGTTTCTGGGGGTTGCTCCATTTCCCATGCTCGCTCTAGGGCTGACAGCTCCTCAAGCTTAAGGGCGAGGTTGAGTAAGCGCGTCTTCGAGGCGCGGTAGCTACCATCTTCTCCGTGGATGTTGACAATGGGCTCGCGCCCTATACGTCGATTTGCTCCCCGGACTGTTCGCTCCCACATCTTCATCGTCTTGTCGTCTCTGCACTTGTCGCGCCACGTGTGGACTCCGCCGTTACCCAGGATCAAGTCCTGCGACCTTCGCACGTCGAACATTGCGTTGTTCATACGGCAGCAGGAGCATTGGCGACCATAGAGTGAGCTGTAGTTCTTCATTATGGCAGGGTGTAGCTCATGTCCACACGGTGTCTTCCGCGAACGCAGGGGGTTGCTGAAATGCTCAGTCATGTTCGAAGGTGATGCGTAGGTTATTGTTCGATAAGAGAATGGAGTAGATGGTTCAGGATTGGTAGAGAAAAGTACCGGTGAGCTACAATTGCTATGACGTAGATCATGATCGAAGATATCGGAAGTGAATGGCTAGATATGGCCTTGTTGGCATTCACTTCCACTTCATGATTGTAACAGCGGAAGCGGACCCACCAAGTGCCGTGAAAACATGCCCACGCTCTACTCAGATCGCTATTAGAGAAGGACTGAGATGTTATCTACGAGCCAGGAACATTTCAAACTTTCATCAATTCATCGCAAAGCGTTCGAAGTACTTCGAAGTCTATCAAGAGTAGCTAGATCTAAATACCCACGTTCATTTTGTCACTCCTGTCCCATGTCGCTGCCTGATACTGCAGCGACTTGCAATATCTATCCCAAATCTTTGGGTCCTTCTTACACATCCGATATCCGCTAGTGTCGACAGCTGGCGAGCCTGGTGATGTTGCCCACTGACCCGACTCATAGCTGCTTGACCTTCGGTTATACGAATACATATGCCGGCCATCATTGGTTTGGTTAGTAGGAATAGTGTAAAATCGGCGTCGAGGGTCAGTGTTGAAGCGAGACCCAAGACTGGCATCGGCTTCGCTTGGTGACGCAGCCGTGCGGACGATACCGATGGGTGTGGAAGTGCAAGTGGAGTTGAAGGCTTGCTTGCGGAGTCTATCGACATCATTCTCGATGCAGACTTGCGCATCAGAGTTGAAGGAGACTTTCGCCTTGGCGTTGCGGCACTGGCGTTTCGGGGGCGAGGCAATTGTGTCGTCTGAGATTGGAGGAACTGTGGAGTTGTCGACATATGCTTGTTGTGCTTCGGTTGTGCAGGTCCGAATATGTGTACGTGCCTTATCATCTGGGTCTTCCGGATATCCTTCTTGTTTCGCAATCTCCTGCTCTCTTCCGCGCTCTCGCACGTATTTAGCGTCATCATCTGGGGTCCGAGTGAAGTCCCCACGCGCCTCGGACGCATTGTAATAAGCCAAAGCATACTTTGCGGTGTATTTGTAGAGAGTACCGTAAGTGTCGTCGAACAATTCTCCAGCTTGGCTATTGGTCGTCAACTCGGGATGGTCCAATAAAAAAAGATTCTCGAATCCGGTTTCCTTCAGCGCCAGATCTTCTAGCTTGATCTGCAGATTCGATAACCGTAGCCTGCAATGTCGGTGACTAAAGTCATTGCCATATGCGTCAAGAATCTTTCGTCGTGGCTTGCTTGCGTCGGACCCAAGCAGTAGAAATCTCCATTTACTCGCGGTGGGTTGCTTAAGCATCCTGCGTTCCACGCGGTGCAACTCCGATACCAGATGGTTCAGAGAACACATCGGACAAGTAAGCTCGTTTCGTAGAGCTGAGTGTGCCGGGTGTCTCGGGTGGTGACATTGTGGAGGAGGCAGAAAGGATTCCGGCGAGGGAGCCGGGGTCGGCAGCTGGCATTGTGAAGTGACTGGATTTGATGGTGAGGTTTCCAGATTTGTACCAACAGCAGATGCTAGACTGGAATCGACGACCGACATCTCAATGAAACCCGGATATTCACCCTCTTCAGCAGGCCTGATCTTCCGCATCTTGCGTGGCCATGGATCGTCGCAATAGTCGCCGTCGGAGGTATAGTGCTTGCGCTTCTGGCCCGGACGGGCCTGTCGCGGGTTGTCAGAATTGGGTGTGTCGGAGGCTGTCTTGTCGGCGGACGTTTTCGAAGGCAGTGTGTATGGTGTAGGTGTGCGTGGTCGCGCTTTGGTACCAGTAGCAAATGGCGCGGGCTGGTTTGAGATGAGGTCAGGAGTTCTGCTCGACATGGTGGGTTTGTTGACAACCGGGAGGGCCGTTGATGAGATGGGCAAGAGTTTGGTATCAGGGATGGTTGATTGGCGCATGGGTCGTTGTGGTTGAGAAGTAGCAGGCGCAGAAGTTTATAAGGGTGTCGAGTAGTGCAGTGAGACGTAGGTGATAGTTCGGCCTGAGAACAGCAGAATTCGGGGAGTTAAAAGTGGAAGTGACAGAGAGTCGCGCGCATTGCGCTAAGACAATAGGTCAAAGTGAAAGGTACTGCTATTCTAACACGGTACAGTGAAAAATGTACATGTAGTGAAGGCCCACCCGGCGCTCATAAATCGACACACTCCCAGCTCTCAATCGCATTAACATCTCCCGTACCCTTGTACTGATTACGCTTAGGATACTTGCAATGCGCGCGCTGAAACTCCACACCCAGCGACACAGTATCGTTCACGAACTTAGTACCAACGAGCGACTCTGGCGCATTGCCGTTCTCAACCCAGTCCACAAGGGCCATCAAAATGTTCTCCTTCGGATCAAGGCTCTTCAGCTCGTCTGAAGCCTGGCCAATCGCATGCGCTCCACTACCACCGCTGCAGTGACCGGTTCCGGAGACTGTGAAGAAACGGTAGAAGTCGTCTAGTTCCGAAGGGGAGAGGCCCATAGTAGAGGAGACGTGTTCGTAGTACCGCGGTGAGTTGTCGTAGGAGATAATCATGTCGGCTGCGCCGTGCCAGTGGATGACTTTGCTACCGCGGTTTTGGATGCCACTGAGGTCGCCCTTCCAGGTCTGGATGTTGTATGGGTTGATGCGTGCGGCATTGTCGTAATCGGTGGTGTTCAGGGTCGAAGGGTCCCAGTTTGGATCATTGTAGATGGCGTAACGGAACCAATCGGTTGTGTAGGGGAATGGCTGGCCATTGAAAAGAATGGCAGAGGCGATAACTTCGGGCCCAGGCTGGAAACGGGGGTACACAAGGTCGCCTTGAGCGTTCAAGAGTGGCGCAAACACAGCTCGGACAGTCTCAACCTGAGTTGGTGTGAGGCAGCTCGAGGAGTTTGTAGAGCCTTCGGCGCATGTGAGCCCAGCAGGGTCGTATTCGCATAGGCGAGGGTCTTCGATGATACCATCAGCATATCCGTCTAGCTCATCGCATTGCTTCAGGACGTCTTCGTGGACCATGACCCATTGTGGCATGGTAACAAAAGTCGACGAGTTTGCAGGGCCAGTGATGGTGTAGAAATGACCACTCCAAGACGTCAAGTTGTTGAAAGCAAGTGCAGGGGCGCCAGAAATGATGCCATCAAAGTCGTCTGGGAAGTCCTGGGCGGACTTGAAGCCTTGACGTCCACCGGTCGAGCAGCCAAGGTAGTACGACTTGTCGTGCGGCTTCCCGTAGAAGTCCTCGGTGATCTGCTTGCCAGTCACAACACCAGTGTGCATTCTGTTCACGGTGTCAGTATACATTCAAAGGTAGCCTCTGGGCACGATTCTTTTTGTACTTACGCTCGGTAGGCAAAGTCCTCCAAAACCTCCGGCTTGTTGAAGAACGGCAATCCACTTGTACCATTGTGCCCATTGTTGGTTCCAACCGAAGAGAAGCCCAGGCTAGACGTATACGCCAAACTGGCATAGTCAACGCACCCATTGAGTCCGCCATTACCTCCAGACAAAAATCGTCCTGTCCAATTCGACGGCAACCAAGCTTCCATGTTCAAGCCCGAGCTGTTTGATGTCGCCACTGATAGCGCGATACGGCAAATATCCGCCAGGACCACAACAGACGATTCGCATGTGGGGTCATTATCCGACAGACTGAGATTCGTACCGGCGGCAACGAATTCAGAGAAGTGGACGGTACCATGCTCAATGGCCAACGTGGAAGCAATGGCAGCACATTTCGAGTTGAAGTCGCCACCGGCACTGGTGTCTGGACAGTCGGCGTATGTGGGTTCGGCAGGGGCCGCAAAGACGTTCGTTGCGCCGAGCAGCGAGGTCCAGAGAGATTGTTCGAACTTCATCTTGAAAAGGATGGTGAAGACGTTGAGGCCTGGCTGTTCGAGTCCTACGGGTCGTCACGCAACTTAAAATACTGATTGAGATGCGGCGGGTGTTCTTCTTTGGTCAATAGCGTCCTTTGAGAATCCGGAAAACATCTTGTCGCAATATCTTGTCGCAATATCTTGTCGCAATATCTTGTCGCAATATGTGGATCTGTCCTAGATCGGAAAGTTGCATTGGGATATGCAGGGGTTCTGCATACTGAGTGGGAGGAGATGACTAGGATCTATGCATCGACTCGACACTGGATATGGGCTTAGGCTAGCGAGAGCAAGCTACGTTTGCACCCTGGTCGCATGCCGTCATGTTGGTGTTTGGTAGCATACGCAGTACATGTGTTTCCCAAGTGCCGTAGTGTCAGTGCACGCCGGCCGTGTTAACGCATGACGCCAATGTACTGAGAGCTTAGCCGATGGCAATAAATGGTGGAGTTCTGGTGCCTGGACCGACAAAGATCCGTTGCTAAAGAAAGTCTCCCGCACTTAGCGGTTTCCCCATGCTTTTCTCCGCACATAGTGGCGTCCTAGGCGCTTTGGTGACGGCAGAAGAAGTTCGCAGTTTGTTTCGTCAAAGTTGGCGGCGTCGTTGGCCCCGGAGCGTTCTCTCCAGACGAATTCGGCAGTTGTTCACGGTGGATCGCTGCTCATCACGAGGTGTCTATCACAATTAAGACCTCGCATACTTCGGAACCCGGGGTCGCAGAAGGAGTATGGTCACATAATGTGGCTTGGTATGCATTACTAGAGCTCCTGCATCTCATATTCGTCCGACTGAACACCGTCGACCAATTTGTTCAGCCATGTTCCCAATCTGAGTGCTGCCTTGCTGATCTGTAATTCTATAATTGGAACCGCGCCGAAAGCATAGCCATTGGTGCCCAGGTCCGTACCGTTACTTGCATACTTGTAAACATAATCACAAGTCCATCTGTTGCTTTCTACTGCCCAGCCTGCAGCGCACTTCTCGGGTGTCGTTGGGTCGCTACAAGCGAGCCACATGTACGGTGCCTCGTAGAAGAGGTCCTTTCGTATGCGTGACACGAGATCGGAGAAGAAGGGGTCGAGAGATTGGGTCGAGAACGGCTTGCTGACGTTTGCCGCGTAGTAAGGAATATAGCCATCCCATACCTATTTATGATGAGCTTCACCTACGAATCGCGAAGTAGCAGAGAAATGACTTACAGCATGTAGCTCGGTCGAAATATTGCCAAATACTGCTTTGTAAAAGTTCCCACCCGCGGCTCGCCCAGACGCATGTAGCGGCTGGTGTATGTCGCCTAGGAAGTGCGCGACCCATTTGAGAGCATACGAGCATGTCAAATTCGTACCTCCGCTCAGTGCGCCACTGTTCACTTGCGTTATGCAATCCTTCAGTATACCCGTCTGGTTTGCTATGGCACTCACGACGCAGCCACCCTTCGCACAATCTTGGCTGTAGTCCAGACTGCAGTGATCAGGCGCCCAGTCGTGAGTATCTATCCAATGCCATTGGTACGAGAAGCGTCCTTCGGCTGTATGCGCGTAGCCGTCCGCCCATGCTGCGGCACGGCCTACTGACTCGTTGTACTGAGACTCGAGGATCTGGGAGAGGATCGATGTGGTCTTGGGCGTGAAGAAGGTCTCGGCCATGAAACCTATCTGATTGTGTACTTAAATCTTGTCAGCATCGAATAGCTCTTGTCTCGAAGTTACAACTAAGGTAGACTGACCATCTGTGTTCCATGCTAATGCTGGAGCGATCCATGCTGCAAAGAAGAGAGTCGTTTTGGTCAGCATCGTGGCGAAGATCTGAGGATGTGGTCAAGTCGAGTAGCTAAAGAAGAGAGCGTTCAGAAGGCTACCGACAGCTCTGTTGACGGTGCTTCTTGGAGGTGGCTGGGGGCTGAGTACGCGCCGGCCTCTTATTGCGCCATGTCTATAGCTGCACGCCGAAACTCAATCAAGTGAATCTAGGTATATTCAGGCGTCTACTATATAGCGTGTGAGCTTTGCGACTCGATGTCAGCTCTTCACGCTCCAGATGAACGACGCAGATGACGCCGCTTCCCCACAAATCCAGGGTCCAGACGCATGGGCCAGTCCCACTAGGATGTAAGCAGTTTAGGGCGAACCTCACGATGCAAGATTCTGTGGTCTCGTCGACGAAAGCAGCAGATGCATTTTGTAGATTTTGGCCAAGTCATTGATGATGCGTTTGTGTATCTTCAATACCCTATCTGTACTGGTTTCGCACAAAGGCATGATGGACACGATGTACGAACGCTCCGAAGGGAGAGGAGCTGTCCAGAAAAGCCAACGCGGTCCAGAGCCAATTACGACCAGCACATGCCTATGCACCTTCTCAGGTACCAAACAATTGAGCGAGGACTAGCGCCTTCCATAGGATTGCAACGTGAAGATGCAAGCAGTGTAACCTCACCTACAAGGAACCTGCATATCTACTCCAATACACTACACTCAACCTCTTCGGAATCAGGTTGAACAAAGTCAAATTCAGCACCGTTACCTACAAAACATTACTTGAACTGCCACCTCGGCAACCCTACCCGGAGCCACACGAAGACCACCACGATGTTCAAACTTTCGATGCGAGCAGCATGCTTGGGCATCAAGCAAACTCACCACGTCCCAGCGTTTCACATCAAGCTTTCTTCCACTGCTCAGGGACTCAGCACAGACTCAGCACCTACCTGTAGCCGATTCGTTAAGCAGGTTGCGGATCAGTCCCAGAAGACACAGATCCTGCGTACTGACGGTGCATCCGGGCTGTCTCCAATGAACCAAGTTGCTGCCAAGAAGGTGACGCGAACAGAGCAGCTTCTTTGGTTGGCGAGGCTCTCGTTGGCATCTTCTTCAATGGAGCAGACTCGCGATATTACTTTTACGAGCACGGCCCGTTCCGACAAGGACATGACAGTGCACAGGGACCGAGAGATTGCGACTTCTGTCAGCACCGATTGCACTAAGTCTTGGGACGGACCGACCGTATGGGCGCACTTGTGGTAAGCTTACTCCGACGACACACTTTCTAGCAGTCGGCTCACGGAGTTATTAGGTAGAAGATATCAACAGTCGGAAGCCATACGTGGGGGAACTGGAGGTGATGAAGTACGCGGCAGCGAAGTGCTCGATGCCCGTTACGTGCGCGAAAACGCTGGCGTGAGGACTTAGGCTCGGCGGTACGGGTCCGAAACCGAGATACGTGAAGGGAAACTACGGAGAACGAAAAATTTTACGATGCGTATATCATATTTCTATCCGGTGTGACTCTGCTGTATGATGGTGGATGGTGTCGCGATTAATACGAAGATGCATACGAATACGACGTACGCAGATTTGACAGATTAGACTAGCGAACGGAAGCGGAAAGTTTCGGGCATCTTGGCGCTGCGATAAGGCTTCGGCGATTTAGCTCTGTCACTGTACGAAGTATTGCGCGTCTCGTGAAAGGCCATGGCACCCAGGGACGTCCATCATAGTGCAGCGTGTCATGAGGTGAGGCGTAGTCTAAGGATGCAGGGCAGTGCAACCGATGACGAAGCTACCTGGATCAACCACCAAGGAAGTCTCTCCGCCAATCACGACAATTATCGGCCGATTACCGTGACATAGCGCGCCTCGTACAAGGCAGCCCATAGCCCAGCATATCAGGCTTTCAGACAAGAAGGTTATATTACCATACTTCCCTAAGATGACCGCTCGACCTCTCCAGTATTGATTGTTCCAACCTTTCTCACTCCACAGCTCAAATGTCGAGCTCTCACCCCGCGCGGGGCAATGACGTTCCTCAAGAAGAACAGGATCGAGCGCCACCACCAACATACACTGAGCAACTCACGATAAATCATCCCACCGACGAGGCTGGCAGCTCGTCCCAGTCCAATGCCCAGCAGACGCAGAATAGCGCATCTGCACAGTCGACAACAAAACCTGAGGCATCGTCATATGCTAGCGCATACCGCCCATCAGACGCGCAGAACGCGTCAGTATGCAGACTCCCGATACACTTCACGTGCTAACAAACCCCAGCGAGCGGTCGCACTCTCAATTCGACTATGGCGCACAACACCAGCTTGGCGAAGAAGAGCCTGCGCCGAACCCGGACCAACCTCCACCCGCATACACTGAGCTCCCTGGGCAGCTGCAGGACAACAATGGGTTAGGAACAAATGCGATAGTCGCCGATGATGGGCGAGTCGACATTCGCATCGATCAGAAGAGCCGCGCACTCTCGCAGCTCATTCTCCCCCAAATTCAGCGGCAACTCAGCCAAGTGCAAGAAGACCCTGCCCCACCACCGCCATACGTCCCAGAATTCCTCGGAGGAGCCCCCGGACAAAGACCCCCTCCACCGTTGAATGTTGTCATACAAGTGGTAGGATCACGAGGAGATGTGCAGCCATTTGTGGCGCTGGGCAAAGTGCTCAAGGATACATACGGCCATCGCGTACGATTAGCAACTCATCCCACCTTCAAGGACTTTGTAATTGAGAATGGACTCGAATTTTTCAGCATTGGAGGAGATCCTGCCGAGCTCATGGCCTTCATGGTCAAGAACCCCGGCTTGATGCCAGGATTTGACACGATGCGGAGTGGTGACATTGGCAAGAGAAGGAAAGGCATCGCAGAGATCTTGCGCGGCACATGGAGATCGTGCATTGAGACTGGTAACGGTCTTGGAGTTGATCCGCTGAAACAAACCGTGGAGGAGTGGATGGGCATTGAGGACCAGTTACCTGAACAGCTGAAGAGGCCTTTTGTCGCAGACGCAATCATTGCGAACCCACCTGCCTTTGGTCACATTCATTGCGCCGAGAAGCTTGGTATCCCGTTGCACATGATGTTTACTATGCCTTGGTCGCCGACCCAGCAGTTTCCGCACCCGCTTGCCAACATCCAGTCATCAAACGCTGATGCGAACATCACAAACTACATCTCCTACATCATGGTCGACATATTAACCTGGCAGGGCTTGGGCGATGTGATCAATCGCTTCCGCAAGGACAGCCTGCATTTAGACCCGATTAGCATTGTATGGGCACCAGCAATGCTTGCTCGGCTCAAGGTTCCATTCACTTACTGCTGGTACGTCCATGGACCTCAAATTATCAATTATCTCTAACACGTTTTAGGTCTCCTGCACTTATTCCAAAGCCAAAGGATTGGAACCACCACATTTCTGTAGCGGGCTTCTACTTCCTTGACCTTGCGCAAAACTATCAGCCCGCCGCGGACCTTGCCGCCTTCCTTGATGCAGGCGAGCCACCTGTGTATATCGGCTTTGGCTCGATTGTCGTCGATGATCCCAATGCCATGACCAAGATGATATTCGAGGCAGTCAAGATGACCGGAAGGCGAGCATTGGTCTCAAAGGGATGGGGTGGCCTTGGTGCTGATGAGCTCGGCATTCCTGAAGGTGTCTTCATGCTTGGGAACTGTCCCCATGACTGGCTGTTCAAGCGCGTTTCTGCTGTTGTTCACCATGGTGGAGCTGGAACAACAGCTGCTGGAATCGCCGCCGGCAGACCAACAGTCGTTGTGCCCTTCTTCGGAGACCAGCCCTTCTGGGGAGCAATGGTCGCACGTGCCGGTGCTGGACCAGATCCTGTTCCGTACAAGGATCTCACGGCAGAGAAATTGGCCGAGTCGATCAACAAGGCATTAGAGCCTCAGTCACTCGAGCGTGCACAAGAATTGTGCAACAAGATCAAGCAAGAGGACGGTTGTCAAAAGGGAGCACAGGCATTCCATCAAATGCTAAGGTACGATGAGCTACGATGTGCCGTGCTCCCAAATCGACCTGCAGTCTGGAGAGTCAAGCGAACACAGGTAAAACTCAGCGCACAAGTGGCGACGGTACTTGCTCAACAGGGAGAACTCAATTTCTCGGAGCTCAAATTGTATGTGAGGACAGGCAGAATTTTGGGGCGAAGGCTAACAGGGACAGGCATCGCCCGCGCGAGTTTTGTATCGACGACGGACCCGTTGACCCTATCTCAGGTGGTGCTGGTGCCATAATGGGGACAGCAACGTCGATAATGATGGGCGTCGCTGATATGCCCATTCAGACCTTGAAGTTGCTCAATATACATCCTGACGCGCGAGCAAGCAAGAAGGGTAAAGAGAGAGCCATCGGCGACAATGCTTCGTCGACCGCAGAATCTAGTGGCGCCGGTCGCCCCCCTACTACGAGGACTGAGACGAATGATACAGATGTTTCTATCGACAGTACCGCTCCCGTCAGGAGTAACACAGACAAGACAGCTGTGCAGAGCCCAGGTACGCCAGGTACACCTACTCATAGACAGACGTTCATGTCCCAAGCTCTTGCTGAATCTGCTCAAGGTTCACGATCATCATCAAGAGAGCGCGCTCGGGCTCTTCGACGTGAAAGCTCTAACACAGCTACAGGAATCCGTACAAACAGCGGCACAGCGACTCCACCACCAGACAAGCCAGGGCCTGATCTTCAAGAAAGCATGACTTCGGCTGTTGATACTGGCAAAGGTCTTGCCAGGATCATTGGTGCGGGTTTCAAGTCGCCCATGGACTTTTCGTTGAACGTGGCTAAGGGCCTTCATAACGTACCAAAGCTGTATGGTGCAGAGGTTCGCCAAGTGGACAAGGTGACTGATTTCCAGAGCGGAGTAAGAACCGCAGCCAAGGTAGGCTTCATAAAACACCTCTTTGTGACAGATACTGACACAGATTCAGGAATTCGGCTTTGGCTTATATGATGGCATTACTGGCATTGTCACCGACCCATACAAGGGCGCGAAGAAAGAAGGTGCCGTCGGTTTTGTCAAAGGTGTTGGTCAGGGCATCTTCAGCGTCCCATTCCGGGTCATGGGCGGTGCCTGGGCTGTGCCAGGTTATGCTATGAAAGGAATCTATCAAGAAATGATCAAGGGCAAGGGCAAGGCCGTGCAAAATTATATCATTGCCGCTCGCATTGCTCAGGGCTACGACGAGGCAAACGGGCTCTCGACACGGGAAAGAGACGCCATAGTCAGTCAATGGAAGTATGTCAAGGTCGGGATCAAGAAGAAGAAGAATGTTGCCGAAGATCAAATGGACTCCCTGCACTCACTCGTACAGGATAAGAGGAAGAGAAGGCAAGAGAGATGGGCGCGGGTGAACTCGCACTTCAAACGACCAGAGGCGCAACCCTCGTTTCCACCAGCCATCAACGAGCACAGTGGGTCTCAGGAGCCGTCCCTGACACATAGTGTGAGTCATGGCAGCGCTGCGACGGAACCAGGACCGCGAACAATTCCGCCAGGACAACAACCAGCTTGGAGACAACGACACGCTGCAACATTTCCACGCACAAACAGCAACGAGACCCAAGAGTCGCAGGTATCCCTTGAGGCGCAGCTGATTGCTGAAGAAGAGGCGGAGCGTCGAGAACTCGAAGCCGCCATCGCTGCTTCCATCTCGCAAAACTCCCATGGCAACCTGGATGAAGACAAGCTCGTCGCTAACGCTATCCGCGCATCCATTGCTGAACTCGACCGCACGCCCGAAACGGCTAGTGTAGAAGAGGAGGAACAAGCACTCAAACGTGCCGTGCAAGCCAGTCTCGACGAAGCTGGCCGCAACGGCAGCACTGCTGAAGAGAAGAGGCTACTTGAAGAGACGATTCGCCAGTCCTTGCTAGACACGTCGCGCCGTCGGCAGCACGGTCATGATTCCGAGTGGGATTCTGATGACGATACAGAAGACGACGAGGAGTTTCAGCGGATTGTTGCTGAGTCCAAAGAACTCGCACACCTACATGCCGCACACCCAGAGGAGTACCAGTCAGCGTCGGGAGCGCAAGAGAGTGGAATCATGAACGACATTGCAGATGCTACTGGCGCGAATGGGACTCATCCCGCGGATGAAGACGAGGAGTTGAAGAAGGCGCTGGAGATGAGCGAGAAAGCCCACCAGGAGAGTATGCAGAAGTTGGAGGCACAAAAGACGGAGGAGGACATCGTCATGGAGTATGTGCGCAAGCAGAGTCTCTTGGAGGAGGAGCATAGGCAGAAGGTACTACAAGGGGGGAATACGGCTGGTGAGGGAAGTGGTAGCAAGTAACAAGTGAAGAAGTGATACCCTAGTGAATCTAAGATATGATACCTTGGATTGTTTTGATATTCAGTTCCTTTCATTGATGTATGATTGTGAGTACACGCTACATTCTAAACCCTGCAGTATGATTTATTATTCTTTCTGCTACACATATGCTGACCATCCATCCCTAATAGAATCGTGTCGCGTGTTTATCATGCATGCGAACTTGTTGCTGCAGGCCTATTTTGAGCATACAATTGCTTCTCAGGTAAGAGAGCTCATAGATACTGCTCATGTCTGATGATAGCCGCCAGGTTTCCCTGCCGTGGTATAACACTGCAGCGTCACCGCCGCGTTGCCCTGTCATGTCGCACGAGCATCCTGCTCATGCGATCACCTGTCACCTTAAACGAATGTACTCATACTCACCGCTCTCCAGACTTCTGCCTGCTTCTTCTCCGTTCCATTGGCCGGCTGTTCTCCGGCAACGGCGCGTCTGTTTGTTGCGCGTAGTCTGCACGGTGTCGCTCCTTCTGTCATAACATCTCTTGCCTTCCATCTCCTACATCCCCGCTCCACCACACTTTGATTGCGAAAGCCTTACACACAATCACTCTCTTCTTTCGATTAGAGCAGACGAGGCGATTGTTGTGTGTCTGACACCGCGTACTCGATCGAAAAGTAAGTCTACCTCACCTGCAGCGCGCGATTTGGCTCTTGCCGTTTCGGGCGGCGTGCGCACAAACTCTGCACAATCACGCAAAAGCTCTATGCGCAGACTGAATGAGAGTTTGCAAGCTCCTCGATCGAAAGGCCGGCTGCAGTCTATTGTGGCCATCTTGACGGCCACCCTTTGACCTGACCCACGCGCTGACCACGTACGCGCAGATCTTCATCAAATCAGTACAACCAACACTGCCCGTCACTATGGTGCGTGTTGCGATTGCCGCTCAGCTTTCGGGCATGGCGTCAAACCCGTATCCGAAGCCCAAGCTTCAGCAGCCCTACCTCACCACCTGCGAGCTTTGCGACAGGATCATCCCGACCAAGGACTGGAGCGCCCACAAGAACTCTAAGAAGCACCGTGAGTCTGAGGTCAAGGACAGGGCCAAAGCTGATGGTACCGACACCAACGGCTTCGGTGGTGACGCCACCGGCTTCACTGCTGACACTGGCGGCAACAACTTCACCTCCACAACTGCTACTGACGGGCTGGGGTGCCCCCGCCACCGATGCTGCCTGGGGTACCGCCGATTTTGGCGCGAACACTGGTACTTCTGGCTACGTCAACAACAGCTCCGGTGGTGGTGGCGGTCGTGCCTGCTTCGGCTGTGGCAGCGAAGATCACCAGAAGCGCGACTGTCCTCAGGGCGGCGGTGGAAGTGGCGGCGACCGCGCGTGCTATGGCTGCGGTGAGACTGGCCATCAGAAGCGTGACTGTCCCAAGGGTGGCTCTGGTGGTGGTCAGGCGTGCTTCAACTGTGGAGAAGTCGGGTATGTGATATCTTACTACTTGCTGTATCAGGACTGACATGATACAGACACCGCAAGACTGAGTGCACCCAGCCTCGCAAGCCTATGGGCGGTGGCGGTGGAGGATCTGATCGTGTTTGCTTCAACTGCAACCAGCCTGGGTAAGTCAACTCACTGTCTCCGTATGTTAAGACTGAAATGCTAATGGGCCACCACAGCCATAACAAGTCCGACTGTACTGAGCCTGCCAATGCGTCTGGTGGAAGCGGTGGACGTGAGTGCCACAACTGCAAGCAAGTCGGCCACATGTCGCGCGAGTGCCCCGAGCCCCGTGTCTTCCGCTGCCGCAACTGTGACGAGGAGGGCCATCAGTCCCGCGAGTGCGACAAGCCCAAGGACTGGTCCCGCGTCAAGTGCCGTAACTGCGAGCAGTTTGGCCACGGTGCTGGTCGCTGCCCCAACCCGGCTGTCGAGCCTGCTGATGGCGGCTGGGGCGCTGCTGGTGCTGGCGGTGACTCCGGTGCCGCTACTGGCAACTGGGGATCTGGTGGAGTTGATTCGGGTACTGCTGCTACTGCTTCTACTGGCGACTGGGCTGACGAGAGCACCGCTGCTGCCAACGGCGAGTCCTGGGGTGATGCTTCCGCTGCCACTGCGGCATGGTGAAGCCTCGTCACACCGACTACTCTCGCAACGTATGAGACAACCATCGGTTGGTTTTTCACAAGCGCGAGTGCTTCGCGGTCGAATTACAAAAAGGTGGAATGGGAATTGGATGGGATCAAGCTCAACGGGGATTCACGCGGAGATAGGTGACATCACTGTCTTCGATAAGTGATTGAATATCACTCTCAGCGCAAATGCAACCAAACACGTGCGTGACAGGTACTCCAGAGATATGACGACGAACAACAAAAATGAAAAGCGCCAACTTGGCCGCAACGTTTGAAATCCTATTTTTGTGATGTTTCTAATCTACCACTATTGAAAGAAGTCCTAAATCATGTTGAGTCATTACAAGAATTGATACTTTTAAACCACCTGAGCACTCCACAGCTCGCGCTGCGTGCTTTTATCATAAAAGTTAGTCGTATAAAACCGTCCATCAATTCATCAGTCCACATCCTTCTCTCCACTCCATCCAGAATCTCCTTCAAACAACATCGTCACCGCCTTCACATGTCAGCCATAGGGTTCCACTCAACCCACCCCTTCCTCTGCTGATCCGCCACAACAGTCAATCCCGGGCTCCTGGTCCTCAACGCGCCGCCAATCCACCCCGAGAACACAACCCCCTTACCATCCGCGCCCAAATCATCCTTCCCGCCGACAACCCCACCACTCTCCTCCCAACTCTCATCATGCAACTCCCTCAACCTGCTCACCAGATCCGCAAACTGCCCGTCCTGATACGTGCCCTTCCACTCCGCGGGAATCTGCACGTCGAAGCCGTCGACGACGACTTCTTCGCCGAGCGGGCGTTGGAGCGCCGTGAGGATCGGGTTGATCCACTCCGTTCCATTGGGGGACGCGCCCGAGGGGGGCGTGGGGCCGAGAGGACGCAAGTCAGCGCGCTCGGTGTGGCCTTCGCCGAAGAGGGAGAAGAGGGTCAGAGCGAAGGAGGAAGGGGGGTGGGAGGGGGAGAAGAGGTTTGGGAAGGGTGAAGAAGATGCAGTAGAGGAGATTGGGAAAGTGATGTTGGCGGTCACGAGGGGGTTTACTTCGGCGACGAGCACGGCGTTGGGGTTGTCGATGATGGGGCGGTTTACGGTCGGGCTGGTGCTGGGTGTTGAGGCGGCTGAGGCGCTGGAGATGGCGGATGAGGCACTTGCGGTGGACTCGGCAGCACTTGCGGTCGGTGAGCTGTCACTGACGCTGGAGGCAGATTCGGTGGCACTGGGACCTAAGGCGGGTTCGCCGACACTGACCATTGAGGTGAACAAGATGTCGCTGACGCTTGGAGCTGATTCGGCGGCGGCGATGCTTGAGATTGATTCGGTGGCAATGCTTGAGATTGATTCAGCAGTAATGCTCGACACTGCGTCGGCAGCAATGCTTGAAACAGATTCGGTAGCGGTGACGCTTGAAACCGACTCGATGACGGAGCTGGGTTCAACGGCACTGGCGCTTGTAATGGATTCAGTGACACTGGCAGATGCAACTGGCTCGCTGACACTAATACTCGAGACTGGTTCGACAGTACTGACGCTTGAGATCGGAGTGTTGGTGCTGAAGCTTGGGACCGGTGTTCCGACACTGACACTCAAGAATGCTTCGACAGCGTTGGCGCTCGAGACTGGCTCGCTGGTGCTGAAGCTTGAGATGGATGTGCTGGCACTGACACTTGAGGCCAGTGAGCTGACACTGACACTCGAGACCGATCCGACGACGCTGACACTTGCGGCCGCAATGGCACTCGAGACTGACACGCCCGCACTGGTACCGGTGACAGACGCAACGCTTGAGACCGGCGTGCTAGCACTCACGCTCGAAACCGCTTTGCTAGTACTAGCACTTGATGCAGGCTTGGTGGTGCTAACACTCGACACAAGCTTAGCGGTAGTAGCACCTCCTCCGAGTCCCAGACCGAGACTGATACTGACCCTGACCGGCGAGTTCACATCGACAACAATACCTGGCTGGCCCACCGAGACGCCTGCACTAGCAAGCGGACCAAGATTCACGCCGACATTGAGCGGCTCACCAACAGCCGGCTTGCCCAATGTAACAATTGGGGAAGGGAAAACAACCGGTCCATGTCCCAAGTTCAAATTTGGAAGGACCGGCTTCAGAAACCCATCAATCTGTCTCTTCTGCACCCCCTCGTCGCCAAACCCAACGCCAAAAGGCTCCGTAGGCGAATTTGGGTTGCCGAAGTTGCTGTTTCCGCCTACAGCGGCGAGGCTGGAGCCTTTGACGCTGAGGAGTACGCGCTTGCCGAGGGATTGGCAGTGTTGGACTTCTACGCCGAGCGCGGAGCAGTCGAGCAGGCCGGGCGCTTGGATTGCTTGACGGGAGTTGGGGACAGTGCAGCCAGGGAAGGGGAAGAGGGCCGGGTAGGCGGCGGGACCGTAGAAGCGGGAGATTAGTGGGAGGGTGAGGGTGTGGACATCGGGGGTGTTTTCGCAGAGGTTGCGGAGCGAGAGGAGGCCTGGGTTTGTGTGTTAGTATAAAGTTAGGAGGGGCAAGAGGCAAGCAAGGAGAAGAGAGAAAGAGAAGAAGTAAGAACATAGCACAAAACGCAAGCCCTGAGTGAAGGATGAGGAAAGACACAGACACATGCAAGAAAACAGCTACTACACGGGAAGGTCCAAAAGTATCACCATGATGCATCATTTAGGCGCATTAAAGTAACTACATTAGGACCTCCCATAAAGTAAAAACACCTTGCTCCACATTCATCGTCATCAATCTCCATCCTCCATCTCGTTCAGACCCCTTCCAGCTCTTACGTGTGTTTCATGCAATCGTAAGATTCGCTTTCGTACTTATCATGTCTCATGCCATAAATCGCATTTCTCAAGGGACAAACAAAATTTCAAACGATGCATGTGCGGAAAAAGCAGTTTAACGGCCGTATCCTCCAGTGGGCAAGGGAATAAACACGCTCAACGTACCAGCATCAACGACCTCTGGCGTCGCGATGGGGAGGATCACGATTGGGGTGGCGGTCTCGGTCTCGGTGACGATCGAGGTGGTGTTGGCGTACGGTGCCGCGACGTCAGATGCGTAGGAAGAGACTGGGAGTCCAGTTCCGACGGAAACAGGCGCTTCGGTAGTCTCGAAGGGAAGGGCAGCGCTCTCAACGGCGGTGACGTTGGCATAAGGCGCAGCGGGGATAGCAACAGTGACAGCGACGCTGCTTCCCGGGACACCGGTGACGGTGATGGGCACGAAGGTAACGCTTCCCTCAATGGCTTCAGCAGCGGTGGACACATTGGCGTCAGGGTAGGTGACGTTGATGGGGCTGGGCAGAGCAATAGGAGTTACCTCGGGGAAGGTGACGTTGATTGGGCTGGGCAGCGCGATGGGAGTCCCCTCGGGGAAGGTGACGTTGATGGGGCTGGGCAGAGGGACAGCGGTCACCAGGAGGGGAGCTGAAGGGTACACGGCGCCACTGGCTCCGCTGGGGTATGTGCTGTTGGGGTACAACGGGCTGGCGGCGATGGGGAGATCGGTACCAACTGGGAGGCTGCCAGTGCCAGTCGCGAGAGGAGCCACGGCGATGGAGCCAGTGCCGTAAGTAGCACCGGTGCCGTATCCAGTTCCATAACCGGTGCCATAGGGGATACCAGTTCCGTAGGAGACCGCAGTCTGGATAGGAAGAACGGCAGTAGCGCCAGTTCCGAGAAGAGCAGAGATGGCGGTTCCAAGAGGAGCGCTGGATCCAGTTCCAACAGGCGCAACGACGGCGGTGGGTTCGCCGTAAGTTGCATTGGGCCAGAGAGGTGTGCCGATAATGACGATGGGGACACCAGTTCCAGCAGAAACTGAAGGCGCGGTGCCAGTGCCAACAATGGGGACGGGAGACACGGTCTCAGTGATAACGACAACAGTGGTTGAGGTGGCGTTCTCGACGACGGTCTCAGTGATGTTGATGAGAGGCACCGTGATGTTGATCAGAGGAATCGTCACGTTGATAATAGGAAGAGTTGTCTCAATAGGAAGCGCGATTCCAGTTCCTGAGGGCAGGCTGGAGTTCACGGGTGCTGGGACGCCAGTGACAAGCGGGTTGGTGCTGAACCATCCTGTGATGTTTGCAGCGGTGGGAACAGGGCCACCGTAACCTGTAGTGGAATTGAAGACAGGGAACGGAGGCGAAGTCTCGACGGCTGACGCTGTTTCTGACTCAGTCACGAAGATAGGCGTGAGGAAGCTTGCGTTAATAGCACTGGACAGGTCTCCAATCGGCAGAATTGACATGATGATTTCGGCCTCGGAAGATGTGGCAGGCGTAGTAGACGGGTACAGGGAGACTACAACCGGGGTAGGTGTAGCTGAAGGATCAGCAGGGATGATGATCTCGATAGCGGACGAGGCAGGGCCGGTAGGATTCGCAGGCGTGGGCGTGACCGTGATGGTGACAGCAGCCGGCTCGTTGTCGTTGTCATCGTCGTCCCTAGGGCCAAACAGGCGAGTGAAGAAGTCCCTGAAGACCTCCCATGCAGTGCGGTTGTTGAGCTCGTCGCTGATGTCCTCGAAGAAGTTGGTTGGGTTCGTGGCAGCGGCGTTGGCAGCGGCTTGAATGAGCCTCAGCTGCGAGCTGGGCGTTCTGCACCGGTGATGCATCA